AATCATGCTCGAGATGGCAACTCGCTGATATGGCTGGTGCAAGGAATGAAGCCATCATTAGAATTCAGACCGACAATGGGGAGGGATGCCCAGGACTAATTCAATGATGATTGATGATGGTATAATAAAAACTGCAGTCTGCATCAGCACCAATTTCTAGGCCTAAGTAAAGGTATTCAACCCAGAACTCTGCTTAGCGCTAAAAATTGCCCTCACCCAACCTTGATCCTGTTTGACCCACTTCTGAAGAGTCAAGATATATGACTAATCCTCCCCGTTCGTATTTTCTTATTGACTCTTTTTGACCCTGTAGGTTGGGGCGGGTCGGGAAGAATTGGATTAGTGGGTCGGTCCTAATCAAGTGGAATCCCAATCCCTTCACTCTCACTTGCTTTCTCTCCCATTCCACAAGTGGGTAACATACAGTAATCCGGCCAACGGGCTGGGTAATAAGCTAGTACGGTAATATAATTGGTTATGTCCAGTCTTTTTGTATACGAGATGTAATGGGATGTATTGGTTAGTGATTTCTTATAATTGGTTATGTATTGTCTATTTTATAGGGAAGTTTTGCTAATGAGTATTACGGGTACCCATACTATCCAAACGAGATTTAACGGGTAACCCGTCGGTACCCAATGTAGGAATTATTGATCCCAAGTCCCATCCCAGAAAAAAAATCACGGGTATTTGATTACTCGTAACCCTCAAAAAACATAACGGGTATAAGTATATCCAAATACCCGTTTCCCGTTGTCCCCCTACACCATATACAATTTAGGGGTGGAAGTTTGATTTGCGGATTGCGGGTAACCCACAAACCGCACCAAACCGCATACATTGTGGGTAACCATACCCACAATTTGTGGATAGTGGGTTGGGTGTGGGTAGCAAAATATTGATTTTTGTAGTTAGTGGTTAACCACTACCCACAACGGTTAACCCACAATAACCACACTAAGTATATTTATGGTTATTTCTTCGGTGCACTCACTTTTTTGGGTGCATTCAATGCACCCGCCTCATAATCGTCATTCTGAGCAGGCGATTCATGTGAAAACGATGTCAATCATCACTTGTGGTATGATGAACAAGAACCACATGAATTTGTACAAAAATCATTCAAGATTCACTTTAATTTGAATGATTCGGGGTTTATGAATTTAGGGTTAAGGTTAGGGTTTACAATTTGGGATTTTGGGTTGAGATTCAAAATTGAAGGTTAATAGGTTAGGGTAATGGGTTGATTAGTTGGGATTCTATGTTATATCATCATATTAGGCTAATACAACCCATTAAATTTCAGAATTTAGTGTATTATGACCACTTTTAGAGGTGGGTGCACTGAATGCACCCAAAAAAGTGAGTGCACTGAAGTAGCCACCGTATATTTATATATTAATATACTTTGTAATATTAAATTATGTGAAAAGTAGAATGCTAAAAATTAAAGTAGGCTCGAAAATCAAATATATATTTATTTAATAAAACAAAACCAAGTCAATACACCGTGTTCGTATGGGATACTTTTATTAAATAAGCATTGTCCGCGTGGTATATGTTTATTTTATAACAAAACAAAGCCAATAAATGTGGTTTATAGTTTATTTAACACTTTATTAACTTTCTTTTATGTAGGCTTTTGTTTTTGTGTAAGAGGATGCTAATTCCGCAACTTGTGAGAGAATTCCATTTATCCCTAAAAGTTCGAATAAAAAAGCAAAGGAGTCATGTCGTTGATAAAGATGCAATGTATATTTAGATTAGAACCCCTCCAACCCATACTCGTTATCAATATGCATTTCCTAAAGAAATTAAGCGGGTGAAGTGAACAGAGGAGAGAGAGGTTGACTACTTAGGAGGTTCTGAATACCATACCCTCACTTGTTCCATGTCTTGGGCTTCTTTACTTAGTTTTAACTCAATGTGTTTTTTTTCCTTCACTCTACCAATAGGTTTATCATATACGAGTCCAAATGGTGAAAGAAGGAAATTTTTTATGGGTATCCACTATCCACTGTGGGGCGAGTTGTGTGTAGCATAATTCTATATTTGGAAAAAATCTCAAAATACACATATTTTAAAAAAAAAATTCTCAAAATACACACATTTTATGAAATATTCCCAACCTACACATGTTTGGACAAAACCGTGGTGGTTAAACACGGTGAACAGTATCACCGCGGTCGTCAGAAGCGCTGAACGCTTCACTGCATCCTATAAACGCGGTGAAAGCTTGTTGGCCAATCACCGCTTGTATCCAACGCGGTGATGGCCTGATTATTATCACGACTTTCTTTTGGAAAAAATCCCAAGTTACACATGTTTTTAAAAAAAATTCTCAAAATACAAACGTTATGAAAATAATTCCCAATCTACGTTAGTTTGGGCCATCACCGCTGTCGACGAAGACAGTGATTGCATCACTGTTGTCGACGAAGACAGTGATTGCATCACCGCTGTCGACGAAGACAGTGATTGCATCACCGCTGTCGACGAAGACAGTGATTGCATCACTGCAGTACACGGCCGCGGTGAAGGCCTGACCTGCGTCGAAACTTTAAACAAACGTAACTTTGTGCTCGGTTATCCGATCGTAGCGAAATTTTTTTGATTCTGCATAATTTTTCGAGATCTTGCAAGCCGCAAATTACCGTAGGCGGTTTGGTCCCGCCTTCGTCTCGAAAATATGTCGTTTGCTACCCCGGACGGGCCTTTTTCGATTTCGTCAAACTTTGAACGACCATAACTTTGTGCTCCACAATCCGAAAATCATGAATTTTTTTTTTATTTCGCATAACTTTTTAAGGACTACAATTTTTATTATAGACATATTTTCGGAATGTACTTGGATTCCTGAAAAGGAAGGTAAAGTTATTCCCAAAATCCCTTATATCCATAAATAATTCATTTTTTGAAAATTCTCTCCTACTAAATATTGTAGTCCTTAAAAATTTATGCGAAATAAAAAAAAAATTCATGATTTTCGGATTGTGGAGCACAAAGTTATGGTCGTTCAAAGTTTGACGAAATCGAAAAAAGGCTCGTTCGAAGTAGCAAACGACATATTTTCGAGACGAAGGCGGGACCAAACCGCCTATGTCAATTTGCTGCTTGCAAGATCTCGAAAAATTATGCGGAATCAAAAAAAATTTCGCTACGATCGGATAACCGAGCACAAAGTTACGTTTGTTTAAAGTTTCGACGCAGGTCAGGCCTTCACCGCGGCCGTGTACTGCAGTGATGCAATCACTGTCTTCGTCGACAGCGGTGATGCAATCACTGTCTTCGTCGAAAGCGGTGATGCAATCACTGTCTTCGTCGACAGCGGTGATGCAATCACTGTCTTCGTCGACAACGGTGATGGCCCAAACTAACGTAGATTGGGAATTATTTTCATAACTTGTGTATTTTGAGAATTTTTTTTAAAAACATGTGTAACTTGGGATTTTTTCCCTTTCTTTTTGTAGGCAGAAGATTTGGTAATTCTAACTAAAGGCCCATAAAAGTAATTATGCCCAAAGTAATTATCAGTGCTTCTCTATCCCAAAAAAGTGTTCGTTGGCCACCAGTTCTCTTCTAATTCTTCTTCTGCCCCCTTTGATCTATTTTCCTTCTACAACTCATCGCATCTTTCTCATTGGATTCCACCGATTCCCCAGGCGGCGGCTGCCGCTGCTGTGCCATTTATCCTCCTCCCGTAAACCTAACAACAATATTAAAAAACCCCTGCCCGGCGACCATATCTTCCGGCGGCGGCGACAACCCAAAATGGTCACCGAGATCTGACACCATCCCAGTCGAGCTTGAATGATTCCGGTGATTGATTCTCGACCTGCTTTTCTCAAGCGGTCGCCATGGCCACGTCCGGGGCCTCTCCGTCTTCCTCGGACAGACGCTAATTAAGTAATCAGGCCATCTTTTCATAAAAAAATTAAAAAAAAAAATAATCAGGCCATCACTGCATTGGACAGAAGCGGTGAATGGCCAACAAGCGTTCACCGCTATTAAAGGCTGCAGTGAAGCGTTCATCGCTTTCGACGACCGCGGTGATACTGTTCACCGCGTTTAACGAACGCGGTTTTGTCAAAACATGTGTAGATTGGGAATATTTCATAAAACGTGTGTATTTTGAGAATTTTTTTTTTTTAAAAATGTGTATTTTGGAATTTTTCCCTCTATATTTGTGGGTGTGGTTACCCACAAAATGTGTGGCGGGTAACCGCAGCCACCCCAATTTCCATCCCTAATACATTATTAGATTTCAACGAACCCAACCTAGTGCATCATATTATATCCCTGGAAATACTTTGATTGACCATTGAGTTTTCGACTTCCCGCAACCCTTTTTAGATCGTCGGTGCTGGACAAGGATAAGACAAGAACTATCAACGCATCGAAAAACCTCGTAATCGGATCGCGGCAGACCTACTCCTCCATTATGCGATGCATATATTGGTGGGCTTTACAATAATCCCCGGCCGGCCCCGCCCATTGGCAACCCTTCAACCTTCATGTGCGTCACCGGTGGTTCCCGGAAGAAACAAACAACTGCCCGTACCAGCCAGCCTCCTCCAGCCTGATTGATTCTCCCTTCAAGTTGTCCACCAAGTTGATTAATTGATGCATTAAACAATATGCAGGCTCGGCTAGCCAGCAGCCTTTTCCCTTGTCGTTGCCTGCCTGCGGCGCCTAACCTTCTTCGCTTGTTGTTCCGCTTTCTTGCAAAACCATTTCCCACCATTCTTAAATCACAAGTTGAAACGCCTTCCTTCCGTCACCAAAAAAACTTCATTTCCACTTTCTTTCCCTCCACTGGCATAACCGTCTCCGTCCTCCTTCCTACCCACTTGCTATTCTTTAACCAATGACGATCTCCGGTCAAATCTTCACCATGCGCCAGCCTGCTCGCTCTGCATACATATACCCTTTTCCCAGCCATCTTCGATTCTTCAATACTCTGTTCCCTTCTCCCAGATCCATTCGCGTCCGCCGCCGGAATGGAAACCGGAGCAAAATCAGCCCCGCCAGATAAAAAAGGGACTCAAACCCATGAAGTGGTGCTCCAAATCAGAAGCCCCGAGCCCCGCCAGCAGCAGCAGCTTTTCTTTCCCAGTCCCGAAAGCAGAGATCGTCTCCCTCCGGCCAGCCCGCAGGTAGCTTCTTCTTTCCCTCCCACTCCCAGGAACAGCAGTAAACCCAATGCCGAGACGGAGTCGGAGACTCCGACTCCCAGGCTCAGAGTCCCCCACGCCTCCACTTTCCCCGATTCTCCGGGGACGCCGTGGTCGGCGATTCCCTCCCCTGTTTCGAGACCCGCTCCGGCCAGTTCAATAGCAAGAAGAAAGTGCCGTACAGGACAGTCGGAGTTCAGCAGGCCGAAATCCAGGCTCGTCGAGCCGCCTCCGCCGTACGCAAGCGACGCGATTCTCAAGGAAGCCAAGACGGGGGAGGCTGCGGCGGCTGCCCAATTGGTGGCGAACTCCGGTGGCTCGCCTTACAACAAGAAATCCCCTTACCGCTCTAATAACAACAACAGCGGCGCGATTTCCAGTGGGAATGGAAGTTTCTCGAAAGGTACGGCGAAGTCGGCGACTCCGATTACTCCCAGAACGCCGTTGATTGGATCTCCGCAGCGGGGGGAAGAAGAAGAATATGATGAAGAGGATGACGGCAATGGGGTTTGCAAGACCGCAAACGTCGCCCAAGTGAAGAGCAGCAAGACGGGTAGCAAGTGGAAGGTAATCACGTTGCTTGAGATGGCGGCGTTTTTCGTCATGGTAGGGCTGTTAATTGCTAGCTTGACGATTCACAGGCTGCAGAATTCCTACATCTGGGGATTGCAGCTCTGGAAATGGTGCGTTCTGGTTCTAGTAATTCTCTGCGGTAGATTGGTTACTGAATGGTCGGTGAATGTGTTGGTATTCTTGGTCGAAAGGAAGTTTTTGCTCAAGGTGAAGGTCCTCTACTTTGTGTATGGTTTGAAGAACTGTTTCCAAGTCTTGGTTTGGCTAGGGTTGGTGCTTTTAGCTTGGGTACTCTTGTTCACTCATGGGGTTGAGAGATCTCGAGGTACTAGAAGGGCTCTCAACCGGATAACCAGAGCCATTGCTGGGTTGTTAGTCGCGGCTGGGATTTGGCTGCTGAAGACTCTGTTGATCAAGTTGGTAGCTTCCTCGTACCATGTCAGTAGATTCTTCGACAGAATCCAGGAGTCCATCTTCCATCAGTATGTGCTGAGGGCTCTCTCGGGTCCTCCGGTGATGGAAATGGCCGAGGCAATTGGAAGCAGAGTAGGGACACCGGGGCAGTTGAGCTTTAGGAGCATAGACAAGGAGAAGGAAGAGAAGAAAGAGGAGGTGATTGATGTGGATAAGCTGAAGAAACTCAAGCACGGGAAGGTCTCTGCTTGGACCATGAAAGGGTTGGTTGAAGTGGTTCGTGGGACAGGATTGTCAACTCTTTCAAGCATACTTGAGGAAACTGAAGAAACTGAGGAGGAGTATCGGCAGAAAGACTACGAGATTACCAGTGAGTGGGAAGCCAAAGTCGCGGCGCATAAGGTCTTCAGGAATGTAGCCAAAACGGGCAGCAAGTAAGATTCATGAATCTCTGTAACTCTGCCTTGAACAAAACAAGTTAGATTGACAAGATGATTGTTTTAGCTTTCGCAACAAATATATAGTTATGTTGTTTTGGTTGATGTAATGCAGGTACATTGATGAAGATGACCTGCTACGGTTCTTGAAGAAGGAAGAGGTGGACAATTTCATTCTCCTGTTCGAAGGAGCTTCGGCAACTGGGAAGATCAAGAGATCTGTTTTCTGGAAGTGGCTGGTAAGTTAGCTGGTCACCCTTATGGTTCACTTGTTGTGTTAGATCTTTCAGTATGATTATCGGAAGATTTTCCTTCTCATTATAGATTGTTGTACTCCTTTTGCAGGTCAAGGTGTACAAAGAGCGAAAATCGCTAGTACATTCGTTAAACGATACCAAGACTGCCATCGAGGAGCTGAACAAGCTGGTTTCGGCTGTTCTCGTTCTCGTTATGATTGTTGCGTGGCTACTAGTGATGGGATTCCTTTCAACTCAAGTTTTGGTCTTCATTTCCTCGCAAATCTTGCTAGTCGGGTTCATGTTTGGAAGCACTGCCAAGACAGTGTTCGAAGCCATCGTGTTCGTGTTTGTGATGCATCCCTTCGACGTGGGGGACCGTTGTGTCATCGATGGGATCCAGGCAAGAGCACTACACACTCAGCTTGAAAGTATGTGCAGCTTAGTTATGCCCTCCTAGCAATATTAACTCTCTCTCATTTTCCTCCCCATTGTTCTTGCAGATGGTTGTCGAAGAGATGAACCTACTGACGACGGTGTTCCTGAGGTACGACAACGAGAAGATATTCTACCCCAACTCGGTTCTGGTGGGCAAACCCATCAGCAACTTCTGCAGGAGCCCCGAGATGAGCGATTCAGTTGAGTTTTCTGTGGACGTCTCGACCTCGATGGACGAGATTGGGGCCATGAAAGACAGGATCAAAGGTTACTTGGAGAGCAAGCCACAGTACTGGCGACCGGCACACAGCGTGCTGGTGTTGGGGATTGAAGACATGAACAAGATGCATATGGGTTTGTATATAAGTCACACCATGAATTTCCAGAGTGGGGAGAGAGGGGGCAGGATTTCCGATCTAATGGTGGAGATGAAGAAGATTTTCGAGGAGGTTGGGATCAAATATCATTTGCCGCCGCAGGAAGTTCATGTCAGGTACGTCGGAGGATTGACAGCTAATGCTGCTGGGTCAGGGGCTGTGCTGCCACCTCCAAGATGACTGAGGACCTCCTGTGCAGCTATATCTCCTTGGTTTGTTCATAGGGATTTCTCCTTTTTATGTGTAACTTTTTTTTTTTTCTTCCTCTGTATCATAGTCGCAGATTTCAAAGATTTTAACCCAATCACGCAATTGAATAGATGTATAGTTCTTGGCTTCTTGCACAGTTCTGTGTAATAGCTAACAGTCTTATTCTTTATCAGGGAAAGAAAAGGGGGAAAATAACGGTCTTGTGACCTGTGACCTGTGTAATGATCTCTTCCAAGTTCCAGTGTTTGACGGTGGGAATTTGCTTCTTGCAGTAATTAGTTTCGAGCGTATAATGATTGATCACAGCACCACCATACTGCTGAAAGGGTAGACGTTAGGGCGGTATGATATAATTATTATTGTGTTTTATGATTTTAATCATTATACACAAGCAAGTGTTTGTTTGTGACGGACTTAAAGCTCATATAATTGACACAATGATAATCTCACTTCTAATCACATGTTTTGAGACAAATAATATAAATTTGATATAATTCTCAAAACTATGTAAATTAGTTGTATTTTTAACAATGATAGTGACATGATAAAAATAATAGTAACTTTTTGTGAGACCCACTTATTTTATCTCTATAAATCCAATTCTAACTACTTTTTAACAAGATTTCAGTTAACAAATGAAATTCATTCCCTATCCATTTCTCATTCCATAAAATAACAAGATCGAAATTGAATATAAAATTTCATTTCTCAATGTTTTGGTTATTTCCCCTAGATATTCCCAAAGGGAAACAGCTGATATAGTGTACAAAAATAAAGGCTTTTCAGGCCGAAATGTAAAAGAAGGGACACCAGCCAACCAACGATAAGAGAGCATTCTTGCAACGATATGGGCAGCTCTTTAATACATATACGACAAAGACAAGAGTCCTTAACTCAATGTTATGGTTACCCAAATCAGTGTTTGCTAAAGCATGTACTAACGGTCTGATCAGAAAATGACCTAACAAAGCGCAAATTTAGATAAAATTTTACAGATATATTGAATCACAATTAAACCACCATTTATCTGTAACGACTCATCCGGTGTAACTTCTTATATCTCTGAAGTCTGAACATGCCATAAAGTCCTCTCGTCGGAAATGTTGCTACAACTTGGATGGGCTCGAGAGGGTCCTCTTTTCTTTGGCACCGAACTTGCCAGCCCAATCTACGGAAAAATGAAGCCCAAACCGAAGGCGAAAATTCTCCCACTTTAACGAATGTGATGGTGATTAGGCCAAGGAAGATAACCCTATCCACCACTCCCCAACGGAGAGGTTGCCACGTAGGACACACAATCGAGATCTCAGTGTCAGTTTCCTACCTCTCATTTCTCCGCATCCTAAACTAGAAAAAACAGCTCCCTCTTCACTCCCCCCGTCTTTTGTTCCTCAGCGAGAGAGAAGAAACTCCCCAATCAAACCCTTAGAAGAAGAGACACCAGTAAGAAACCAACACAACCAAACATGGCCGCTTCTACTTCAGCCGTGTCAATGTCCATGCCGCTGACCAACGCCAACCAGAAGGCGGCGGCGCTGCTTTCTCCTTCGCAGGGTTTCTTGTCGTTCAAGCCTCTCCCACCGGCAAGGCCATCATCATCCAGCGCCGGAAGGGTCAGATCCCAAGTCGTCAGGGCTTCCCTGAAGGAGAAGGCAGTCACCGGATTGACGGCCGCCGCCCTCACGGCTTCCATGGTCATCCCCGACGTGGCGGAAGCCGCGGAAGTCAGCCCCTCGCTCAAGAACTTCCTGCTCAGCATCATCGCCGGCGGCGTCGTGCTCACCGCCATCATCGGCGCCATAGTTGGCGTCTCCAATTTCGACCCTGTCAAGCGGAGCTGAGAGGGAAGAAGAGGGCCGCAGTTTGCTTTTTGTAATAATTTCTACTGTTAATGCTCTCAATGTAATCTGCATGGTTCCTTTCTAAAGTAAAAAACAATCGTTCATCTTCTCTGCCTAATGCCTATTGGCTATTACATGATAATAATGTTTCTGCCTCGAAGGTAAATGATAATCTAACTAATGGTTATATATATGTAAGCGAAGTGTGAAACTCAAATGCCCTAGTCTGATGAGGGCAATAATGCTCCAGCCTCTATCGAGAATCAAACGTGTTCGAGAATTTAGTACCTGCGGAATCTGGAAATCGTGTCGAGCATGTGTCTGGTCTCCGACGAGTAATCGATCTTGTCGGCCCTGACGACGGTGATCTTCACCTTCGTTTCATCGGCATACATTTCCTCTTTGATCTTGAGCCTGAAAAGGTAAGGGTAGAACACCCTGCTTCTGAAAACGTCTGAAAGTCTCGCCTCGTCCTGTGCCTCGTGCTTCAGTTGGTATACTTCCTTCGCCGGGTAACCCATGATCTCTTCCCCGGACTCCTGGAATGCTGTAACCCAAGCTAACCCTGTGTGGTCCTGAATCTGAAACTGCAGCAGGTATCTGTAATCGCATTCATCGAATTCTTGACTGCATCTGTCGCATACCCATCGTGTTCCTGATCTCGTCGCCTTCTTGTTACACTGCCTGTCCCCTATCATCAATGGACAAGCTGGATAGCAGAACGAGTCCAGTTTGAAATAGGTTATGGTAGCCTTCACGGTGACCCAGTCTGGCTTGTCTGATCTTCCAAGACCTTCCTCTTTGATTTGAGATACAGTTTTCCTGATCTCGTTCTTGGACCCTGAAGGCACCAAGTCCCTGGAAATGGACACAGCAGCAGAGTTCTGGCCAATTCGGGCAAACCAATCGCTCAGGACATGAGCTTCAGGAATGTCTGGATTTATGAACAGCTGAGTAGAAGAAATTGTCCCCACTGATTTCCCGGTGAAGTCACTGACTTTTCCTGTTTTGACAGCTAAAACAGGAAACATCTCCGAATCAACCAACTCTTGCAGATTCTGACCTTCCTTATTGCAGAAATCTCCCCAAAGAGTAAGCTCAACACTTTTACCTGAACTGTCCTTCATACCCACAGTTCTTCGTTGAGTCTCCATGCCATTCTTTCTCAGGATAGGGACTGAGGGGTTCACAGATATCACGATGCCAATTATATCGAGTATGGAATTGTTTTCAGCACTCTCTATCTCGCTGATTGGCTTAAAATCAAACTGTTGCTGTGGTATAGAACCACCATCTTCTTCAGGACAAAGATCGACAGTCGAAGCTGCCTCAAGAAATATCTCCCATTCATTCTTTAGATGATTGAAATTCTTCTGAGCTGGCTTCAGACCACCCTTCGAGATCAAGTAGACTCTCCCTACCTCTATAACATCATAGAAGCGGTCAACAACAGCATTGAAGCAGGTGGCTCTAATTTCCCCTCCATCAGAATCAAGAAGGTCAAAGGAGAAGACCTTGCCATCTCCCTTGGCATTGTTGTAACGACGTAGATCGCCTTTTGCAGTCACTCGGGCCTTGATAGCCCATCGTCCCTGGTACGGATTCAGAGCAGAAATTGGAATCACTCGAGCTGGTGCTTCATTCTTCATAATTGGCCCTTGGTTTCTATAACTTGGAGGGGGTTGGTATGGAGGTTGAACTGTAGGTGCATAAGTCTGTGTATTATTATTATTCTTCCCAGTAGCTGATCTCAGTACACCATTGCTTCCATTTGGAACCATCAACATAGGGTGCGAACCTTGCATACCTTGACTTTGGAGCAAAGGATTAGTCTGCAGGCCTTGCATATTGTTGCTTCCTGGATTTTGAGCATTGAATGCAGGACGAAAACTTTGCATATTACCACGATTGTCATAGACAGACCTGCCTGGTTGCGCTGAATTGAGATTGGAAACTGTCTTCTGAGCAGTCATATCACCCAATTTAGGGTTTCCAATAATATCACAATCTAGGACTATAGTTTCCATATTCAGCACAACCACAATCCTGTACCACAAGAGCAGTAGATTCAGTATTCCACCATAGCAGTGGGAGACAAATTCTTGCTCAAATCTTATCCTTCTATTGAACACAACAGAACAAGTCATAGCTATCTAGAAACCAGGAAAAAACATGCCAGAAAACGAGCAATAACCAGGAACATTGAACAGTTAACTGCTAATGGAGTTCGAAATTTCAAACTGCTGCACGGTACTTCGATCTCTAACGAAGAACGCACTACTACCGAATTCTGCATTTCAACTTCCCAAACGCGAAAAGTAACGACGAAGCCACTATAAGAGATGAGAAACTCACCTGCGATTCTGAACATCGCTGCACATGTAATCAATCAATTGAACAACGGATCCCTTCTTGACGCGGCCGGTCTTGACGCGGTCGTTGAGCTGCGTGGCGAGCATCGCGTGGTGAGTGGAGACGGAATCGGAGATGAGTAGCCGGTACCGCTCCTGGGAGGTGCCTATCTGCTTGATGTCCAGAACCTGAACCAGCGGTTTCAAGTTCAAGTCGCCGCCGTTGATGGCGGCTATTGAGTTGGGCGTGAGATTGATCGACATTGGTTACCGAATGAGGAGAACAGAAACCCTAACAACTGGATAAAATGGGAGAGAGGTAGACGGTAATTAGACGAAGATACAATTTGCTTCAGCTTCCAGTAATGACACCTTGAGCGAGCAAAAATGGAGGTTCCGAATACGACGATCCGTGAGAGAGAAGGAGCAGGCCCGACGACTCTGCGTCTGCGAATCGGAGCTTGAAAATGGCGGGGGTTGGGGTTCGTAAAAAAGATAACCGACTCGAGTTTATATATTTCGGTATGAGATTTGAAAATCAGCACCAAGCAGGCAGGCTGTGCGTGTTGTATAATGCAGATTCTATTTACCATTATGACCTTTCTTGTTTGTCAATTTGAATTTCAAACTAGCAAGACCCGCTAGTTTGGACTTCGTGATGAGTGAATCTAAACTCGCAATGTGATTTCGAGAATTGATCTTGTAAGAGAGTCAATATAGATTCTTAACTTAGAGAGTGTTTTGAAAGGTACATATATTGTTGTTTAATATTAAGAGTACTTGGTAGCATAAGAAAAAAATTAAGGATCGTTTGGATGGGTTAATTGTCAATGTGGTATTTGTAGAGTCAAATAACTCATTTATTGCTCCTGTGATATTTCAGTGGTAATTGAAATAAAGTATCTCGTTTGGTAGAACCATGCAAATGTGGTATTTGACATGTGGTATTTGGTAAAAGCAGAGTGATAAAACAAGTTATTTCGAAATAACACATGACTCGTAAATAACTCACTGTCTAAATAACTCATTTCAGTAAAACGCAATCAAACGAGTTATTTGCGCCCAAATGAGTTATTTTAAACACTTTTAATGACCAAACAATATTTTAGTACTGACCAACACTTGCAATTTACCCGCAACTATAATTACCGTCTAGGAAAAGGAACATCTGCTTTTTAAGTATGGTTTGTCCGACAAGGCTACTCTTGTTGCAAGTTGTAACCATAATTCAAGAGTGCTAGGAGGCTTAAAGACTGTCACGGTAATTATTTATGGGATAGAAAACCAAAAAGAACAGAAATGCAGGAATTATAAATAGGCAACCTGGCTATCTTAAATGTTAACACACAACCGATAGAGTTCACTTGAAATAGCATATCCGGTATCTATCATAACAAAATTTATCACAAGAATTATCAAAACAGATACTAGGTAGACATCAAAACTAAAAACATCCCCTCAACATGCAAACATTTTAGATGTTGTCCAGCCATTGAACAGAGCGACTCAAAAGATGGGTTTCAAGCAACAACAACGGGAACAGGGGGAGGAATCTCGGCCTCAGGAACTGGAGCAGGCATAGAAGCTGCCCTCAGGTACTCTTCCTCGTCCTTTGGTGGGTGAATTGTAACAAGATCGGGGAGAGGAGTTGTTGGGCCAAGCTTACCCTTGGGATCCCAGTCGAGCATGATCTTGACCTTGATACCAAGAACACCCTGCAGATAACAGCATCGCGAATGTTACAATACATACGAGAACACCAACTTGACAGCAGGCTGGAACGTTCATGTCGAACTGAGACTAACCTGTCTCAAGAGGACATGTCTCACAGCCGAGTCGATGTACTCGTTCACTGGGTGTCCAGATGAGATCATGTAACCATCCATGAACTTCATGGATTTAGCACGCTGTGCCCTTAGCTTTCCGCTAACAATGACCTGTTAACACATCATTATTATTAGAAACATTGAATAGCCAACAATCACTGGATATTCACCGTGCACACACGGAATGAAAGATCAGAGACAAACCTCGCATCCCTTGGCACCACTTTCCATGACAAACCTCAACACACCATAGCAGGCCCTGATGCAAAGAACAGAGGACAAGGATCAACAAAGGAATAATACAATAACATAAAGAAGAGAGAAGAACCGGCACAGTCGAAGTATTATGGCGGAGATAATTAGACAACACCAAAACAGACCAACAACATGATAATGTATCCTCTATTCAGTTATCACAAGAAAGCAAAAGCATTTCATGATTATTACTGAACGGGGGAATCATATTCCTTTAGTCATCTTTAGACACAAGTTTGCCAGGAGAGAGCAAATCTGCTGTGTTAATGACAGCACAATGAACCCTAAGCTTATGATGTACAACCTAGGGAGTTTGACCGACAATTAATTACATTTGTTGTATATGCATTGTTTCCTCTAGAACTAGCTGCATGAGCTTGATCGCATTTCATGAAACAATATGTACCAGAGGAATATTAAACAATTTAGTCATCTTCCGACACAAAATTTGTCAAGAGTTAGGCAAATCCGCTTTATAGATGACAATCAGCACATGATAAATGATTAAGAACAATGACGGCAATCATACTACCATTTCCAGAACCAATTGGAAATCAAAGCATTTACCCACAACCATAATTAAGATTTAGAACGATTTGGAATTCATCAATATTCATATTCAAGCTAACCTACAGGTGTCGATTATATCATAAAACTAACACGCCAAAGTTCCACGAAAGCATATAAAGATTGTAAGAGATGGTAAAAAGGTGTGAACCTTCTAACAGCAAGACCACCAAGCAGCTTGTAACGAAGAGACTCAGCCTGGGCAATAGCACAAAGACCTCTGCTGTTCACCTTCTCAGCATACAGCTCAACGCTGTTCTCAGGGAACTTAAATCTCTTCTGAACAACCGACGTCAGCTCCCTAATACGCCTTCCCTTCTCACCTTCATCATCAAAACCCAGATCCCCAAATCTCAGATAAAGATAAAAGCATAAACAAAAACCAAACTCTGTGTCAATTGGATGATTCCACGATAACTAACCCACCCTCGAAATCAAAAACATAATTGAAAATGAAAAGAGAGTAAAGTACCCAAGACATTCTGGGTGCGGGTGGCCCTGATGATGATCTCAGTGCGCATAGGTGTAACCCTAACCTCAACGCCGGAGTAGCCATCCTCGGCGAGTTCCCTGGTCAGAACCTCGTTCAACTCGGCGAAGAACACTCCGTCAGCGACAAACTGCGAGGCACACAAAATCAGAAGCAGTCTCAGAAGCAATCTCTACAACTCTGATTGCATAAAAGATGTGCAGGAAGAGAAATCGAAGAGAAACCTTTCGCTTCTTGCTCATTTGGGTCGCCATCTTGTAGCAGGAAGCAGGATGAATAGGTCGGGAGGCGCTTTATCAGATATATAAGCCGGCGATGGTTTCAGTTTGTGCAAACTGCAGAGAGCCAAAACCCTAGCGCCAAAGGAAGCTTTATACTCGCATAGGAGGTGGCAATCGACGGTTGTCAATCAATCGTTCTTTAGGGTTTTGCTGGGCCTGATGATGGGTTGTTAGACTGGATGGTAATTTTGGACTCTGAGCCCTTAACATTGGGCTTAAAGTTAAAGATATAGAACAACAAAGCCTTTGTTTACCGGTCAGGGGAAGAAATCCTAGCAATGGGTCGGGTCGAAGCGGGTTATTCCGAATCCAAATCTATGAGTTTGTCCGTCAAAAAAACCGCGGTAAAATTCACTAGATTCAGAAAACTTAAACCCAACCCAACATGTTGGATATTCGCGGGTTTATGTACAAAGATGCAATTACACTAGTGTTCACTACTTTTGTCTACTATATACGCACTAACTCACAAATCATTCATTCTAAATTACTAATTGTTCAATATTAAAGATAAAAATCCACAAATAATATAATTAATTGAACGTACGAGGAATTAGTTTAAAAATTATATTTAATTAGTTAAGGATTTTGTGGGTCGTGGGGGGTATGGACTTGGATGCGGGTATCCACGGGTTGGATATAGCTAAACCCAACCCAAACCCGCAAATGAATAGAGGGTTTAAACCCAAATCCAGCCCGCAATCCGTCAAAGTGGGTTTTACCCGCGTTGACCGGGTTGGGTCGGGTAAATTCGGGTTCTACTGCCATCCCTAACAAATGTCTAAAGCTTTTTTTTGTCGATGGTTGCCCTAGAGTTTTCGGATTATGCTCTCGTTTAGTGGGATAAATTATGCACGAAAAGGAGGAGAAATAGACAGCATCCTATTGAAGCATGGGATGAGATGAAGGGTATAATGAGGGATCGGCATGCTTTATCATGTTTGGGAAGACAGCTGAGTATTTACTTCAAGTTACAGCCACTGAACTGTTAGCGCGTTACCCTCAACAACATGGATATTTCCCTCCAGAAATTGTCAACCTCAATGGCCGCTGGTTTTCATTTGACGTTCAACTCCCAAAATTTGGATCCTTACCTCAAACCCCTTTAGAGTTCACTATCCTTTCAATGGCCGGCCACAACCCACCTCAGCAATAGGCCAAACAAACATCAACACGCACATGTATCATCCAACCAACAGTATCATCATCCATACCACAAACAAGAAACTTACTGTTAACTAACTAACATATTGCCTTTACTGTTTTGAATGCTTGCATAACCATTATTTTAGGGTGAATATGTACACTTCTCCAACATTTCCAAAAAGCGCTATCATACATTGACTTATCTCACAATCACCAATTACTGCTCTTTTAAACAACGTTTATTAGAAACAACTCCTTTAGATAGAAACACCGGGTTTGCAAGATTTAGCAAATTCATTGCCTGATGTTTATTTATAATGCAACATTTGAATCTGTACAAATTATTCAGATTTATATGCCAATTTCCACTAAAAAGTACCACACTTCCAAGATGATCTACCCGCCGCGAAGCGCGGGCTTCCTTCCTAGTGTTTTTATTTATTTGCTATATTGGAGAAAATAGAAAAAGGATGAAATTGACCCATTGTGATTGTGATGGTGATGGTTTATAACTTATAAGAGTGAAAGCTTCGTGTGCTTGTTGAAAATTAATCCTGCCCTCACAAATTTGTGATTAATCTAATCTAAACCTAATCACGAAGAAGAAGAATTCTTTATTGCTTTCTTTGCGGTTTTTGCTTTTGTTTGACTGATCTATGGTGGGAATTAATTACAATAAACAAACAGGCTGAAGCACCGTGGGCCGGACTGGAGCGGGCTGTACCAGCACGGAGACTGTTTCCTGGCCCATCAAAGGCTGGCCATCATCGACCCTGCTTCCGGCGACCAGCCTCTCTACAACGAGGACAAAGCCATCGTCGTCACCGTCAACGGCGAAATTTACAACCACGAGCAGCTGCGGAAGCGACTGCCCAATCACAAGTTCCGCACCGGCAGCGACTGCGACGTCATCGCCCATCTGGTAATTCGCCCCCCTTTCCTTGCCCCGGGCTAGATTTCCTTTTCGCCGAATTGTGAATTTTTATCTTCTTTACCCTTGTTAAATTTCTCTAGTACGAGGAGTATGGGGAAGATTTCGTCGACATGCTGGACGGGATGTTCTCGTTCGTGCTATTGGATACTCGTGACAACAGCTTCATCGTCGCTCGGGACGCCGTCGGCATCACCTCCCTCTACATCGGCTGGGGGCTCGACGGTATAATTTTCTCTCGGTGGAATTTGCCGGCGAGAAATTAAAAACTGTTACTGACGCAATTGGTTGGGTTTTCTCCAGGTTCGATTTGGATTTCGTCCGAACTCAAGGGTTTGAATGATGATTGTGAGCATTTCCAGTGTTTCCCTCCTGGGCATCTCTACTCAAGCAAGAACGGCGGATTCAGGCGCTGGTACAACCCGATTTGGTTCTCCGAGGCCATTCCTTCCTCTCCCTACGACCCACTTGTTCTGAGGCGCGCTTTTGAGAATGTAAAGGCCATTCCTTCCTTTCCCTCCAAGTGATTTGTGATTGGATGGTACTTATTGTTCTTGCTGTTTTTTACCGCAGGCTGTGATCAAGAGATTGATGACTGATGTCCCTTTTGGTGTTCTTCTCTCCGGGGGACTGGATTCCTCCCTGGTTGCTTCCATCACAGCTAGGCACTTGGCTGGAACTAAAGCAGCAAAACAATGGGGTTCCCAGCTTCATTCCTTCTGTGTTGGTCTTGAGGTGAAAATCTACGAAATGTCCCATCTTTCCCTGTTGTGTTTAAGTGTCTTTCAGTAGTTCCTTACTGCAGCTTCTTTGCTATCGGCAGGGTTCCCCTGACTTGAAAGCTGCAAGGGAGGTTGCAGACTATCTGGGAACCGTGCACCATGAGTTCCACTTCACGGTTCAAGATGGGATCGATGCGATTGAAGATGTGATCTATCACATCGAGACATACGATGTCACGACTATCCGAGCAAGTACTCCCATGTTCCTGATGTCCAGGAAGATTAAGGCTTTGGGAGTGAAGATGGTGATCTCTGGTGAAGGCTCTGATGAAATTTTTGGTGGGTATCTCTACTTCCACAAGGCTCCTAATAAGGAGGAGTTTCATCGCGAGACATGTCACAAGATCAAAGCACTTCATCAGTATGATTGTTTGAGAGCCAACAAATCTACATCTGCTTGGGGGTTGGAAGCTCGTGTCCCATTCTTGGACAAGGACTTCATCAATGTTGCCATGGCTATCGACCCTCAGTGGAAGATGGTATGTATATGTACATATGTATGTATGCCTCAGTTTGCAATTACGATTGGTTTCTTTTGGCTTAAAGTTTTCTTCTTTTTCTTTTTTTGGTGTGGGTCATTTCAGATTAGGCCGGAGGAAGGAAGGATTGAGAAATGGGTTCTTAGGAAAGCCTTCGACGATGAAGACCATCCTTATCTGCCTAAGGTAGGTTTGATTTTGTTGACACATGATTTTTGCTTCTGTAGGGTTGATTTAGATTGACAAATGGTAGGAGTTTAAAATTGATCCATCCGGTTTCCGTTCAACAGCATATTCTATACAGGCAGAAAGAGCAATTCAGTGACGGTGTTGGCTATAGCTGGATTGATGGCCTCAAAGCTCATGCTGCTCTACATGTATGCACTTGAACTTTCAACTTTCATGCCATCAACTCCTGGTTTTTGGTTGAAATCAACTGTATTCTTATGTGTTTGTTACTTGTTCGACTGATTCGCCTCCCAGGTGACGGATAAAATGATGCAAAATGCGGAATTCATCTTCCCACACAACACCCCAAACACCAAAGAAGCATACTACTACAGAATGATCTTCGAGAGGTTCTTCCCTCAGGTAATAAAAAACCCAACTCAAAACTTCAGAAAAACATGAACGGATCTTAGACCACCTGTAACACCCCTAATCTGACTCCATTGATTGAATCATTTCACCAGAACTCTGCCAGTCTAACCGTTCCCGGAGGAGCCAGTGTGGCATGCAGCACGGCCAAAGCTGTGGAATGGGACGCTTCTTGGTCAAACAATCTAGACCCCTCGGGTAGAGCTGCACTGGGAGTTCATCTCTCAGCTTATGCTGACACCGGCGGCAGTGCTGCTGCTCAGGCTGCCAAGGTGTCTTCTTCAAAGATGATCAACAACAACGTGCTGCCGCGGATGATGGAAGTGAGTGCCAAGGAGGTGGCGATCCATGGCTAATATCTACCGTAGGCTGGCTAGGCAAACAAACCAGCTTACTGGTTCTGTTATGCATTGTGAAAATCCGTAGTGAGAGATGATTGTATGGCATAGGTTTATCTTAGCGTGCCCTCTAGAATTGAATCTGATCCCATGTGCTGTTATTGGGAATGTGTATTTGTACTGTTGCCTCTTGTTGGTTTTGTATTATAAGGTGTGTAATCTGTCCGTCTGTTGTTCAAGATCTGTTTGGAGTTGTACATAAGGTAAATATATGCAGGATTCGATTTGTGTATGTAGTAAAGCTTTGGTCATGTTACCATGTTTATGCTCTTTCTGTTTGCTGAAAGAAATTGACGATTGCGCCAAATGAGAAGCACATGTGATGACGAGGTGTATAGTTTGGGCATGCAATTGCCAACTTGCTGGCCTGCTGGAGGCTATTGTGTGTACGTGGCGGGAAAGGAAGAAACCAACTCAACCATAAAACTCTGCTTACTACTGCTACGTGTTCAGCTCTCCTTCCCTCCATCTCTCAGTAGTACGAGTCTCAGACTGCCACCATCACCATAGTTAACCCTTTCGAGCATCCCATCATTCTTCCAGAGCTTTCCCTTCAGAAAGTAGTGAAGGAAAAAGAAGACGAAGAAAGGAGACAATCATGTGTGGGATACTGGCGGTTTTGGGTTGCGGCGATGATTCCCCGGCCAAAAGAGTTCGGATTCTGGAGCTCTCTCGCAGGCAAATTTCATTCATTCCTGCATTGCTCTTTATTCCCTTTTTTCCCCGGCAGTGTAGGAAAGACGGCCTTATATCTAGGCCCTAGGGGTTAAACGTTAATCGATAATGCGTTTAACAGTTAGCCGCCAATCAAAAAATTATTATTGATAGGTGATCTGTTAAGGCTCTGACTCTGTGATTAACCGTCAGTCATCGGTGCCATTAGCTACTATTATAGCGGTTGACCACCTACCCGCTTGGAAGAGGGAATGGGCCTGAGTTCAGATCCTTAAGGCCTAATCCTTAAGGAAAAACTTAAATAAACTCTATTTTTAGTTAGTTGTAGGAAGTTATATGTTAATTAGTTAATAAAGGTATTTAGGGGATTGTAATTAATATTAAAATTATAATAATTACCCTAATAAGGAGTTTACCCACATGTTGGCCAATTTACCCAACCCTAATTAGTATTGAAATTTCGTCTTTTGTTCCTCCCTTCCCGATCACGACAGTAAGTCTCTCCGTCCGACGTCGACGCTCCCGGTTTCTGTAAGGACCTCCTCTTTCCCGCTCCTGCTATGCCGGCTGCTTCGCTGGATGCCGGCAGGCCTTATGGACCTCCTCTTCTCCATTCCTGCTACGCCGGCTGCTTCGCTGGATCAGTCGGAGCTGCAGACCGGCTGGATCAGTCGGAGCTGCAGAGGCCTTCTTGAAGACCCACGACGTCAACTTCTCCCAAAGGCCTCCCGCCCACTCCGCCGACATCCTCGCCTACGGCTGCACCGACATCGTGTTTGCCCCCTACGACGACTACTGGCGCCAGCTCCGCAAGATATGCACCGTCAAGCTACATTATTAACATAATAACATTGTTCCACTTTTTGCATTTTAACAAAATACGGTTTTCAATAATAATAAGCTACATTATTAAACTTACGCAGTCGTGACTTGACGACGATGTGACCCAGCCACGATGTAGTGGCTCCAGGTCGGGATTGCACCCAGAACGCGATGGCTAGCCAGCGACGGGTTTGCAGCCATTTTAGGGTTCGGAGGAGGCCGATTTTTCCGATATGAATTTTCAAATCAATAGTGAGGTATCGCAAACATGGTTTCTACTGTTTTCCTTTTTAATTATTAATCACATTAAAGTTTTATTATATTCCAATCTTACTCTTTTAGGTAGTTAACTAATTATTACTAATGTTTTTCTCTCCCCTTCTCCTATTGGCTGGAGATGGTTTAAGATCTTCCTTAAGGATTAGGCCTTAAGGACCTGATCTGACTCGCTAGCAGCACACTTCCTTCTTTTCTTCAATTTCGTCTTCTCGCCTCTCTTTTTTCCTCCGCAAATAAAAAAACAAACTCACCCTCTCTGTGAACCAATGGAAGGAAGAATACACCCTATTCTCCTTCACACGCGAATAATCGACCCCCAGTCTCCACCTCTTTTCTCCTTTTTCCGTCCACGTAAAATAAAAGAGGGCTTACGGTGTCGACAACATCGAAGTCGTTCATAGTCGCTTCATTCTTCATTTGAGCTAAGAAGACAAGGAGATTGGAGTAAGTGCGTGCAAAATGGTCAGGGGAGTTTTTTCCTTCAATGAGTGTGGCGGATAGCCTATTTTGAGTGGTTAGTAACTCGTATCAATTACTAATCGGTTTAATTGCTAACGGTCGTTTATTAATTACTTATGATTTGGTAACTCGATAAGAGATTGGTCTTCTGTAAAAGACCCGCATTCTCCCTAGCGGAGGACATTTTAAGTTTTTAACCATTAATTGTCAGTTAGCGGTTAAACCGGCGTAACTGTTTATCACCCCACTGACTAGAGGTGGCAATTGGATCGGATTCGTGGATTCGTGGATTGGATTCGTGGATCCATGGATCAAATGGATTGGATCCAATGGATTGGTGGATTCATGGATTGGATCCAATGGATTGGTGGATTGATCCATGAATCCAAATAACATCCAAGGCTTGGACCAAAATGTAAATTTTGAAAAGTTTAGGTACTAAAATGTCATAACGAAAAATTTTAGGTACCAAAATGTAATTTTCCAATGATATTTTTTGTATAAAAATATAAATTTTAGGTACCAAAATGTAAAATATAAAAAATATAGGTACCAAATCGTAATTTGTCATTTGGATCCATGGATTGATCCATGAATCCACCAATCCAATTGGATTTGGATCAAATGGATTGGATTTAAATGGATTGGATTAGGTGGATAATTTGGTGGATGGATTGGATTGGATTCATGGATTTGGATCCTAATTGCCACCTCTACCACTGACCACTTATAGAAGCATCAAGACCGTTAATTAATTAAATTTATGATCGTCGGGAAATCATTTTGTGGAAATTATTTAAACAGGCTGAAGCACCGTGGGCCGGACTGGAGCGGGCTGTACCAGCACGGAGACTGTTATTTGGCCCATCAAAGGTTGGCCATCATCGACCCTGCTTCCGGCGACCAGCCTCTCTTCAACGAGGACAAGAACATCGTCGTCACCGTACCGTCCTATTTCCTTCCGTCTCCTCTCCGTTTCGCCGCCGGTTGATTAAACCTTGACCGGGAATTGAATCATTTTACAGGTGAATGGAGAAATATACAACCACGAGGAGCTGCGGAAGCGCTTGCCCAATCACAAGTTCCGGACCGACAGCGACTGTGAAGTCATCGCTCATCTGGTTGCTCCTCCGTCCCTTTCTCGGTGAATTTGGCTAGCTGAACTCTGTTTCATACTTTGATCCATCGCATTTTCAGTTGGGTGATTGTTTTTGCTTGACAATGATTTAGCTTGTTCTCTGCGATTGTTGCAGTTCGAGGAATATGGGGAAGATTTCGTGGACTTGTTGGACGGAATGTTCTCGTTCGTGCTGTTGGACACTCGCGACAATAGCTTCGTCGTTGCTCGGGACGCCATTGGCATCACCTCTCTGTACATCGGCTGGGGACTCGACGGTAAGGTGTTTCAGTCTTTTTTCTTTTCATACGCATGAATGGTTGTCGGCCAAATTCGGACTGGAAGGAAACAGGATAAACTGTTACGTGACATAGAGATTGATATCTTTGTTCAGGCTCTATTTGGGTTTCTTCTGAACTGAAAGGTTTGAAGGATGATTGTGAGAATTTCGAGTACTTCCCTCCCGGCCATTTATACTCCAGCAAATCCGGTGGATTGAGGCGATGGTATAATCCACTATGGTTCTCTGAGGCTGTTCCTTCCTCGCCCTACGACCCAATCGCTGTCCGAAGCGCTTTTGAGATGGTGACAATAACTGATTGTTAATTTTGTTGTGCTGAGGGAGAATGGGAGATGAAGGAAGATGGTGCTTATTGTTCTTGGTTTATGACGCAGGCTGTGATCAAGAGATTGATGACTGATGTTCCTTTCGGTGTTTTGCTCTCTGGTGGACTGGATTCCTCTCTAGTTGCTTCCATCACCGCTAGGCACCTGGCGGGAACTCGAGCTGCCAAGCAATGGGGTTCCCAGCTTCATTCCTTCTGTGTTGGCATTGAGGTGAAATTTTCAAATGTTCCAGCTTTGATTCTTGAATTTGGCTAGTCCTCCGGTGAGCAGGATCGTTCCCTGTGATTTAGGAATATTTGGTTTTTGAGAATTCGTTCTTGTCTGGATCTTATGCAAAGAAGAATGTATTTCCTGGAATACATGATAAGATCTATTAGCCAAAGAATACATTTACAAATCCATATGTAGAATGCATTAATCTCTTATGAAACATCTATTTCACATGCATTGGTGCCTATGGATACCCTCAGCGTTCTTCACTTGTTTATTTTGTAGGGGTCTTCTGACTTGAAGGCTGCAAGAGAAGTTGCAGACTATCTAGGAACCATCCACCATGAATCCACCTTCACGGTTCAAGATGGGATCGACACGATTGAAGATGTGATCTATCACATCGAGACGTTTGATGTGACCACCATTAGGGCAAGCACACCTATGTTCCTGATGGCCCGGAGGATCAAGGCTATGGGTGTGAAGATGGTCATATCTGGTGAAGGCTCTGATGAAGTGTTTGGTGGGTATCTTTACTTCCACAAAGCACCTAATAAGGAGGAGTTCCACCGTGAGACGTGTCGCAAGATCAAAGCACTTCATCAGTATGATTGTTTGAGAGCCAACAAGGCCACATCTGCTTGGGGGTTGGAAGTCCGAGTTCCGTTCTTGGATAAAGAATTCATCGACGTTGCCATGGCTATCGACCCACAGTGGAAGATGGTACGTATAAATATGCCTAAGCTTGGGGGTTGGTTCTGTCTTTTTAGACTCGTCATTTATTTTACTAAGTTTTCATGTGTACTTGGTTCCAGATTAAGCCAGAGGAAGGAAGGATAGAAAAATGGATTCTCCGGAAAGCTTTTGATGATGAAGAACGCCCTTATCTACCTAAGGTTGATTCTATTGCCAGATTCTGTGCCGTCGATTCATATTAACAACTGAGGTGGAAGTTTAAAATGATCATGTTTGGCTTTCCTTTCCACAGCATATCTTGTATAGGCAGAAAGAGCAGTTCAGTGATGGTGTCGGATATAGCTGGATTGATGGCCTCAAAGCTCATGCTGCCGAACATGTATGCATATCAATCTCAGCCTTACTACTTCAACTGCCTCTTCTTTTCCATTGAATTTAGTATAACTTCTGATTTGTTGCTTCTGCATGAAACCCCTCTTAGGTGAGCGATAAAATGATGCAAAATGCTGCTCATATCTTCCCGCACAACACCCCTAGCTCCAAAGAAGCTTACTACTACAGAATGATCTTTGACAAATATTTCCCGCAGGTGAACAAGACATTAGAACTTAAAACTATAGAATGAATGTAGTTTGAGCCTTCCAGGAGCTAATTTGGGTAGTTTCTATGGATTGAATATACAGAATTCAGCCAGTGTGACCGTTCCTGAAGGAGCAAGTGTGGCATGCAGCACAGCCAAAGCTGTGGAATGGGATGCTTCCTGGTCAAGCAATCTTGATCCTTCTGGCAGAGCTGTGCTGGGAGTTCATCAAGCTGATGCCGTGGATAATGGAAATAAAACCTGATACGTGGTACGTGAGTGATTGATATGTATACACGGTCTAGTAAGAATAATTTGTTATGTTGACTTGATTTAAACTCCAAATAAAACTTACTTACAATTTGTCACGTTGAATAGTAAAAAGGGTGAACCTAGGTTGATATGAAGGACCTCCACACCAAATCGGTTGTCCTGAACAATAATGGATGCTCTAGTCGATATTCATCTCCTATATAAAATATATAGTTAGGAACTTATGTTGGTGTAGACATCTTCGTATGAAACTAATCGACGTTAGGATGAACATGGTTGGCTGCTATAAGTGTCACAAAATGTATCAAATATTGACAATGTATCTGTCGACAATATCGGTTAATTGGTAAACCAAAATTATTTTTCAGACCCTAGATAAATTTTAATTGGAGTTGTTTTATCAAGTCATCATACTCATACCGGTAAAAAATATCGAAATTCTGTACTCTATTAGTCTTTTGCATTCTTCCATTCGGAAATTTATCTATAGATGGCGTATAAAATCAAGGTATGTCTTGAATTACATCTCATATACGAATCACATGTCATAAAATAAAAATGAAAAAAAGTTTACAAAGTGTCACAAATACATAGCAAGTACTCGTAAGTTGTAACTCGTGAAACTAAGCGATTATTGAGAATCATCATGACCTTCATTGTACAGACCTTTCATTTCATAGTGTTGGAAATACTGAAGAAGTTTATAAAGGAGCTCCCACCATATACCATGTATGAAACATATAATTATGCAGCAGCAGTAGAAGCACCTTCCATCAACTGCTTCACCTTGGCAATGTACTCGGTCATTGCCTCTTCTTTGCTCTTCCCTGAACAACAATCATGAAACCCACAATCAAATGATCAACCAGCTATGGTTTTCCCCTCTAAATTGGTCAATCGTCAAGTAGATCAGGTCGACCATTTCAATCAAGTTAATCAAAGAAGCATAAGATTGACACCTTCAACTGCTTTCCAGGCGTCCCATTTCGCCCTTTCAGTTGGACTGAACATTCCAGGACGATCTGCATATACAACTAACTGATCAGCATCCTTTGAAACGATGATAATATATCAGATCAGGGTAGAAAGCATGAACAGACACCGAACTGAAATGGGTTTATAGAGTACTATTCTATAGCTAGATACAAGATGTGGAATAAGGATGTTTGATTACTTACTGGTGTTGACAGAACCAAGGGTGGATTGCTTGAAGAGTCCATAGAGGACGAGCTTATCGGCATCCTTCGTCGCCGGAGGCAGTGACTTTGCCTTCTCAGCATACTCCTTGAACTCCTCCTGTTCAATATATAACCACAGTAATGATTCGAACACCTAAATTACTCATCGATCAATCGCAAAAACCAAGCTACTGACACTCAGAAGGCGGAAAGAAAGGAATTAAAAGGGGCAGATTAAGAAACCTCCAACGCCATTCTTATGTGTACAGCTTCCTGGTCTTCTGTCCTGGGGTTTCCTGTGTATATATAGCTTCACTAGCAGTGCTGGGCTGTGTATTTGTAAGGGAAAAAAGGACGAGATTAACAAAGGCACTCCATCTTGGTAGATCCACCGACCCACCAACTAATTAATGTATGTAGTTGTATCCACCGACTACTCTTAATCCAGCGAAAGAAACAAGAAGCAGGGAAAGAAACAGGATGCAACAATTAATCATGAGAAAATTTGGCCTCTTGTGAAAACCCAGAAGATGCAATTCAATTCATTCAAAGTCACGCAACCCAGATCACCATGGAGCTCTCATCCCACATCACCCAAAGCAAGAAATTAACTCACCGGGAAAAAGGATGAAGCGGCGAAGACTACGAGATGGGATGAGAAGCACGCGTCGAGAAGAGCAGCAGTCGACGGAAGCGAATTCAGCTCGAAGGACGATAAGTAGGAGACGGCACCGATGTCAGCTGGATGGAAGAAGGACACTTGGCGGGGATGAAACGAGGATACGGCTGCGAGAAGGGAGTGAAGGCGACAACGAAGGGATGGCAGCGACGAGATGCGGCAGGGAACGGCTCAGAGAGACGAGACAGCAGCTGGAGGTGGAGCCGAGAAAAGCCCACCATCGGCCCAAATCAAAATACCCAAGTCTTAGTCCAGTGCTGGAAAAAATGTCGTAGGCTCAAGAGGCAGAAGATAATCAGCCCATAAAGGCCCACAGCGGGCCTAGAAAACAATCAGCCCGCTTCTTCTCTCTCTCTCACCAAGCACAGTCCCAACTCGGCAACTCCCACGCTCTTCCGCTGCTGCTGTTTTCCCGTGCCGCCGTCCCAAACAAACCTTTCTTCATCACTGTCTCCAACCCTCTTTAGATTAAACAATAACAATAATGTCCATGCTCTCTTTCAGAGCCACACGGCCTTACTTTTCTTCGCCATTTCCCCCAACCTTCCCCTCTCCCAATCGCCGCCGATCCTTCCCCCTCTCCTTCGTCAGAATGTCGACCACCGCCGCTCCTCCGGAAACCATCGAGCACATCGTGCTTTTCAAAGTCAAGGAGAGCGCCGAGCCTTCCAGAGTCCAATCCATGCTCAGCTCCCTCAACGCCCTCGTCTCCCTCGACCCGGTCCTCCACCTCTCCGCCGCCCCGATCCACCGGCTCAAATCCTCTCCCTTCCCCTTCACCCACCTCCTCCACAGCCGCTACGCCTCCAAGGACGACCTCAAGGCCTACGCCGTCCACCCCAGCCACGTCACCACCGTCAAGGAGTGCGTCCTCCCCGTCTGCGAAGACGTCATGGCCGTCGATTGGATCGCGCAGGACCTTCAGGGACCCATCGTCCCGCCGCCGGGGTCGGCGGTTAGGTTGAGTTTCCTGAAATTGAAGGAGAGTTCGGCGGCGGAAGCCAAGGGCGAGATCCTCGGGGTGATTGGAGAGGTGAAGGATAAGTTCGAGGAGATCCAGCAGCTGACCGTCGGGGAGAATTTCTCGCCGGAGAGAGCGAAAGGTTATTCGATTGCGTCCCTGGCTGTGTTCCCTGGGGTTGGTGAGATCGACTCGGTGGATGCCAAGGGAGAGATGGTGAACTCGGAGAAGGATAAAGTTAGGGAGCATTTAGAGAGCGTTATTGTGCTCGATTACGTAGTGCCGTCTTCACAGCCGGCTAGTCTCTGATATCAATCGTTCTCTCCTTGAAACCCCTCCTCTGGTAGGTTGTGCTTAACTTTCTGTGGCTGCTTCTTGATCTGAAAAACCTTCTGAAGTATGCTTAACTTTCCATTTGATCATGCAATTTGGTGAATGTTTGGGGTGCCCTGGTTTTCCGACTTGTTGATGGTCTGCTTGATCATGCTTAGCATACTTTGGTGGTTGATTGTGTTTCGGCTTGTGCCCAATTCCTTAGCATAAAATGTATATGCAGTTGATACTAGTGGAAGGTCTGGCGTATGTAGAACAGTTACCCTTTTGCTTTCTCTGCTAGGTCTGCAATGTACATTTACCCTTTTGCTTTCTCTGCTAGGTCTGCAATGTAGCTTTGTGCGAAATCTAGTGGATTTACGGTTTCGCGATTATCTTTATGGATGTTTTGTTGGTCCATTGGAAGATGATGGTGATGGTACTGTTTCAGTATCAAATGCACCACAAACTAGCTGGTTTCTTGTGTCTTTGATGAGAGGGAGTTGCAACACAGATATTAGGATGTTAATTATGGAGTTTGGAGAGATCGGCTTGATATTGATTGTGTCACGGGACGAAAGGTTTATTTTCGGTCCATAGGAATTGCATCCATGTCCTTTCATGAAGAAAGATTGATCCTTTTGGTGGCTGGTTATGCAGCATTACGTCTTAGGAACCATTATTTGCATGTAGAGGTTCTTCGACGAAGGTTGTTTTAGTTGCCTGAGGAGCTCTTAAGTCGCTTTAACTGTGATTTTAGAACACATTTTAGAATTTAGATGGCTTCGGAGGTGTTTCTACTCTACGCCGTATAGTATTCAGAGCTCTATGCCCCTCATTGTCTACCCCCCATTCAGTCATTCACATATCCCTGTTCCTGCAAGACTGCAACTCTGCAAGTGATACTTGCAAGTTCGGTCTAGTCTAGGCGGCTCCCTCCTTTCCTTTCTCTCCCCTGGCGAGGTTGTTGATCCAGGTCGTCTTTGTCTCTTCTCTCGTCGTGACAGATGCTACAGAAGAAAAATTCAAGCTGCTAAACTTTGGATTTGCTGGACTTTGTATGCTGCTGTTGCTGAGTGGTGAGTTATGAGGACTTGCGCGTACAGTTTCCAATCTCAAGTAGTGATCTTTCTTCTAAATTATGATGCCATGAGCCCTGTGACGTTGATACAAGTTACATAAAATGAGTATCCATAATCCATTCCACTAAAACTGGAAGTGAAATCTGCAGAAACAGTAACATCTGTGTTTGCTGCTTAAAGAAATGAAGCCCCCTTCAAAGATCAAATGGGGGAGGTGAGGTCAAAGTTAAAGCCATCTAAAATGTGTGCACTTTGTTCAACTCGCAATCTATCTACTACACTTTTAGATCAGCCAATTGTTAGAATCAAAACAGCTTCTCTTGCTCGGAGCCTTAAACCTCTTCCTCGCCAACAACAGGCGATTCAAACAACAGGCGATTCAAACAAACTGGAAAGGGGAATTGGCAATTTGGCATGCCATGCATTAGGCGATCGCCATGGAAGCCAAAGCAACCACCACCATTGATGACTTTAGTAGTGTGTAATAATAAATCAGCGATGCTGCAGGGACCATGCTGTATGTACATTGAGACGGGCACATGAAAGACGAAATGATACAAATATGTGCAGTGGAGCGGCCGATGTGGCTGGTAGCCTAATTCGGAAGTTGATTGCTACAGAATTGTACGCCCAAGGGATCCAATACACATTGATGATTCTTGATAAAAAAAAAATATATATATATTATTGGTGGAGATGGCCACAGCTCGCTGCCCGGTTCCCTTATATGGATCGTGTGGAGGGGCTCGGCAATTGACTCATTTATTTGCATATTTCCACTTAATCTCTGCTATCAATTCCTCCCACCGGTTTTTTGTCTCAATCGATTTTGCTTCCGACGAAGAGAAGTAAGGGTTTATATAATTTTGTTTTATTTTAGGGTTATAGGTATATTGTGTCTCTTTACTAAGTCGTTTTTATCAAACATGTTCCTTTATTATGTTTTACATCAAATATGTCTGTATACTTTAACAAAATGATCAAACATGCTTTTTTATTAAAATTTTCATTCAAAAACCGTTAACCACGACCGAACTTTGGTTTGGACGGCACAAATGTCTAAAATATCTCTAATAATTTCACTTTAGATTTTTTTCTTGCTCTTTTGTATGGCCAAATAATTCTAATAATTTCAATTTGACTGGACCCGGAGAACTAAAATAGGGGACAAAACTGACATTGTCCCTCTCATTTGTCGATGTCGGGTCGTCTAAATCTCGGTTCGATCATGATTGACGATTTTTTGGTGAAAATTTTACCAGAAGGGCATATGTTTGATCATTTTTCCAAAATATAGGGTTACAAAAATAGTAGAAGGATATGTTTGATAAAACGACATAGTAGAGGGGGCATATTATACCTATAACCCTTTATTTTATTATTTAGGGTTATTAAACATGTAATTTTGTCTAAATTTTTATTGGTCTTTCTTCGAAGTTCGATCTTGTTTTTTTTATCGACTTAATTCACATAAGAGGTGGAGGTGGAAGTGAATGAATCAAGAACAAATCTCTCTCAAAACTATCAAAAACAAATCTCCATCGAAACTCCTCCTAATTATAATTTCTAAACTAATAATATAGCATTAGAAATCACATATGCAATTACAAAATGAATTGCATTGATAAGGATGATGTTTCAATTATATCAATTGAAATGACCACCTATAAAATGGGCGATTTAGGTAATTTCGAAAATCACTTTGATCGAAGCTCTTATGATTTTAGCTCTTGTTATCATAACCAGACCGGATCAACGGTCACATTGGTAGAACCACTTTGTTCGAAGCTATTATGATTAGCTCTTCTTATAAGAACTGGATCATATTAGTAGCAACACTAGTAGAATAGACAAACCAGTTATAATAGCAGTTCGGTTCATTTAATTGGACGATTAGAGATGAATCTAACGAGTTTTCATTGTTGGATATTGAACCAGATGCACCACCCTGGTTTGACTAGTTTGCTGGTTCTTTCTTTTAGCCATAAATTTTTTAAGAAAAAAATATTATAATGTGAACTGAGGCAATCTGGTTACTAATTTTACTTCTATTTCTTGTTCTTCATTTTCTGCCTTCCTACTAGATTTATGCGCTTCACTACCGACTACCGTCCTAATTATTAATTCTAATTTTAATGTATGATTTCTTTTGTGAGACACTTTGAATGATATATAAGAAGTTTTGGTGTTTCATTATATGAGTTTGGAATTATTAAGTCCTAAACTAATTTGTTATATATGCCTTACATTTTATAGGATCTGTATAGTTTTGTAATGGTTAACCTACGATTTTACCATGGTTAACCATTGCATCACTAACTTCTCCTGTTCTCAAAACATAGATTTTAGCTGTGGAGGAGTTAGGCTGAAGTCAAAAAGGACTATAACTCTCCTCAATTTTGAAATATTAATAGATGTAAAATGCATAACAATTGTTTGACAAATAAATTAGTCAATAAAATCTTAGCCACCTTCTCAATTATATCACAGTTCACATTCGATTCAAATTTCTAATTCTGCTACTATTTTCACCATCAATTTCTCATACTAGTGAGAGCCTACGAGAGAGTGAGTAATGAAATTAAATCGAAGAATACGCACGCCATGTATATACGTACGTACTTTTCACCCAAAGTAATCTTTGCATAGATAGCAAAGAAGCACGAACACGACAAAATATCCCACCACGACCGAATGACATCATCATCAACGGGTTGGGAATCATAAACACGCACAAAATGACACGAAACGCCAACCTCGTACGGGCGCTCTGCTTACCAGGCCGCCACCAGCCCAGAGGCCCATCGAACGAAGGAAGGAAGGTGGCGCTGTATATATATATATATAAACCACTACGCCAGAGCAATTACTCTCCCACTCTCCCTTCTTGAGCTATGCTCAAGACTAACCGGTCATCGTCAGCTCTGATTCCGCCGCTACCTCGCTGCCGATCATGGGCCGGAGCCCCTGCTGCTCCAAGGACCAAGGGCTGAACCGCGGCGCGTGGACGGCCCACGAGGACCAGCTCCTGACCCGCTACATCGACTCCCACGGCGTCGGCAAATGGCGCAACCTCCCCAAGAAGGCCGGCCTCAACCGCTGCGGCAAGAGCTGCCGCCTCCGCTGGCTCAACTACCTCCGCCCCGACATCAAGCGCGGCAACATCTCCCCCGACGAGGAGGACCTCATCATCCGCCTCCACAAGCTCCTCGGCAACAGGTGGTTGTTACAATATCCATCACGACACTGCTGGTTTATAATTCCCTTTCTTTTTCCCCCCCTTTCTCTGGTTGCTGACAAAGTGTTCGATGATTTGCCTGTGAGAATTAAGATGGTCTCTCATAGCCGGGAGGCTACCTGGGCGGACGGACAACGAGATCAAAAACTACTGGAATACCAATTTGGGGAAAAGGGTCGACCCGCAAACCCATCACCGCCTCTCCACCACCACCTCCGCCGCCGCCGCTTCCCCTGCTTCTGCTCATCCCAGCAAATTCTCAGTCAAGCCCCGCCGGAAGCTTGTTCCCCCACCCGCAACTGCCACGGCCCCGGTCCGGGCCAAGCCTGCAAAGTGCTCGAAGAATAAGCTCGTTTTCTATCCACGGCGGCAGGAGGAAGAGGGGAACAATAATAATAATGACGCTGGAGTAATTTTGGCCGGGGATGGGGAGAAGGCAGAGACGAGCAGCCTGGCTGCCGTGGAAGCTTCCTCGTCCTCCTGCGCCCCCGCGAATAACGGGCTCTCTGGCGGCGGAGATGACAACGGTAATGAGAATATTATTAATAGTGGCCGCCGTGATGCGAATAACCCACTGCAGGGGACGGATGAGTTAATAATGACGGTGGATTTTGGCGCGGCAGCAGGGGCGGAGATCTCGCTGTCAGAGCTGCTGGCCGGCTGCGATGATTTCAGGGATTTGTGCGATTTCAGTCATCATCATCCCCACACAGCTGGATGCAGCGGCGGCAAGAGCAGAGACGAGGTGGAGATGCTGATGGCGGCCGGCGGCTGCGGGGAGATGCTCATTTCGTCGGAGGAAATGCTGGAGGAGGGTTGGGATATTGACGTCACGGCGGCGAGTGATCTGAATGGGTTCGATGGTGCTGGATTTCTTGGTACCGGCGTCGGCGTTGATGATGAGGAATGGCTTGGCATTGCGGAATGCTCGAGTAGTTAAAAGAGTTTACTTCATTGGTGTTTTTGAGGATTTTTCTTTTATCATTATGTTCGTATAAGCTAATATGATATCATCTGAGAATTGAATCTTTGCTTTCCCATGATAAACTCGTTTTGATCGTTTTCTTATTACGATGAACTCGTATCATTTGAATGCTGTTGTAGTCGAATAAATTTCGGGGCTATTGATCCCGATACAACCCAATCATTAAGGGTCGACCGATGAACTATTGGGAGACTGACCACTTTATAAGCTAAGCAAGGATAAGACACTCCTCTCAAGTCTCACCCGAGATGCTACAAGAGCGGGCTCACGACCATTCGAGAGTCAATCAAATCACCAAGAACTTATTAAACAATGATCCCGTCATCGGTAATTAAATCCGAGACTTTAAATAGGTACGAATCCTCGCTCTCATTTTTATCATTTATTCTTATTAGCATGTTGACCGAATTTTTGAAATTTTCTTTTGGGGAAAAAAGAATATGTCTATTGCGTATGAAATTAAGGCAACGAGCATTGACATTACCCACCCACAAAATTTCCTTTTGGATTACACTTTCACCAGAACGTGCCTTTTCAGCATTTAGCGTCCTGCAGCAGCCACCAGGAAGAGAGGACATAGAAGCATCCAAGCATTAACTTCTAGCTGCTGAGCGTACGTAGAGTGTGTCGTTCAACTCAACTAATACTGATATTGCTTGATCGACAGAATTAGTTTCAACCATTGTAATTAAGGGATATGAAAGACTAACTACCCATGCATATGCCCTTAATTAGTTTATATACGACATGGCCTATCTATTTGAAACTTTCCTTTTCGTGTAGAGCAGTAGAAAAAACCCATATGGGGAATGAAAGAAGATCCATATATCCCTCTGGTCACCAGCTAGAAAACACTAATTTGATCATCAACTCAACAAGATAGCAAGGGTATGATGTTGGGGCCATGATTGTTAACATGTCTCTATTTTGAGTTTTTTTTTTTAATGACATAAGTTAGATTGACGTAGTTTAGTATCAATGTCATTTTGTTGGGTTTTCGGACAGGTTGTGGCGATAGAGTCGAAACAAAAAAGACAGTACGAAAATTAACAACGATATATGTTTAGTTTGTGGTTCTTGCAGCTTTGAAACTGAAAACGAAAATGTGTTTCGTACTATAGTTACTGCTGCCAGAGGTTGGATACAAATATTAGAGTGAATATGATCAATTTTTTCAATTGCACCTATGGATAATGTTGTGTTCTTTGTTAGCATCTCACTTGTGTGCTCTTGATATCTCTCGAAAAGACAATTTCAAAAACATAAAATTCAGCATGAAAATTCAAACGAAACATAAAAATATGTACAATATCAAGAACAAAAGTAACCTAGATGGAACGGAAAATTTTCAACACTATTATTAATTAAAGCTAAACAATATCTTTTATTAATTAAAGCCCACCCATTGACCGCAATATTCGGGTTCGGTTTTACTCGTACCTGCCAAAAATCCATCGAATTCGGATTTTACCCTACTCGATTAGATCGGATTCAGGTGGATATCCACGGTTTCTGGCACCTTTATGTGCTTCTTTTTCTCATAGAAAACCAAAGGAAAGTAAAATTTATAAGATAAAACCTATGGGAGGAAACCAAATTGGAATTGTAAATGTAAAAGTTAATTAAAAGAAAAAGAATGGAACCATTCTATATCTCACTCCAACGGAAAAAGGGAAAGGAATAACGAAACTTTGAATCCGTTCCGTTCCTTCCACTTTCAGACTACATTTAACCATTAAAAAATCGAAAATAAATTTTAGGCCAATCCTTAGGCGCCATGTGTGATGGAAGCAGCTACGGGCTGCAATTCGGGTTGCTGCCAAGTATTGCCCAACAAATAGGGATCCTGGTTATGGAAGAAAATTCTGAAACTGTGTTCCTTGTTCCAATTTCGACTTGAAGTGGATGTGAGTAATATAGTTAGTTGGGAAAGGAAGTTGTTGCATAAATTCTCTATTAAGACCATATGGGAGTCAATTAGATTTCGAGGACAGGTCATTTGACACAAACTATTGTGGGGGAAGCATGTGGCTCCAAAAAAAAAAAAAAGGTTCTTGACATGGATGGTAATCATGAATCGCATCAAAACAAGAGATAAGTTGAAAGCTGGGGGCTGATTAGAGGGTGTAAGTTTGATCCTAAAATTTTACTGATGGGTCAGTTTGTCTATAAGGTCAGTTTAGGGACGGGTCCGTTTTTTACCCTATAAGGATCGGGACAACTTAGGGACGGGTCACTTTTTGACCCTGTGATCCTTAGCATTTAACAACAACAAATATCTCATATCATATTGGACCTCTTTGTAAAAGTTTTAAAAGTCTAGGTACTAAATAGCAAAAATAAAAAAATTTAGGTACCAAAATGTAATTTTACCATCAAAATTTAAGGACTTACTTGTAAATAATAAATTTTATGTACTAAATTGTAAGAAAAAATAATTTTGGGTGCCAAAAAATAATTTGATAAAAAAATAGTGTGTAGATTAGGATCGACCCACTGACCCGTCCCGACTCGTCCTATCCCTTGAGGGTCAGAGAGGATAAGAAAGAGAGAGGGACAGGACGAGTCAGATAGGGTGAGGGTAATTTTCAGCCCTAGGGTTGATTGATTCATATAAGTTCATAATCCAAGTGACATACCCATATCTGAGTTTATTCTTGAGCTCTCCATAGACTTCGGAATTCAACCCCGTGATCCACAAGTTTGAATCCGTATAATTTTGACAAACAAATATTTTACTATGTTTTCCCAAATTTATATACAAAACCACAGTATTTATTTAACAAATTGCATTTCTTTTTATGAATAGTTATAATTAACAAATTGCTGATGGAGACTTCGTTTGACGAATTGGTAAACGTATGTCCCACGTATAAAGTAGGTTCAGATTGGAACCAAATTGTTAGAATGCGTAAGCAACTAAGCATCACTTACCAATCCGAAACTGCCTAGTCGCCATTGGTAGCAGTGCTTGTCCAATGCACTTACCCCTTTGACAAGTCAGAAGACAAATCCGTAAACCCAGTTGCAGTGTTTGACAAGGAACATCACTTTCATCACATGAGGTCGTCGACTCGTCGGCAATCAAATCCCAGGTGCGTTTTAGTGTGTGTGTGTGTGTATATATGCAGAGTGCTGCCCATCAAATCCCTACCAAAATCCACATCCTGAAATCTCAAACAAAACACACACCAAGAAACACAATCATGGTCATGGACTACCATTTCTTAGTCTTTTCTAGCCTAGCGGCTATCATCTACGGCGCCCTGCGAGTTTCCTATTCCATTTGGTGGAAGCCCAAGTCCCTGGAGAGGAAGTTGAAGCAGCAGGGAATCACAGGGACGTCCTACAAACCGCTGCTCGGGGATATGAAGGACTTCATCAAGCACATAACCGAATCATGGTCCAAACCCATCAATCTGAACCATCAGATTGCAGGCCGGGTCGACCCATTTACGCTGAACATCGTCCAGAAGTATGGTAAGGAACTACTGCTGCTGAGTATTAGTGTCTAGAGCCTAGAGAAGTAGTCACCTCACCTGTTCAAGTTGGGTTTTATGTAGCTAACTTTTTTGACACAGGAAATGTGGCTATGTTCTGGTTTGGGAAAACACCAAAGGTGATCATCAAAGACCCAGAGCTGATACAAGAGGTGCTCTCCAACAAGCTTGGCCATTTCGGGAAGCCGCCTTTGAACCCACTTATCCTCATCCTTGCCAGAGGGTTGACGGTTCTGGAAGGTGAGAAATGGGCTAAACACAGGAAGATCATCAATCCTGCTTTCCACCTTGAGAAGCTCAAGGTAAAAAAAACAGAGTTGTATAATTTTACTATTATATAACAAATTGCTGTGTGTAACTGAGATAAAGTAAAGTCTTACGGTAATGAATTGGGGTGCGTGTGGTGAAGGGTATGTTGCCTGCATTTGGGCTCAGTTGCAGCAACATGATAGCACAATGGAACGAAATGGTTGGTCCTCAGGGAACTTGTGAAGTGGATGCCTGGCCTGAGCTTCAGAAGCTCACCATGGATGCTATCTCAAGGGCTGCATTTGGTAGCAGCTATGAACAAGGGAAGAAGATCTTTCAGCTTCAGAAAGAACTGATTTTGCTGGTTATGGAAGCCATGCAGACCTTGTACATTCCTGGGTTCAGGTATTTAAAAGCCTTGCTCCTTCCTCGCAAAGAAGAATAATGCATCATAATTTCCCTACCCTTCCTGGTAGGGGTAGGGAAATGGTCAAACTGATACCGAAACCAAATTTCTTAGTTTTTGATTAACCAAAACCTAATTCAATTTGGTTTGTAGGTTTTTGCCAACCAAGAAGAATCTGAGGAGGAAAACACTGGACAGAGAGATAACGTCAACGCTGAGAGGTATAATTGAGGAAAAGCAGAACGCCATGAGAGCTGGGGAATCAAGAACTGATGACTTGCTGGGGCTTCTCTTGCAGTCAAATGAACAGAACAACCAATCAGAAAGCACGAGTAGCAAGAAAGGTGACCATGGTTTGACAATAGAAGAGGTTATAGAGGAATGTAAGGTATTCTATGTGGCAGGTCAAGAGACAACCTCAAGCTTGCTAACATGGACGATGATAGTTCTAGCTATGCACCCAGACTGGCAAGAAAAAGCAAGACAGGAAGTTATGCAAGTTTGTGGGAAGGATGAAGAACCGACTTTTGAAGCCCTGACCCACCTCAAGATTGTGAGTTTGTTGGTTTTAGCTTAACGGTTTTCGGACTATGATCGGTATGGTTAATCAGACAATAGCAACCAATTAGTCACCATTGCTGAAAGGTTCCTAGTATGCTCTGTGTCTTCACATGACATTAATTCTACCCTTTCACTGCAGGTGACAATGATACTAAATGAAGTACTAAGGCTATATCCACCAGCAATTGCTCTCTACCAACATACTTACAGAGAGACAAAGATCGGAAACCTGTCACTGCCAGCAGGGGTTGATGTAACTCTGCCCATACTGCTCATTCATCACGATACTCAGCTTTGGGGGAACGATGCAGATGAATTCAAACCAGAAAGATTCTCTGAAGGAGTTGCAAAGGCATCATCTAAACATCGACTGGCCTTCTTTCCTTTCGGCTGGGGACCAAGGACCTGTATAGGCCAACAGTTTGCCATATTAGAAGCTAAGATGGCTCTGGCTATGATTCTGCACAATTTCTCGTTTAAGCTCTCACCTTCTTATGCACATGCCCCCAATACTGTTATGTTGCTTCAACCACAGCATGGAGCTCAACTGATCCTCCACAAACTCTAAGGATTCCAGAGTTGCTGGTGCAATCTTCTCCTGTATGGACTTCAATATATAATAATAATAATAATAATAATAATAATAATAATAATAATGTTTGGCCAACGACATATTAGAGCAACACTGTGAGCCCTTATCTACTCATATGGCTTAATAATATAGTTATGACTCAATTGGGAATAAAGCTTCCCAAGACAGAGAAAGGACTTTTTGTATGAACCAAAAAAGGGAACCATAGGTCGGGAAAGCTCAATTGTGCAGTTCACTGTGCGCTCAAGAACATGCATCTGAACAAGATCACAACCAAGTTCCTTCTCTAGTTTCATCTGTTCCAATAACATCAACAGAAGCTAAACAAGATTAAGAACGGCCGCATCACTCAAATAACTTAAACTAGGAGGACTTCTTAACAAGATAATCTCTTTGCAACAGCTCATAATGATCCAGGACTGGAAACAAAACGTAACCGAAACTTCATTTCTTTCCTTCATATTTCTCTTTCTTCGGACACTAGTTGGTATCAGTAATACATCACGAGGCAAAATTTCGATGTGTAACCTGTATGGCTTTCTCTTGAAAGAATTTAATGAATTTATAGGCTTCACTCTATTGTGATTTGGGTGTATATCATCATAAATCAGCCATGGCGTTTGTGATGGCTTCAACATCGGGGATCAAAATTGCACGCTTGTCAATCTCTGCAACAGCGCAGCACTGCTTCTCCGCTGTGTTAATTGCAACAACGTCCTGAGCAAATGTACCCTCCATACCGACAGAAACCTGCAAATGTTACAGTAATAACACAAAAGAGAGATCATTAGGATGCATGCAATTCTATATATCTTCAAAAAGCAAATGTAAAAAAGACCGTGAAGATGGTTCAAATTTGGCCAAAGGGATATAAGAAGGTATCGAAGAGGTGATTCAATTTTCAGTTTTGGACCTTCATGTAGCTACTTAAAGCAGTACTCACATTGTAGATGGTATCACCAAGCTTAAGCTTAACCGCACCACTTTTATACACTAGCATTTTACCCATGAACCCAGGAGGTAATTCTTCTAATCTGCATCCTGCACCTCCAGATGGTGCAGACCTTTCCTTTACCTCTTTCCCTTCTGTGGTAGACGATCTTTTAGTCACAGGCAACATAGTGGGTAGCTGAATAAAGAACATGCTGGGTTCAACATTTTCCTCCTGCACAAATCCGAGTATGAGATAGTAAACAGATGTGTAGAACTGCATGAAATTTCATCATGAGAGCACTGACCAATAAATCAAGATCCTCAGCAGGGCTTGGTATGTCTTCATCATAAGTTGGTTGTTCTCCAGATCCCCCAAATTCCTGCTCGTCAAGAGTTGCTGGGAGAAATACAAAAGAGTGCATAAAACTCTATAGCATGCTTTCTGAAGGTTTGGTGATCTCAAAAGCACTAAAGGGAGCAAGATAAAATAGTGAAACAATTATGACTCGAGCTTTCATAACATGTCATGTATCCCCACTCAAACCATGTTCATTAATTTTACTATAGAGGTTGCCTTCGGGAGTTACCTGGATTTCCTGAATATGGTCTCCTCAAGGGAAGTGTAACGGGATAATAACTGTAATAATCCTGCATAAGCATCAATGTTCACGTCAATTCATTATTTGCTGGTTGCTTGACGACTCACATTAGAGGTGAGTAAACAGAATCTGCTACTTCTTAGAGTGAGGTGAAGATTTGCTTACCCATGGTTCTTCATACTCTTTCTGAGCCAGCCCAGGTGTAGCAGTACCTGTGATGTAGGTCCAGGTGTAATCTCCCCAACACTCAATGTAGCAAATTAAATAGCACTGAATGAATGAATAGCATACCACCAAAAGACGAACTCTGATCTCTGTTACCCATGCTCTTAAGTTTGGGCATGCCATATGATTTTAAAGTAGAGCTCCCACCAAATCCAAATGCAACTTGCGATGCTTGCACTGTTCAATATATGAGCAAATGAATGTGAGAGACAGTGTAACTTTAACCAAGTATAGTCAACATTCAAGTACATTGTCCATACGCTCCTGCCAATCCTGAATGTCATTTATTCTTTCTTTCTTATTTTTCTCTTTCCGTGAATTTCCTCAATGTGATTCTTAATATGAAGTATACTGGCAGATGAAACTAAACCCAGTAAAAGAAGATGCTGAGTACTACCAATACTTGATGACTCCCTAAGTGACCTACGTCTCAAAAAGATTTACATTCAGGGACAACACACAGGTGGCCTAGCCTAGTGATCGCATGACAGTAACATGGGAACTAACCATCTCATAAGTTGAACTTCAGACCACAACCAGAAGGATGGTGCCACTCAATATCACCAGTAATATAAATATATGAATGAAATGATCAAAATACAAAGGTACCAACTTTGTGATGAATTCTGGACTACAACAAGAACGACTCACTCAAAATGCAAGCTCTGGAAGACTGGAACAAGCTTGTCATCTACTCAGACACTACTGATGTATTCCAAGGCACACAAGCCACGGATTTCAACGACTGCTTCAACAGTAACATAATACTCCTCTTATTATTCAAATGCCATATCCTAAAACTATTTCCTGGATGGCTGGCAATCTTCCCTATCTCAAAAACCCAAAAAGTAAATTGAGCCAACAGATGAAACACAGAGTAAGCGTACCTTTCTTTTCGATCTTATTCCTTCCCCTGAGTGACCTTTCCTAATAGAAGAACAGATCACAAAAACAAGAACCAAAAAGAAGCCTCAGAAAATCAACCGGCCAATGGACAACATATGGATGGAATGGAAGAACCAGTGTAGAAACAAACATACTTCAAACTGTTGCATGAGTTTCATAGCCCGTTCCGCATCAGTCTCCTCGACCTTTTCTCTGAAGAACCCAAGAAAGAAAATAAGATAGCCTGAGGTAATCAGTTGGCGGGGAGCACAGTTTCTCTTCCTCGCAAACCAATCAATCCTTTAAAGTCCAATTTTACTTAACATATTCACTTACGCCTTAACTTCAGGCTTCGGTGCCCGCCGAGGAGGGGCTTTTGGCGCAAACTTGAGCTGAAGAAAAAAATAGTTACACAAAAGCCAACATCGTCATAACCATATCACCAACCACCATCATCAGAAAACTATACTGTTGCAACAAAAGAAGAAGAAGAAGAAGAAGAGGAAGAACGTTCCGATTTTCATACAAACCTTCTTGGGCGGTTCCGGCGCCATGGTACTCCAGCAAAATAGAACAGCTTCTGCTCCGGTGCTGCTGCAATCAAAGGAACAAACTTTGAGTAATCAAAGCGGTGCGAGCGTGGGAGCGGCAATGCAGGTAACGAGAAGAAGACTGTCGTCGAATAAAAAAAAAACAGAGATTGATCGACGATGGGGGAGAAGAATATTGAATGAATGATTGTTTGCTGTTACGCTAACCTTTCTTCTTGAGTTGCAGAGAGAGGTTAGGAGATGAATGATGGCGCGAGGTGACGAGAAGGAGGGAGGGAGGGAGGCGGCTACTCTGAAGGCAATGTGGAAAATAAAAAGGTTCAAACCTAGTGAGTGGGAATCCTGCAGCAGCAACGCCTGCTTCGACGTGGTGTCGAAACCGCTTTTCCCTGCTCCCACCTCCGCCTGTTTCGCCCCCACTTGTTACTTTTTAGTCCTTGTTCTATTTTGTTTGCCAAAAAGGTCCATCATATGTCTATATTGTTTTGTTTCGATCACTCAAGCAGTAGAGGTGGCTATGATTCATGAATTGGACTAAATGGATAGGTGGATAAATTGGATTCTAGGAATGAATTCATAAATTCACATGAGATCTAAACTTTGAATCATTATGAATTTTATATTTTTTATAAATTATTTTTTTGTTAATTTGATTATAAATCATAAAAAGTAAAAAAAATAGTTTGAATTTGAATTTTTTAATGATTTTTAGGCTGACGAGGGAATGACATGGCGTGTTGACTAACGGTCAATGGTGTTGACCATCCAAATTGACGGTCAAACTAGGTGTCGGGCCAATTAAGTCTATATGGTACATAGTTGAGGCCAGGATGTTAATTTCTGAAACCACGTGCCAAAATTGATTATATAGTCATAGTTCATGCCAAAATAAGGTATTAACCCATACTATTAATAAGACAAATCATGAATAATACAAAGACACGTAACACTAAAAATGATAATTTCTCAAGATTAATGTTTTAGTTCAACACAATGTAATCGGACTTAGATTACCGATTTCTCGAACGGGAGCGAGAGCGCTAGAGCATCTATTTTAAAATAATTGCATATTCAAAGCGTCGAAAGAGCATCAATATTATATTATTTTAATTAAAAATTATTTAAAATATTACCAAATATTTACTGTCGGGAACCTTGGTAACTAGTAGAAAACCATTTAGTTGTTAGTTTAGCCTTTATTTTGTTTTGTTTTGTCTTGTGTTTTTGTTTTTGTTTATGTTTTTGTTACTTTCATAGTTTGTTTCGTTTTGTGTTTTGTTATCCAACTTTGTGTGTCACGGGTTGTTGAGTTTGTGTTTTGTTACCCCTTGATTCAGATATCGAGAAGATCCTTCGGAACATAAGGGGAGTTGCAAGACATCAATCTCCACCAATGGCGGATCATCAAGCTCAATTTCCACCAAGGCCTATAACAATGGGTTCTTCCTCAAGACCAAGCGTGGATAATGGTATATCACCTATTCTTCACCCAGTGGTGCCCAACAACAACTACGAGATAAAGTCGGGCACAATTTCGATGCTTCAAAGTGCGGTTCAATTCAATGGTTTGATGAGTGAAGACGCTCATGCACATATCAAGTCATTCTACGAGTTGACAGATGGAATTAAGGTGAACAGGGTTCCTCAAGAGGCAATTCGCCTAAGGTTATTTCTGTTTACTCTAAGTGGAGCGGCAAACCAATGGTTGAATAACCATCCTCATCACTCCATCGTCTCGTGGGATGATCTATGCAATAAGTTCTTTGCACAATATATTCCACCCTCTAAGACGGCTTTAATGAGAAACGAGATTACTATGTTCCGTGAAGAGGAAGATGAGCCATTGTTTGAAGCATGATAAAGGTTTACATCTCTCCTACTCAAATGTTCACACCATGGCATCGCCGATTGGTTACAAGTGGAAAGCTTTTATAACGGTTTAACAAGGGAGTCATGCCACCCCATCGGTGTGGCTGGTGGAGGTGCCATAAGGAACAAGGAAGTCGATGAACTTCAAAGATTGCTTGGAGAAATGACTCTCAATAGCTACGATTAGGGAGACGGAAGGAGATGCAAAAGTGTGAAGAAGGAAAGTTTATTGAAGATTGAAGAACCTTCATCGTGATGTTCATATACAAGAACTTTCCAAGAAAATTGATCAAGTTGCATCATCAATGAAAGGCAATGGGAAGCAACTTATGAAGTGTGATTGGTGTGGCGATGCAAGTCATACCATGGCGGAGTGTAAGTCTATGATTGAAGCCTCGATACAATTTGAGCAAGACAAATTTGTTGGAGGACAACCTCGAGGAAATAATCCTTATAGCTCGACATATAATCCGCGTTGGAGGAACCATCCTAACTTTCTTTGGTCTTCTCCAACATATAGAAAGCTTTCATGGTTTCAATCTCAAGCTCCTATGCAAAATACTTATCCAATGCCGAGTCAACCCTCATACCAAGGGGCGTATCAAGAACAAAGTCGAACTTCCGATGGCCGAGTCTCTAAACTTGCAGACTTGGTTGGTCAATTCGTTACACACTCCAACAAGAAGTTTGAAGCTATTGACAAGTTCTTAGAGAGTACCACGACTAAATTCTCAAGTTTGGAAGCGGGACAAAGGAATCAACAAGCTTCACTTCAAAATCTTGAAGCCCAACTAAACTCTTTGGCGCAAACTCTATCATCGAGACTACATGGAACTCTACCGGATAATACTAAACCTAATCCTAAGGAGGGATGTCATGTGGTAACTCTAAGGAGTGGTCGGCCCTTGAAGGAGGTACCTATCTCAACACCGAGGATACCTGTAAGAGAAGTCAACATGAAGTCATTCAAGAAAAAAGAGCTAGTTCGGGAGGGAGTGCAACCTCCTATTGAAATCAAGATTGAAGACGAGGAGAAGACTAAGAAGACTCAAGCACCCGATCCAATACCAAAAGCTCCTTATCCTAAACGGTTATTCGAAAGTGATCTCTATAATGAGTGTGATCCATGGAAGGAAACCTTGAAGCAATTGAAGTTAACGATCCCTTTCTTAGACATGGTGATAAAGATTCCTAAATATACCAAGTTCTTGAAAGAAATTTTGTCGCGAAAGAGGAAGATGGAAAAAGTTGCTATGGTATCCATTAGTGAAGTTGTTTCGGCATCCATTGGATGTGAAGGATTCCCTTCCAAATTGAGAGATTCAGGAATCTTCATTATTCCATGTACCTTCGGAGTCAAAACTTTTTGGAATCCATTGGCGGATTTGGGGTCTATTATCAACATTATGCCTACAAGAATATACAATGAATTAGACCTTGGACCACTCATACCTACTAAGATGGGAATTGAGTTGGCCAATAGGTTTGTCGTTGAACCAAGAGGAGTCATATAGAATGTCTTGGTAAGTCTCCTGTGCACTTCGTGGTTCTCAACACGGAAGGATGTGATGCATCAATAATCCTAGGGCGGCCATTCTTAGCCACGGCAAGGACTATCATAGATGTGAGTAGGAGCAAGATCACCTTAAGTTTTGGAGAGGAGGAGATAAGGTATAAGATGACTCAAATCCCCAATTTTCACAAGTACTTCAAATGGGAAGATGTGAAGATGGATTGTGGTCGCTCATGTTGACCCCCATGATAGTAGTGACAAAGGTGTGAGTGATTCTTACATGATTATAAAGAGAGCGGGTGAGGAAAATTTTTCTCACAAAAGGGATACTCGAGAGTTATTCAAGGGTTCTCATCACACCAATGATCGTAGAAGGAAACTTAAGAGGTTCATCTTTGAAGAGAGGTACCCCAAGGAAAGAGGTCGGGATGTTAAGAACAACCTAGCTTAGCTCCTATACTCGAAGATGAAGAATTCGATGAATGCTATAAACCAGTCACAGATGATGATACAAGTACAAGGGAGTTTGGTTCCTTCAATCATGCACGTCAACCTTCATATTGAATCTTTCATATTTCAAGCACCGGATGAGGCATCCGAGAGACTCCATGGCCTTCATTTGGGACTTTCCACAAGTATGATTTCTATGAAGAATCATCAGTGAAGGAAGGAGATCTCGTCTTTTTTTATCTCAAGGAGTCAAGTCCGGTGAAAAGACTTTTAAAGACACGCTTGTTGGGAGGCGACCCAACAACTCGGTTTGCGTATCTTTTCCTTTTTCTTTTAGAATAATCGCTTGAGTAGAAATTAGAATTGCATTGAGTATGATTGATATGACTTATTCCTTGCGTTTTCTTGCCTATGGATGATTAAGCTTAAGGAATTGGCGAAAATATGTTGTCCTAATCAGTGCAAAGATCGCGACCGCGATATCATGTCAACAGCCCGCGATCTTGTTCGTGCCTATTTACCACATTGCATTTATGTGTAATATCTTCATACCATCTTTTAGATCTACATGCCATGTTTCTCCACCCCTGTTAGCTGGTTGAGCATATCTTCTCTAACTTCACTTTTCATCATTTTTTAGAAGAATTTTTAATTGTTTTTGGTTTTCCAACATGTCTCCTAGCAAGATAAGGTACACTTTACCATTTCCTCATATTTTAACCACCTTATTTTGCTTAACATGTGTTGAATGCCTTGAGATATTGAAATACTCATCTTCATCTTGTCTTGAATATTTGATGCCCTAGGATTATTTTCTTTGCTTTAATGGTCATGTTATGCATTTTGGGAGACCTTGGTGGGCTACTTCTATGCATTTCTTCGGTTTTCAAAGACCGCCAACCAAGTTTTCGTAGAAAGTCCCCAACTATTTAATTTTATCCTATTCATTAAGCATCAGCTTCCTTGAATTGATTATCTCTTATTCGCTCAACTTTGCATTGATTTGGGAGATCATATTATTCATTGCCTCAGAACTCCATCTTTATCTAAGTCCCCTCTCTTACCGAAGACTTAGTCTCACTAAAGTGTGGGTGGTGGTGGTGGGGGGGGGGGGGGGACTTAGAGACTTGATGCTAGCTAGTTCATTGAAAAGAGCTCACTCACCACATTCGACAAACGCTAAGTATCTAGACATTGCATAGTAGTCCTAGACTAGGATGTAGTTCCCCGAAGCACCTGTTTTTATCTTTATTTGAACTCTAGACTAGTTATTTTCGCTCATATGCTCCACATAAAACCCTTAAACCAATCAGCTAGATAACAACAACGTGGGAAGTATGCTAGGGTACCAGGACCCGAGTGAATACGACATTGATTGCCACTATACGATAACGCCATTTTAGGTTGAACTTGGCCTAGAATACTAACCACTGACAATAATCTGCACGGATGAATGCACATCAGCATTCGAATACATTAGATTAGGTTTGAGTAGTTACTATTGAAAGTAGGGCTGGAAGTTTGGTGCCGGTATTTGGGATATATCGAATACACGTATTATTTCGTGGGATTGAGATTGAATTTTAATTGTTATTCGGTATTAGGGATTACGGGATTGGGATCGGTATATACCAAAATACCGATCAATACTGAATATAAGCTAGTGTGTATTTTATCCTCTCAACTAGACTCTCTCATTCACTACTACGCGACCCTCAACCACCAAGAGTATCATTTAATTATACATAGACCATTACATCACTATTTCACACTAGTATTAGTCGTCTCTCGATCTCAAATTCGTCAAATTAAAGATTACCAATTACAAGAACTTAAGATGTTAGCTCTAGCCAACTCAAGACTCTTTTCTTAGTCTCTTTGCCCTAAATTAAACAATAAAATCTGATTTATATATTTAATTATTAATTACAAAGGTAATTAATTTTGTATACGATACTACCGATTGAGATATCAAAATATTTAGGGATTGGGATACCGAAATTAATTAGAGATTGGGATTGGGATTGATTTTAGGATGTAATTTAGTATTCGATATTTCGGTATTTAGTATTGGGATACCGATACTGTATCGATTTCCACCCCTAATTGAAAGACCCTAGACACCTCTAGGAATTTGTCTCTTGAATACTACATCAGTAACCCTTAAACCATCTTCGATAACAAAGTTGGAAAGTGCTAGAATGCTAAACGATTTTGGCATTTTGGTACCCAAAAGTGGGTTCTGCTCCAATAAGAAATGTTAGAATGTCAAAGTGTCAAAATTTCTCTTTGATAATCTAGTTTAGTGTATACTTTATTATTTTGATTAGATAATTTGTTGATTATTTTTATATAGATAATTAAAGCGAATATTTTTGTGTAATTTTTTTTTAATTTTGACATATTTTTTTTAATATGACATCATAAAGTGAAATCTAATTAAGTTAAGTCACCCAAAAAGTACCATGTGAATCCATTCTAATTAAACTAAGCCACCCAAATTTATGAGGAAAAAAAATCAAGCCTCCCGCAAAAAAAAAAAAAAAAAAAAAAAAGAACCCAACGAGCGTGCATGCTAGGCACGAGAAGGGAAGGGAAAGGGGTCGAGCGTGTGACTCTCTCTCTCTCTGTCCAGCTTGTCTGGCAGAAGGAAAAGTGGGTGATCATGGGTTTGCCACTATTTTTTATATATATGGGTCAAATTTGACATTAAATTTCCAAATTTTCCATAAGCATAGTCTCATTATGCAACCTCATAAATATGACTGCCAAATTCTCATGTAGACAAACATGATTTATGGTACCAAATGTATGGTTAATGACTTTCTAAATCAATTATTATTGGACAACATTATTTATCATATTATTATCTAATTTTTTTATTAGTAAAAAATCACTTTATATCCAGTTCACTTTAATTAAGGTTCATTTGTAAGTTGCGATTTCAGCTGATGCGTTTAAGCAATACATGTAATTAGAAGAATTCGTTGTTATTTTTGTCGTAAAATGAAACACAATATTTGTATTTGAGTATAAGATAAGCCTACCAAATCATTCATTATGGATGATTCCTAGCTAAAAACTGAGATTGTCTATGTTTGGCCCGACTTTTAGAATTGCTTTTCAGTTTCAAAGTTGAAGTAGTGCCAAACATCTCTAAAAACTCGATTTTAAAAACTGAAAAGTGTTGTTGTATAACATAAAAGCAGAAGTTTCGATTTGGAGCTTCTGCAAAAAAAATGTTTTGAAAATACAAGATTATCCATATCAAATTTTAATTTTATTTCAGAAAATATATTTTTATTTCATTTTTAAAATAAAATAAATCATAAAATTATATTATTTAATTAAAAATAAATATAATAAGATTCATTTTGACTAATTTTATTATTTATATTTTTTATTCATATTTTTATATTATAAATTCTTTTTAGTCATCTTACATAAACTCTTGTATTAAAAAGCACTTCTCATAGTTTTTCAACCAAACACTCAATTATTTTTTCTGAAAAATACTTCTCTAAAAGCTACAACCAAAAGCTACTTCTGCCTACGGCAGAACCAAACTAGTCCATTGTCAATCTCTCATTTTTCTCCTTTATTTTTTGAGAGGCCATCTAATCATTCAAAGTATTTTTATTAACAATACTGTAAAAAAATTAATTTTTTTTATTCTTTTGACATTTTTTTTTTATTTTTAGCTTTGGATTCGGAGTATTCGACTAAGCCTTAATGACTTTTTAAGTCCATTCGGTGGAGCTTAGTTGTCCTACAGTATGGGCGCTTGTGTGTTTGTTTGTTTTTGTAGGGACACGTAGTTTTCCCTCGACCATACAAGCATCCATCTATTATGCTTCTCAATAGTGAAAGTTGGCACGGGCCCACCAAAGTGCTTCATTTGTGGAACCATGTTTGTGTTGCCAAACAATTGTTGGCGGTTCTGCATGCACGTGACAATAGGAATGGCTACTCTGCTTATGCTATCAGCAAGGATGATCTATCCTCCGACTTCTCTGGCTTTGGTGCGTGTTGTGTACCTGCTTTATCCTTTATTGCATTTTTTAAGATACTGATACTGCTGCCCATTTAGTGGCTAAAAAGCTTCTTTTATCGGCAGATTGATTAGATATCAACCGTCACATTTGATTATTTCATTCTCTTCATATTTATAAGTATACGCATTGTACACCTACCTATGTCTTTGTACACCAAATTATAATCATAATTATTGTGCCGAAACAGTCACATTAATTAGCCTGGGGCAGTTTATTTGTGAAAATGTATGTATGGCCAAAGATGGACCATACCTCCAATCTGGTCAAGTTATAATTGTTTACGTTGATTCTGTCGTAATAAGATCTGCTAAACCTTATTTGGCCACTCCGGAAGCAACTGTTCATGGCCATTACGGAAAAATCCTTTACGAAGGGGATACATTAGTTACATTTATATATGAAAAATCGAGATCTGGTGATATAACGCAGGGTCTTCCAAAAGTGGAACAAGTGTTAGAAGTGCGTTCAATAAAATAAAAATACATAAATTATTTAAATAAACATAACAATGTCTAAATTCTCATCAAACATGTTTTTTCCTAGATTCTATAAAAATCCCTAATTAAGGAAATCGCAAACAAATACTCGACTTCGGAAGGTCTTATTAGAGCGCTAGAGTGATTCGAGAACCGTAGAAACAGCAGCCAGCCAGCAACACCAATTGAGACGCCGTCGCCGTAGGCTCGAATTTGCAGGTCCGAAACCGGCAAGGTAATTGGTATCGCGCCCCCGTCTTCGTTAGCGTAGAAGAATCACCAGAGAGGTTGCCGCCGCTGCAAAAGCCTTCATTTAGCTTAGTCACAGAGGTGCAGAATTTGAGGAAGAATCGGCGAGTGTCAGCTTCCCTGTGAGCTCCGCCTAGGGCCTAGGGGTTCCTCTTGCTGCCTGTTTGCTGTGAATGACCTGAGCAATTGAGTGTCAATGGCATCGGTGTATATTCCAGTGCAGAACTCCGAGGAGGAGGTGAGAGTTGTCCTGGATCAGCTGCCGCGGGACGCCTCTGATATTATCGACATTCTCAAGGCCGAGCAAGCTTCTCTCGATTTGTGGCTCATTATTGCGGTGTGTTTTCCTTATCTCTTCCTAATTAGCACCTCAATTCCTTCTACTTGTTGTATACCAGAATTGTTTTCTAGGGTTGAGATGCATTATACGGTTCCTGCCTCCCAAGTTGTGGTTAGGCCAGTTAGACCTTTGTTTACTTTACTTCAAAATAGTAACTCGAACCTGGAAAAAATCAGTCGACTGTTTTCTGCAGGTTTATTGTCCTTGTAATGGTGTTGATAGTATTTGGATGATGTGCAGAGGGAATACTTTAAACAAGGGAAGGTTGAACAGTTCCGACAAATATTGGAGGAAGGATCAAGTCCTGGTACTCCCGATTCCTGATTCACACATTTAGCTTATCTTTCTTTTGCCCTTTTTGGTTCTTTTTCATTCTGTTTTGTATCATCTGTTGGATTTTGTGCTGAATATATGAATCTTGTTTGTGGCAGATATTGATGAATACTATGCCGATGTGAGATATGAGAGGATTGCCATCCTCAATGCTCTAGGTGCTTACTATTGCTATCGTGGGAAAATTGAGACAATACAGAGTAAAAGGGAGGAACATTTCATACAGGCTACCAAGTACTATAATAAAGCTTCGAGGATTGACATGCATGAGCCTTCTAATTGGATTGGGAAAGGTGAGTACAGTAACTGAAGAGTTTGTGTGGATATATGTTTAAACCTGCACTCATCTACTGATTGGTGCCTTACTATTCCAGAGTTTAGCATGTTTAGAATTTATGTTTGCCATGCAGTAGTTGATTGTCTATGGTCGGATGTGTGTCTATTCTGGTGCTACTTAAAGGTCTGAATTCCAAGCTATAACGAATTTACTTCATATTTTAACTTCCTGCAGTGTGATACCATGCTTTCCTTTTGTGGAAGTATTTTACTTGAATTCCATGTGACATACGGCCCTTAGCTGTTGCTTATCTAATACGGTTTTATTCCATGAGAGTGGACAGAATTTCAAGTACATATCTCTTTTTCCAGGTCAGCTTCTACTGGCTAAGGGTGAGCTGGAACAGGCTTCTTCTGCGTTTAGGATTGTATTAGACGGAGACCGTGACAATGTACCAGCTCTATTGGGTCAGGTACACGGATCTGCAGTCTTGATGAATTCACCGATAGTCATCGTATTATTTTATCCACTCTTGATGCTCAGTGCTGGTTGCATGACTTAAATTTCCCATGCGAACTGTTTACAGGTATTGGTTCTTTAGATTTTATTGCAGTGGTACTTGATTAATCCTTATCTTTCTGGATCGCCATGATTTTGACCAACTTTCAGAGCCCTTGTTCAAACTATATAATGTGTTTCCACTCTTCTTTATTGCTGTCAGCATAGGTCCTTTCGTTCATTCCATATCTATTATAGCCAGTGAAAGATATTAGATGCAATCATTTAGTAGCAAAAACAATGGGGCAGTTAACTGCCCTGCATTATAGAAGGCCATGGAGCCTCTTCCTACAGTTCAGACTCATCTGACGAGTTGGCTTGGTACTTTTGCAGGCCTGTGTTGAGTTTAATCGGGGTCATTACAGTGAATCACTGTCATTGTATAGGGTTTGTTATCCTCATTTCATTGCTGCTTGTTTTTATCTATTTGTATGGACTAAGAGTGGCCATGACGCTAGCTATTTTGGCTTCTGTTCAGAGAGTATTACAAATATTTCCTGATTGTCCTGGACCTGTCAGGCTTGGTATTGGTCAGTGTCAGTACAAGATGGGCCACTTCGAAAGAGCCCGAAAGGCATTTGATCGTGTTTTACAGGTAAGTACAAGCATTGCATTTGCACTCGCCTGGCGGGCATCATACAAGTTGGTTATAAGTGATGCCTTCATTTGTATGTTCTTATATGCAGTTAGATCCGGAAAATGTTGAGGCTCTAGTTGCACTGGCAGTTCTAGACTTACAAACAAATGAGGTTGGTCTGCTTATTTTTTTTTCCACATGAAGTTGTTACTTTAAGGCTTGCTAATTTGTCATTTTTCATCTCCACAGCTTCTCGTACTAGGAAAGGGATGGAAAAGATGAGACAAGCTTTCGAAATTTACCCTTATTGCCCTATGGCACTCAATTATTTAGCCAATCACTTTTTCTTCACCGGACAGCATTATGTTGTTGAGCAACTGACAGAAACCGCACTGGCTGTGACCAATCACGGGCCCACAAAGTCACATTCATACTATAACTTAGCTCGTTCGTACCATAGCAAGGTTTGTAGTTCTCTGGTTTGGATATGTTAAGTGCATTCCTCATGTTGCGTTAAAGTTAGTTAATTGTTGGTAGCAGAAGATTGCTCTTACACACAGCCCTTCTGCTATTATGATTTCATAATAATTATAGAAGTTGCTCAAAAGTAATATCGAAGACCCTGATCTACTTATTGTTATTGAACCATGCTTGGACTGCTTGTTCAAGAGCCATATAATTGAGTCATTCTTGTCCAGGCACCTTCATAAGTATCAGTGATGGCTAAGAATTGTAGGAACCTGGCTACTTCATTCTATTAGTTCCATCTGACCACAGTAGTTAATTTTTAAGTTCTAATATATACGTTTGACTACTAAACACACTAATTTTGTATATTTCATTCATCTGAACTATAGGGCGATTATGCAGCAGCCTTGCGATACTACAATCAGTCTGTGAAGGAAATAAAAGATAAGGCCAGTGATTTTGTATTTCCTTATTTTGGTGAGTGTTCATTATTGTTTCTTTTCTGGTAAACATTGTTCTTTACGAAACTTAGATATATTTCCTCTACTTCCAGCATCTTTACGGTCCTTAGTGTGCAACACATACCTTTACCTTCTATCTAGTTCCTTGTCTCATTTATTGTTTGTATATCCTTATTTCTCGCAGGTTTGGGTCAAGTACAACTAAAGTTAGGAGATATTAATGGCGCGATGTCAAATTTTGAAAAGGTTTTGGAGGTTTACCCGGATAATTGTGATACTTTGAAGGTGGGTGATATAACATGTCAGCATCTTCTTAAGCTTTATTGAATCTCCCTTCCTTCTGAATGAACTTCCATGAATTGAAATTTGGTTTGCATATAGGTTCTTGGGCATGTATATGCTCAACTTAATGAGACTGAGAAGGCCCAAGAGGTTTTGAAGAAGGCCACAAAAATCGACCCTCATGATGCTCAGGTGATTTACCTTTATTTCTTACATCCTTGAAAGTGAAACCACACCTCAGAAATTTTGAATTTCCTCCCACTCCTATGTGGATAATAGGAAACCAGAGAAGTAATGTTAATGAGACATTCGTTGGGACTTGCATGAGCTTGAATCTCTTACATTGTACTTGCTTGTAGCCATTGTTTTAGAGCATGAAAGTTCATGATTTATCTTGATAGATCATCGTCATGCGCTGTAGTGTCCCTCTATTCTCTTCTCAGTTAACTTTCTCTGATGCCACTACACTAAAGTTCACTTGTCTGGATAGATAGGGCAGTCAAATTCACTTGTCCTTCTGGTATTCATTAACTTGGTTCATTAGCATTTATGTATCGACTATCCAGTTGAGCCTGATGCCTCACAAAGGGCTGTATAGTAAACTGAGAAAAACTTGTTAGATAGAGTGCTACATAGTTTACTCATTGCCGCCTTTATTCTTTGTTATGTTCATCAGTATGTTTGAATGAATTATGAGAATTGTTGGGATGATATGGCTTTTATTCTATGATATTAGACAGATGAAGAGGTTTGTTTGTACAACGGCAGTTCTGGTCTATCTGGTAGTTTTTCTTGTAGTTGGGGATGGCCTTGGTGTTTGAGGTTCTTTGCTTGAAACAAAGTAAATTATGAACAAATGACTTACGAACTTCTTTGCTTCATCCGGAACTGTTTTGTTTTTCCCATAATCCCAGGATGTTTCTTTTTCTCGTGATTTTAAGATGACCATGTTGAACTCCTTATCACCCTTTCACACTAAGTAACATTCAGTCGTTATAAATGAGTGAAACAAACACGCAGCTGGCTTCTCTCATGTATCTCAAAATATGAGTTGTTTGTTAATGGCATTTAGAATCTGGTTGATCTCTTGGGATGAGATTCATGAGTAGATCAAAGCTCATTCACCTATTGAAACAGCTCTTGTACGAAACTTTAGTTCGACAAATTGAAAAAAAATGTACAACCAAAAATTAGAAAAGCCACTAGACCAGTATTTTTTTTTGGTTCACTACTGAAGAGTTGGAGATTCTTTTGACTGGTTTGATTTGAAGTTAAGTTTGTTCATTTATATTATTTATATTCATCATGATGTTATTTTTTTTGAAAAGATCATGGTGTGTGTTGTTGCACATTCAAAGAGCATGTCCGAGCATATCCCAGTTTAACCCTTGATACTGATATATGCTTGCACCAGGCTGTTCATGCTATATGCTCTGAAATATAATTTATTGGGCTTCTCTTATGCTCAGGCATTTCTTGATCTTGGGGAACTGTTAATCATGTCTGACACAGCCACTGCTCTTGATGCCTTCAAGACGGTAAAACCTCATCTTGACTAACCTTCTCGAGTTTGTGATTGTTCTCCTTGAAGTTAGACTTAAAGAAATTGTTGCAGGCACGCAGTCTTCTGAAGAAGTCAGACCAGGAAGTCTTAGTGGAAGTGCTGAATAACATTGGTGTCATCCATTTTGAAAGGGAAGAGCTTGAGGTTCGTTAACTGGTTTCAGATATAAGTATGACCTGTCCAACTTCAGGAAACAGTTAGTTGGTTATTTAGATTTTAGGTAGCTAGTGAGAAATGTAGAGTGACTAGGGCTATGCGTAAAAAAGGAAATTTTTTATAGGTTTATTACGAAGAACCCTGACAATAAAAGACTTCTTTAGCTGCCTTCAAATGCATGTTCTGATATTCCTAGGTAATCCTGCAGTTGTGGGACATTCCTGAGTAATGCAATCATTGAAAGCATTGATATGCTGAAAGAATTGGCCAGTTTACTGATTCAGACTTTACGTCGGACATTCTTGAGTAGTGAATCATTGAAAGCATCAATGGTGCATCTTAGCATCCTTTTGCTGCAAATCCTGAGGACGCCAATTTCTTGATGATTGCAGGTTGCTCTGGAGGCTTTTAAAGAGGCACTGGGTAATGGTGTATGGCTCAGATTCCTTGACGTTAAAAGCAAGACCACTGCAGCTGATGCTGGTGCATCGATTCTTCAGTATAAGGATGTGCAACTTTTTAATCGACTTGAGGCCGATGGCGTTGAGGTGGAATTGCCATGGAATAAAGTCACGCCTTTGTTCAACTTAGCAAGATTACTAGAGCAGTTGCACAATACAGGAACTGCTGGCATCTTTTACCGTCTTATATTGTTTAAGGTACCGTTTAGTTCATGTGCATGCTTATTATATAGTTGTTTTGCTGGGAGGAATTGGAGTTGCAAAAAATAATTCTTGTGAAGTAGTTCTGTTTGCTCTAGGTATAGATTGCATTTGAGTGGAAAGGCAAACTCTTGAATGTTGTGATTAAATTGGAATTCGAAAGTTCTATGCATAATTTTAGGAAAAATGAAGCATATCATGATATTAGTGCTATCAGTAGTTGGCCCTGATGAATTGGAAACTTCACATATGCTTGCAGCATTGCCAACATGTAAAGTTAAACTTTCATGTCTATACATAGTTGTGAAGTTGGCTTGCATTTCTGAGTTTACCATGTTACTTTTGTTCTGTCGCTGCAGTAGAGTACTACTGAACTTCTGCCTTTCCAAGTGGGCTTTCCTTTACATATGTCTCAAATAGAAATAAATATTGCTTGAGTAAATATATTCAAGTGTGGTGTTTGCTTCAATTTTTTGTCATATTTATTTTCCTTTCCTGCATAGACTTCATGTCTTGTTAGCTCCTCAGGTTCTGATACTTTCTTTTCTTTGTATGCTTCACCTATAATTCCTTATCATATTTCTACCAAAATCTATATTTTTCCTTTTTCATGTAAGCTATATTTTTCGTGTTTCTTGCAGTATCCAGGTTATATTGATGCCTATCTCAGGCTTGCTGCTATTGCAAAATCAAGAAATAATCTTCAATTAAGCATTGAACTGGTTTTCTTCTGAACCCTCTTTTGTTGTCTGTTTATTCAGGAATTTAGGTGTAAAATTGACGTCGATGGTTTTTCTCCAATTTATAGGTCAATGAGGCTCTGAAGCTGAATAACAAGTGCCCTAATGCTTTATCAATGCTTGGTGAATTGGAGCTGAAAAATGATGATTGGGTTAAGGCAAAAGAAACATTGCGTGCTGCTAGTGAAGCAACAGATGGCATGAAAGATTCTTATGCTACCCTGGCTCTGGTGCTTGTCTTGTCCATATACATCCTTACGTGAATTTTCTTTATCCAGAACCATCTCTAGAACTATTTGGATGACTTCAGAGCAAGTTATGCCATGACTTTCTTGAATTAATGTGAGTTTTGTATTTGCTGCTTTGTCATGGGTAGGGAAACTGGAATTATTTTGCTGCCTTGCGTAATGAGAAAAGGAACCCTAAGTTGGAATCAACTCACCTGGAAAAAGCCCATCAATTGTACACCAAAGTAAGAACTCCTTACCTCCTTCCTCCTCTGAGTCTTCCTTTTTCAAAGGTTGCTAACAGATATTGAGATCAAAGAATTACTCAAGTCTACAGCAGGGGCGAATGAAGCAAAAGGGACGTTTTAGGATAAATTTAGTTAGTAATTATATCCATCAAACCAACTTCCTCCAATGAAGATGCACCTCTAAAAAGCAGGATCTCTGTGCTAAACTTCAATTCTTGTTTTCAGTTTAACTCAAGTGACTTACTGTGAATTGGTTATTTGACTTCACAATTAGACCAGACGATGGCCTTCAAATTCTTTTTCATTCCAGATTCCTCATCTAGGTTGCACTTCTGAGCTTTTTAATTCTTGGCGTCATTGTGATGTGTTCAACATAGGTCCTGCTTCAGCATAAATCCAACATTTATGCTGCCAATGGAGCTGGAATAGTCTTGGCAGAAAAAGGTAACTTCGACGTAGCCAAAGATCTTTTCACGCAGGTCAGTCAAACAACTCATATTTCTCAATTTTGCATGACAACCAATTGTTCGTTCCAATTAAACAGACTTCTTTGGTAATTGTATACAGGTCAGGAAGGTGCAAGTGGAAGCAGCTTTTGTGCAGATGCCAGATGTCTGGATAAACTTTGGCACATGTGTATTTTGCTCAAGGAAATAATGCCTTGGCTATAAAAATGGTGAGTTGATCATCCTTGTCTCTCAGGTATATGCCTGGCATAAGTTTTGCAAATCCTTCTCACTCTGACACGTTATATGCAGTATCAGAATTGCTTACGGAACTACTATCATAATACGGACTGTCAAATTTTCCTCTATTTGGCACGCACTTATTATGAAGCGGAAGAGTGGCAAGACTGCAAGAAAACTTTGCTGCGAGCCATCCACTTAGCCCCTTCAAATTATACACTTAGGTTTGACGCGGGTGTTGCAATGCAGAAGTTCTCAGCATCAACACTACAGAAGGAAAAGAGGGAAGCAAATGAGGTTGGTTTTGGTCATCCCTTTTAGTTTGTCCCAGAGATCACTCTCGCTATTTTTCCAGAAGAATTTTTTATATTAAATATTCTACCTTCAATGGGTTTCATCACCACGCAAGAAGTACTGAGAATCTATGGGTGGTTTCACTATCTAGAAATCAAATGAAAAGGGATTTGTAGGAACACCCTCGGTCTTGGAACTGATATGAATAAAAGTCGGTTATTTTCTTGTCTTCTATTACTGTAGGTTCATTGTCTATTATGATTAATCTGGTCTCTTGCTTGATTTTTGGGATTCATTAAGTAGATGGTAAGAAACCTAGGTGTGTGGCTTCTAATACCTGGCCAAACATTGTTACGCCCGTCACGTTAATTGCAACAGATTTTCATGTAAAATGGACCATCTTTGCTTCAGGTTGATATTATTATATTCGTTCAAGAAGGTACTTATATATATATATATCCTTCCTGATATTACTACCACAGGTCCGGTCGGCTATTGTTGAGCTGGAAAATGCTGTCCGTGTGTTTAGTCAGCTGTCTGCTGGTGCCAACCTCCAGATCCATGGCTTTGATGAGAAGAAAATAAACACCCATGTCGACTATTGCAAACATCTTTTGGAGGCTGCCAAGGTTCATCTTGAAGTAGCTGAGCGAGAGGAGCAACAAAAACTACAGAAAGAAGAAGCTGAACGGCAGATGTCATTGGCCGAAAAAGTCCGACGCAAGGCTGAAGAACAAAGGAAATTCCAGGTATTGTTCTGGGCGAAACTTTACTATTGGTTTATCAATTAGTGAACCACATCAAGAGCTTAAAAATACACACTTTTGCTTGTGCTGAACAGTTGGAAAAGCGGAAAAAGGAGGATGAAAACAAACGGGCCAGGCAACAAGACGAGGACTTTGAGCGTGTCAAGGTAGTCATGATTATTTGGCTAGCTATTCTTATTTCTTTATATGGATTCAGGATGGATCTGATAGAGGCCCCAATATTAATTAGTATGTTCTTGTGTCCAGACTAAAATTTATGGGGATTTGAGGGAGGATTTGTTATTGTGTATTTGCTGCTCTGTAACCTAGTGATTTGTTTGTAGTCATAATAAGGTGCCTTCTCTTTTTCAGGAACAATGGAAGAGTAGTACTAGTTCTGCATCTAAGCGGAAGGATAGACTGGATATTATTGATGATGACGAGGCTGGTGGTCATAGTGGAAGGAGAAGGAAGAAAGGTGGAGGGAAGAGGAGAAAGAAGGATAAAAGCTCGAAGTTTTCACAGTTACGAGGAAATGGAAGAAGGAGAAGCTGAGATGGATGGTCATGAAGGGGATGATGGCCATGGAAGTTACTACAGGGAGGAAAAAGATCCAGCTCCTCAGGATCTTCTTGCTGCGGCTGGGCTTGAAGACTCCGATGCAGAGGATGAAGAGGTAAAAGAACTGGCAGGGGGAACGAAAGGATCAGAAAACACTCCCCCCACCCCCCTTCTACTACTTCCCCAAAGAATATATATCTCCTTCAACACATCTTTTTAATACGTATATTTTCTCTCCGGGGAACGCAGGCTGCTGCTGCTGCGATAGCTGCAAGGAGGAGACGGGCATTGTCAGAATCCGAGGAAGACGAACCAGCAGAGGAGGAAGGGAAGCAACAACAAGCTGGAAGCCCCGAGTCGGGTGAGATGCAGGTGAGTGATGGCGAAGGTGCAGCAGCCTCACAGCAGCACCACCACCAGGACAATGATGTTGATGCCGGCCTGGATGATGAAGATTGATTAATAGTGAATCCGAGCCCCAACCAGTGAATGACCAAAAAATACCGTTGGATCGGTATCGCATTTCTAGCTATAAAACAATCAGAAGCGGGGCAACTTTCTTCTAGGTTCAGGTAGGTGAGCAGAAGAGGGGAAAGTGCAACTAGTCTAGCCATTGTAAATCAACAGAAGTGAGCAAGATAAGGATTCAGTAGAGGCGTGATGGATGGTTGCAACATCTTAATTTGAGGCCACATTTGTGTGTTTATTGGGAAATTTGATTATGCCTTGCCAGAGTGAGATGGAGGAGAAAACTGCACGCAAGGATCATCTGCGGCTTTCGGTTATGCAGCGAAAAGGCGGTGGCGATGCCAGACCGCCAATGTCCTATTTCTCGTCGTTTGCTTTTGGAGTCTGGCTGTTGTAGGCCTCAGAGTTGCGTGTGCAAGGGGAACGGGGTTGTTTTTCTGTTTGTTGCTTTTGTTGTGTTATTTCTTCACATTTCTCAGACAAAATATCTCACTTCAGTAATTATTATTCCAAGAACACATAATTACAAAACCAACAACAACAGAATAGCAACGAAGTTACGGCCGTCACCACCGAGCTGAAGCTATGAAGGCCCATTGCAAGTCTACAAAACTAGAAAACTATAGAGCTCCCTCCAATAGGGAACCATGAGCTATAAAGGCCCATTAAATTAAACTAATAAAAACGATGTAAATAGAAGGGACAAGCTGAAGCCAACTTTTGTATGTTATTTGCTAAAAGCTAGATTGTGCCTAAGCAATCCCACCAGTTATATGTTTTGTTTATCACTAGAGATAATAAAAAACTTTTCCAAACCGGTTTGACAACTTTATAAAGTCAAATTATACCATGTAAGGTAGGGGTGGGCATACGGTTCGGTAAAACCGAACCGAACCTACCCGAACCAAATATAAACCGAATCGAAACCGAATTAATGTTATTCGGTTCGGAATTCGGAAGAGAAAAGGGCATATTTCGGAAATCAGGGTCCTTTCGACCGAACCGAATTCCGAATCGAAAAATCGAATTATTATAATTGCAAGCTCTAAATGGTGGTTTTTTATGTTTCTACTTATTATGAGACTTAAATATTTGAATCATGTTAGTGTTTTATGACTTATGTGTTGAAATGTTTGATTTTATCATTGATGATGCATATTTATAGTTTACATTAGGGGTGAAAAATAATTTAAATAAGAGAAGATACAAGCTAACTTCACTATTTCGGTTTTGTATGAAAAACCGAACCGAACCGAATTATAATTCGGTTCGAATTCGGTTTGAGGTTTGATAAAATTCGGACCCGGTATGCATAATTTTCATTCGATTTGAACCGAACCGACCGAATGCCCACTAAGGTAAGGGTCGGGTCAAAACCCTAAACAAATGACCCGCGCAGCCGCACCCTGACCCCTGTAAAAATTCACGAACAGCGCAAACCTGTTCTCCATTTTCTTATCGACTGAAAAAGAAATTCCAAGTTTCACCCTAAAATCTCGACCGTCTCTCGGCGGCCGCCGTCCGGTTCCGAGCTTAAGGACGCCGCCAGATTTCCTTCCTCGTCGGCAACGAGGCGTTGGAGACGAAGCTGTTCGTCGAAGATCTTGGTATGTCTCCTCAGTCTCAGTTTCTGCCCCCAGATTGAGCTTCGCTTTTGTAGTCAGAAGTTTCGAAGACTCTTCCAGTTCGATCCCGTGCTTTTGTTTATCTTGATCTGGCAGTTCGAATCCAATCTCTGGCCACTCTTCGTCACTGCTTTGATTTTATGGATTCGCTTGTTGACGGTTGAGGAGATCAACTACTATAGCGTGAATGCCTCCATGTTATATTTCCATTTACATTGTTAATGCACACGAACTAACCGTCGCGGATTTGTCTGTTTAACTATGTGGCTGCTTTTGTAAAATCTAAGTATTGCATCAAATCTGTGGAATCTTTCTTCCTCAAATTTATTATTTCTTCAACAGTCGTATCAAATCTAAGTCTTACATCATGTTATGCCTTCCATTTGAATATTACAAGTTTACAACCATGAAAGCTTAATACTTCCATATGTGCCTGTAATAGTTTTCAGTAAGTTTGGAATGATGTATTTGGGTCACACATCATACACTGGTTCTCTGTTCATGTTGGTTAAATACTGGTAGTAGACCACTTTTCTTTTTGCTCTAGTATGCATGAGTTAAAGTATCAACCTGTTGTCCTGATTTACATTTTTGAAGGTTTTTTCCCTATTAAGCAAGATTCTTACTATCTATGTCTTCCTACTGGTGCGTATGAGAAGAAGAAAAAAAAGCTATTTGTGATATATTTGGCGGAGTGCTATGGGTTTAGTTTTGTTCAGTTATGTTTTATCACTTGGTAGGGAGATTGCAAACGTATAGCAAAGAGTCTACAGTGTGCTGGTTATTGCTGTGTTGAGACATTGTTCTTCGCACCACTTTATCTGAAAATTCCTTGGAATTGCATTCTTGTGTTGGGAAGTATGGAACTGCAGCGTATAAATTTTGGATGTGAAGTGGTTGTTTAATTCTCGGGGACCATAATGGTATTCCTTCTCTTTTATGTGTTCCAAATCCAATGTGTAACATATGGATTTGAAGTAGTTGTTTAATACACAGGGACCATATGGATTTGAAGTAGCTAGATAGGTAGAATCTATTAGAATCAGCGTTTTTTGGCTCAAGGAACTTAACAAGGAATACTTGTGATTTTTTGGATGAGGGTTGTCGCTGGGTTGCCTTCCATGTATGAAAACTGCAAGGGTCATTTCTTTCTCACTAATACGTAGTTGATTTTATATGCACAGGGCTTAAAGCTTGGACTTCTGGGACTTGGAAGAATTCATAAAGCTATTTAAGCCTCCGGTTTAAGCTCGATTAAGAACTATGAATGTGGTACGCCTCGTAACTGTAGTACTTGCTGTTTATTCTCTTCTTAAATGAAATGACAGAAGAAATCAAGAAATCATCATCATACTAGTGTGTCAATTTATCTTCCTCCAGATCCGAGATAGGAATTTTTGAGTCACATGCTGCTGCTGGTTGATTAGGCAGAGGATAGGTTGATTCTTGTGTGTCAATCTATCTTCCTCCAGACCCCACCCTCACATCAGACAGGCCATAACCAAAATCTGGTTGAAGAGCCAGCTCATTCACACTCTTCCTAACAAATAAGGACTGACAGTCTCTTCATGAATCATCATTGCCATTGATTTCCCATTTCCTAACCTACTTGGATGTACACAGTAGAACAAAAGGGACGGAGGGAGTACTAGATTTGCCTTTACCTCCTAAAATAGGCTGCCCTGTTTGAAAGTGATTTACTGATGGGAAGTGGGAGTGGGTAGCAGGAGAATTTCACATCATAATAGCATGGTAATTTGTAACCCTGTGTAGAGAGCAGCCATGGTCCATGTATGGGTCAACATCCATCATCATCATCATCCACCACATAACAATCATCATCATATATATAAAGCTGCTCATTAGCATCCAACCATATAAGTTCCACATCTTACAGAGACAATATGTTGGCTATATAACAAACAGAACAGAGGTTTTTTTCTCTCTGTCTTTCTCCCTTGGATGGAATGTACATACAGAATACATACATAACATGAAAAGCACATAAGATTATTAACCTGTTCTGCGTGACTTGTGCCATGAATCTCGTGGCTTCTCTTTGAGAAATCTATCATCTGTAAGGAAGAAGACTAAGAGAGTGTTATTGGTTCTTTTATCTAGGAATTCTTGTAGATGAGTTTAGATTGACTGGGCTATAGCTGTCTTGCTTTCTCACTGTACTGCTCGCAAGGCTAACCGTTTCTTTACCAATTGAACAAGCGTGCCTGTATCTCCCTAATTCTGTCAAATTCTTTATACAATTTCGTTCCGGTAGACGGTAGTTGTTTCATCTGTACAGCTTATCTCGAGCCAGTTGTATATCAATTTCTTCCTCCAAGGTGAACTTTCCTTTTTTTTTTTTGACAGACCCAGGCGTGAAACGTGATATTGTGGCCAGAGATTTTAGTAAGTTATTTTATGCAGCTAGGGAGGTAGGATATGCCGAGGGACTTGTCGCGATCAAGATCACGGTCTCCTTTCTACAGGAGAAGGCAGTCTCCATCACCTGCAGGCGATAGGTATGGCCGAAGGAAACGAAGGGAGAAGAGCCAATCTCCTTATTCATCCATTTCATACAGCAGGTGACCCCGTTTATGCTCTGGCAGTCTTTACTTTTTGAATGTTCGAAGAACTGAATGAAATATTCAGGACCTGCATATTCATTTTGTGGATTGGAAATACATTCGTGTGGGTTAATCTGTGCAAATCTCTTCCTTTATTAATTTATCAACACCAAATTACTTATTTTCCAAAATATATTTGGTCTCTGTTTTTCCAGTGAGGTTTTAGTTTCAAGTACTAGGATTAGCGATTTACCCAAATGACATGTTGTATGTCCACGGATCAGGAATTTGAGAATTCATTCCAACAACAAATTATCAGGTTGAGGAATTCTTTTGATATAGGGCCTTATATAAGTAGTTTCCCCCGCTCCCTGTCTGCATTTGCTCTATTCAAAGTTGGATGGAGTCGTCTTTTCATGTTAGGAGTGGTCATTTGATTTGCTGCAGAGTGATGGATATGCTGCTGATGAGTTACTCTCGAAACATTTTAATATCTGTAGCTAAGTGGAGTTTACATATCAACCATTGCAGAAGCATTATATGATCAAGTTCCTAAGCAGAAGCGATTCTTTCCTACTCGCTTCTGATATGTTCCTATTTCTCCATGGGGTCATCCTCTTCAGATTCTTTTGATGCTTTCCCTTTCTCCATTGGCCCTATTCCTGATTTTCAAGTGCCCTGGTCATTTCAGTAATGCTATAAGCAGTTTTCCTGTGTCATTTGTTCTATTGGAATTTTATGAATGTGATCTTACCCAATTATAATGTAGTTCTAAGTATTTCTTGTCATCCATGTTTGGGGCTAAGCAGTCATTGCATGAAAGTTGCTTTGGACTGTGGTTTAATGTTATAGAAGTATTAAAAAGAGAAAAGAAAAGGACATTGCAAACGTGGGAACTGAACAGGTGATGGGGCTGATGGGTATCCTTTCGTTGCTCGATTGTGATATGAGCTTCTTCATGTGAAAAACAGTGGAGCTCAGTATGATATTTCTTAACCGTATAGAGGTAACTGTATATGCTTTTTACCTTATGCTAGACTGTGGGGTAACAAGAGTTTGGTTAACAATGTTAGTTTTTGGCTTTAGTTCCTGTTGGTGCTCAATGTTATCTTTGTTCTGTACAGAAGGAGAAGCAGCTCTATTACTCCACGGCGCCGCAGGTCTCGCTCTCCAAAACAAAGACGCAATAAACTTCGTTCACCAACTCCAAGGCGCCCTAAGAAGCATAGAAGCAGGAGTTTCTCCTTGTCTCCTACTCGTGATTCTTCTATTCCAAGTCCTGGGCATACGGAGCTGAAAATAACCAGTCAAAAGGATCGAAAAGAAGAAGATGAGGAGAGGAAAAGGTATATGCTAGACCTAAATGCTTCTTAGACTGCACTTGTCACGTTTCTTTCAAATTTTTATCTTGCATTTGTAATTTTGGGAAGTTCATCATTGCCTTCAATGACATAAATTGTTACTGTAATAGACTGCAACAACATAGCGGTCCCGAAAGAGGACTATGAGATTTTTTCTGCTGGAAGACAACCTGCTGTATGATTGATTCCTTTCCTTACCTGTGAAAGAAGATTAACATGGATGTGTTAGCCATGTATAGAAGAATAACCCATAAATTACTTACATCACACATTTCTTTTACTAGAAAGACAAGTAAAAGGATGTGCTTTGACATAACTTTGGTATGCCTCCGGGTATTCAGGCTCAGATACCCACGGTTTTGCGGTTTGTTTACTGGCTTCATATAATTCAGCCAACACGAGTTTTCTTGGTTGACAAAACTCAATGGCAATTAAATTCATCATCGTAGTTATGGATCCTTAACCATTAGAAGTCAATTATTCATTACTTTAAGTAACCTTTACGGGGATTCAATTGGATAAAAAATACAGTGTTAAACTACCCAATTAATTTTTTTGATTTGCGTTGAGTAAACCGGAAATCAATCATTTGGATATTATCGGCTCCAACTGAGACTTTGGTAGTGTTTAATGGATATTATAGGCTCTATTTGAAAGTTTTCTTGTGTTGCGGTTGGCTCTACATTGAACTCTATGTTAATCCATGAATGTTTTACAGAAGGGAATATGGGTCTCTCTTTGCTTAATTGTTTTTAACATATTCACGACATCTGTTTTCCAATGATAGATTTACTGTTTTATCACAAGTAATATCATATTTTTTGGAGTAGTCTTGCTTTTGTAGCAAGTTACATGACTTTTTCTCCACAGGATTTCTGAAGAAGATTTTGCACTTGTAATATTTGGTGATGAAATTGGAAGCTTCCTTTACCTATTGTTCACCAAAATTTAGTACTCATTGCTTGATCAGATTTCAGTTAGAGGTATGCTATAATTCTTCATGATGCATAAGCGTATCTGTAGAAAAGTCATCACCTTGAAGGTTAGTATGCTATAGTTCACAGTTGTTATATTGTAGATTTGTAGAAAAAAACAGAGATCGGAAGAGTGGAATAGCACAAGTGAGCTTGCACTTGCAGTGTCAATCACCGTTTTGGGCTAGCATTTGTTGGGATATGAGAAATGGGACTGAAGGAGGTTTCCTCTCTTTGCTCTAAATGAGTGTCCACTTGCTGGATTAACTTGTTTCTATATGTTCAGGCAGCAACATGAAGCAGAGGTTAAGCTAGTAGTAGAAGAGACAGCAAAGAGGTTGGAAGAAGCTATCCAGAGGAAAGTTGAGGAGAGCTTGGCCTCTGAGGAGATTAAGCAGTATTTACAACGACATTTAAATGAAGGACGGAAAGCACTAATTGATGAAGTAGCTGCTCAACTTAAGAAAGAAAAGGAAGCTGTTGCTACCGAAACGAAACAAATTGAGGTACTCATTGTGATGGATGTGCAAGATAGACATGAATATCTACCCTTTGATAATAGGAAAATGATTGCTGGTAATATCTCACATCTCTTACTAAAATTGTCTGATCTGAAGGTGGCATGATTAGGACATGTGATTAGTTTAAGTGTTTCTCGTATAACTGTTGAATTGGGATCAGAACCCTTGAGGTGCTGCGAAAAAGGATGTCTGCCAATCTAGTGGCTGATTCCCATTATTTCTTGTGTTGCCGCTTAATTACACATACATAAAGTTGAGAGTGTTGTTTGTTATGCATAATCTACGTTCATATATTCAAGCAAAGAAGTACTACATGTGCATAACTAATAGCTAGCATGCGAAAGAATTATTCTTAATCGAAGATAGGTGTGGATTTTATTTGATTAAAAATAGTATGTATGGAAGTCGTATAACATGCTTGGTTGTGTCCTGCTGATGTGTGCACTCCTAGGAAAGAGCACATAAAGAGAAGGAAATGCAGGAGAGGATAGTTGAAGCGAAAGAGAGGAAAGTGGAAGAAGCTCTAAGGAAGGAAGCCCTGGAGCAGATGAGGAGAGAAGAGGAAAGGTATAGGGAACTAGAAGAGTTGCAAAGACAGAAGGAGGAAGCAATGAGAAGAAAGAAACAACAAGAGGAGGAAGAACGTTCAAAACAGATAAAGTTGTTGGGTAAGAACAAGTCAAGGCCGAAGTTGTCATTCGCTATCGGGCCTAAATAGGAGTGAATGCTGGTGGGAGATGATGTATTCTCTATGAGGTTCAGTTTCTATGTATGTTGTCACCTGACCTGCTGGGTATTGTAATTTTGTTGGTCAGGGAACAGTTTGTTTTTGATTTGTGAGATAATGCTGTTGCATTTTTGTATTATTATTTTGGTTTCTGTTAAGAATCGAATGAAGTTTAGATGCTTACATATTGGGGGTACGCTTTACAAAGGTAACTGTAAACGGTAAGGATGAGGATCAATCATTCTGTAGTGCTGCTCGCTTGAGAGTTCCATGAAGTTCTATAGTAATTTGAATTTGAAGTTTGCATGTCAAGCATTCCAGGTGATCACCTGACTATGATTTATTTCGTCGCTGACCTTATTTTTCAGATTCTAAATCATTATTTGTTGCCTGTAATGTGTCAATTGTTTTGCTTCTTTTCCTTTGTTCGGTCTTATATCACAAGTTTCTCCTCGTCCAATATATTTTCAGTTAACGTGTTTGTCTGACAATCAAGGACCTGCTCTTGTTTCTCTCGATTCCAAGACTGGCAAGCGGAAAAGACAAAACTGGGAGTTTTACAGTGATGCTCTCTGATATCCCCAAAAGGAAGGTGCATGAAACTGCTATTTGCTCCAGATCATTGAAGGTGCTGGTTCTTCCTTCTTTTGATCGGTTGCTGCCTGGTAAATTTCTAGGTTTGGTTCTGCTTTGACTTTGCAATTTAGTTGACGTTTAATTTAAGTCCTGGAATTTTAATTCATTTTTCCGTGCATATGTTCTGGAGGGTTTGTAAATCCAATGTACTGCACTACTGGTCATGCAAACAAGCTTGGTCATTTTGCTTCTAAGTGGAGTTTTTCCTTTGGCACAAAATTTTCATGTTTTCTGCATCTTCACAGTCCAGAGTTTCCCAACTATTGTTGGTGATCTTTTTAAAACTTTTAATGTACTTCATGTTGTGATGTGGGATTCAGATAGGGGCTCATTATTAATGCTCAAAGCTCTAGTCGGAGAGCAAAACAGTTGCATGCATCCTCGAGTACTTCTTGCATATGGCATACTGTTCACTCGACTGAGAACAAATCATGGTGAGTACTTTTGCAGATTCGGTAATCTGCCTATAGCATTGTATGTCTTCCTAGGAGTGAGAAATATGAGACATTAGTTACATCCTCGAGTACTTCTTGCATATGGCATACTGTTCACTCGACTGGAGAACAACCCATGGTGAGTACTTTTGCAGATTCGGTAATCTCCCTATAGCATTGAATGTCTGCCTAGGAGTGAGAAATATGAGACATTAGTTGCATTCTAATTATCATTCATAGTGGATACTCTGTAATCTTGTATGTTAATGGAGATGGTGATCCCTCATAAGAAGCCTAGTTATTTATTACCCTGCTGATCTGTACAAGAACAGAAGATCATATATGTTGCCTCTGGTATGCATTCGAAATGTTTTGAGACTTCTCTTGTAACCTCATTATGTTCATTTTATGGCATCCTGCTGCTAGCGCATTGGAGGCTTGTTGGAATGGCCGGGTACCATGAAATTATGCTCAGTTTTTTTCCAACTATAGTTGACTGTGTACTTGTTGATGAACCAAAGTATCTGAAAAGGCAATATTACTTCTGACGAAACCAAATGCAAGAATATTCTTGTGCAATGTGCAACCTCCTTTGTGACTTCCAAGTCTGTACAGCTTCATTAACTGGGACTTTTCTTCAGCAAACAAAGTAGGGGAAGGCAGTTTTGGTCCAGCCTACAAGTACCCTTTTGCTCAGTTTGTGAGCCATCCGTCAGCCGAAAATTGGTAGCTTGTCTAGGTTAGTGTGAACCAGTCTCGGTAGGTTGGTTAAAATTTTCCTTTGGAAGGTCTTAGCTATTGAGTTTGACTTGGGAGTTGTTCATGGTTACCTTCATGCATAGTTATACATTACATTATTGGAATAATGCTTTTACCCTGCAGATCGCATCGTGTTTCAGGTGCCGCTACCAGTACGAGCTTGTTTCTGGAGACATAACTAGTATCAGTTGAGAAGAAATCAGGTTGGTATGTAGAAGTGCCTGTGAGCTGGACGTTCTTTCAAATCGTAGTGAGTACCAAAGAATCATCATAGTTATATAGTAAACTCTTGGGCAGTTATCACGTAGTTAATTCAAAAAAATTGTAGTTTGTCCCAATAACATGTTCACCTGACTCTACCTTTCTACTACTGCCATGGAACTGTGGAATGGAACTTCTGTATATGCTAGTTAATTGGAGAAAACTTCTGGTAAAGAAGTTGCAGCAAGCACTATTGATTCACAGTTCCGAGTTATATTGTCAGGATTCACAGGAGACGTAGCATATTTTTTCGTAAGTCTTGTTCCCTTGCAAGATCTGATCATGTGCAGGTGCAGCTTCTCCGGTCTGAATGACTTCCCGCATTGCCTGCATGCATAATTGTTACTAGTTATAGTTTGAGAAGTGACTAGATATGGTGATTAGGGTTCTACTTAGGGTCTATATATACAAATGCATATTCGTGTTGAAATGCCATTGACATTTCCAGTACTATATGCATGGCTAACCTATATGTATACTTACATGCAAGTAGGGGCTCCAACGGGCCTATAGGCTGCGGAAACATCAGAATCCCTGCAAAATCTGGCTGGTTGTCGTTGCGCCTTTGTTGACCCTTTTATTCCCTCATAGTCATCCCTGCAGCAGTCGGAAGGAGCCACATCGAACACACCATTTTTGTTGGCCCGAACCAATAAAATGACATTAAGAGCATTTAAAATGCTCTTCATATGCACCGAGTCAAACGTGTAACATGACAATATCATTCATATGTGCATTAAGCTTAGGTACTTTACCGAGCAGAACTGTTGTCATGTTGCTTACGGCTGTGTAGTTTCAGCTCCAATTCAGTCTCAGCCGTCACAACTTTGTGATTTGTTGCAGATGATATGGATTGCATGTCAACCTGTTTCTTCCAAGTGGAGCTCTGTCGACTGGACGGAGTGCGAGAGGATGATTTGTTCAGAACGACCAGAGCTGTGTCATCTGTGTCAACGACCTCGCAAGTCGTCAGTTTACGCAGAATTCTGGAAACGATGGGATTGGAATGTTTGTGGCTCCTCTTCCTTCTTGAGCTCGAGGGGGACTGCAAGGGATGAGGTGATGACGATGTTGACTGGGCATTGTAACTGGCCGCACTTGTGCGCACGGTTTCTCGAGGGTAGTGCTCGAATGAATACGCGGTAGAAAGGCTAGGATATGTTGCAAGAGAAGTGGGGGAATTGATGATCATTCTGTTCGTGGTTGGATGATGTTGATCAGGTGCTTGTTGCTCACTGGTGCAGTCACTATCCCTTGGAGACGATGATGTCGAGGAGGACGGGGAGGAGGGGATCCTGGTGTCTTTACAAGCGTCAAAATGACGATCGACAGAAATTTCTGACCCTTTGAGTACGTATTCATTGTCGGATATAGGAGTAATTAGATCCTCATCCATCAAATCTTGCCAGACATAACCACTTTTATATCTCCTGATCATGAAATATTTGATATTAGTGTCATCTGATCATAGCTGCTTGGTTGATTTATCAGGATTTCAAAGAGAAATGCAAGCTGCTAAAGGGGGCCTGTATCATTTTGTATGCAGTACCTCTTGTAAGACCAGGAAAACGAATCCGGCATGTCTTTGCCCCGCAACTCCCCCATCCATCTCTTCACATCTGATCAGGTACCATAGTATATCAAGTGCTTAAATCGATTTCTAATCAGCCAATGATATGATTATGATATCAATCAGTTACCTCGCAGGAAAACGCCGTTTCTATTGAGATGATGAACACGAATGAGGTGGGGATGTTCGATGCAGCCCATACGAGCGAGGAAGTAAATGATGTGAAGACGCCTGACTTCCCCTTCCCTTCTCCCAGATGCAGCAGGATTCGTACCAGCGTCAGCCATGGATGCTGCTGCTGATTCCATTCTTGTGCTAGCTAGTTACTGATCAACCTGATGATGACCAATATATACCTATATATTCAAATCAAAGAGAAGAGAAGCAAGAGAGATTAGGGAGGAGATGAATCCGCCATTGAAACACGGATTTCACATTTATATAGCAGAGTTGTTTGCTGTTCCTTGGCTAGTTAGCTAGCTAGCTTTCTTTCCTTGTTTTGTCGATCAGCGGCCTGCCGGCCGATCTGTTGGATTGACGATTGATAACATCAAAGAAACCATCGTTAATGACTATACTGCATTTGTCATGATTCGTATAAAATATGACATATGGGATTATGGGAGTCCATGGCTGATCCGTCTCCTTGTTTAGTGCCAAATTCATGACAGTAAATCCGAACCAGCTAATTTAAGACTATTATTCTCTTTGCAAATTGTTTCGTAGTAACATATAAATCCATTTCGGCCCATTTTTCGTTTTATTTTTAATAGCAGCAGGACCTGGTCTCGTGACAGGGAGAAAAAAGAAAGAACATAAGGAATGATTCGCTTGATTTTTTTTTTTTTTTTTACTCTTCAATATTAACGAGGGATGGCGCAATGGTTCTGGTTGGTTCAGGTTAGCCTAAATCTATACCAAATTTAGTGGGTGATGTACTCACACAAAGCTCTGATAAAATATTTAATGAATTTTGGAAGAGAAAACTCAATCTATTTTAATGAGTACTCGCGGTCATGAGTGCACAGATACTTATGAGCTCACGAGTATAATCACTGCTAATCAATTTCCAAACACCCACGTCGTAATATTATTAAATTTTTTCTTACAAATATATTTCCATAAGGATTAGTAAGATTGATAAATTATTCATATTGTTAGGACTATTATTGGACACTCAAGTAAAAAAAAGAATTATATAGCAAAAACAACCTCACTCCCGGGGTCACTCCGTCTACCCCAACCCTAGGTTCACTCCAGCCACCACCGAGCTCCAACAGTCTAGGTAACCTTGGCCATCTTGGGGTCACTCCGACCACCTCTAGGTCATCTCGGCCATCCCTAGGTCACTTCGGCCACCATAGGGGTCAATCACCCCAGGTTACCTTGGCTACCCTGGGGTCACTCAAGCCACCCCCGGTGTCCATAATCCCGTGTCACCTTAACCACTCTTAGGGTCCACCACACCTAATCACCTTGGCCACCTTCAAGGTCTATCACCCCGTCACCTTGGGCATCATAGGGTCACTCCGGCCACCTTTAGTGTCCATAACCCCGGGTCACCTTGGCCATCGTCGGGGTCAATTACCCTGAGTCACCTCATCACTTCGGGGTGACTCCAGCCACCCGCAGTGTCAGTCACCCCAGGTTATCGGCCACCCTCTGAATCCATAACCTCGGGTCACCTAGGCCACCCTCGGGGTCACCTCGGACACCGTGAATTCACTCTGGCGACCCTCGGGGTCCCTACCCCGAGTCACCTTGGCCACATCAGGTTCATTCCTGCCACCCTAGGGACAATCACCCTGGACCACCTCGACCACACTAGGTTCAATCCCATCCCGGGTCACCAAGACCATCCTAGGGTCACTCTGCCCACCCTCGGAATTTAGTGGCGGATCCAAGATTCTTGGATAGGTGTGTCGGCTGATAAAATAAGTTTAAAATAAAAATTAATTAAACATAAACATAAAATTATTGTTCATAATTTTATTGTCTTATAGTGAACCACGACGAATTTTCATATTCTGGAAGATTTCTTAATTACATCTCTCAGCCGATTCTGATCGTTCTTGATTAAGTTCATACTTCATGTATGAAAAAATGCCATCTTGTAGGTTGTAGTTGCAAGACGTAAACTCAGCATTAATTACCTTAAGGTGGGAAAGGTGGACTGGGAGGCTCGAAGGGTGGAGCAAGCGTCAACATGAAAGTTTGAATGAGATGAATGTCGTCGGCCTAATGCCAACAATTGGAGGGTGGAATAGAGAGCTGCGAGGGGTTGAGAATTTTATTTGTTTGTGACACTCAACTGACTAATTAACTACCTAATCTAAAGTTCGATAATTCCTATATTTACACATTTTGGTAACTTTATAACAATTTGTTTTTTGTAATGTGATAAGGTGTGTTGGTAACAAATAGCAATTATTGAAGGTGTGTCAGAGTTTTCTTGTTCAAAACTTTTACACTGAAAAAAATGGGGTTCACAAAAATTTCAGGCAAAGGTGTGCGGGTGACACACCTTGCTAAAGGGTGGGTAAGCTCTTGTCGGGGTCTATCACCCTAGGTCACCTCGACCACCCTAGGATCGATCACGTAGGTCACCTTGGCCACCCCCGGGGTTGATTACTCCATGTCACTTTGGCGACCCTAGTGCTGCTCTAACCATCACTGGGTTAGTTCCCAAGTCATCCAACACCCTTGACCACATACTCCCATGACAAGTATCTTTTCCTTCCCTTCGAACTTTAGGAGGAAGACACATATGTCGGTTGCCATCTTCGCTCAGGAAATTGGATGATTTGGATTCTTGGGTTGTGCGAAACCAGGCTCTGATACCAATTGTTACGTGGATTTCCCAAGAATAGAGGTTCCACACAACCTCTCTCTCACGAATCGAACAAAGGAACTCGAGAATTATTTTAGAACGAAGAGAAATAGACTAAGAACGAATAGAAATAAAGGACAAGAAAAACTAAATTACAAATCTACTTGGGTTCCAATCTTCTCATATCATTAAACGAAAGACGAAGTACATATTTATTGGCATAGAATATCTCTTTTCTCCTACCTAAAACATGACTACTTCCTCTACAAGGAAACAATAACTAATTCCTAAACAACTACTAAAAAGTAATTCAAATCCTACTAGAATAAATAAACAATATTAATGTCCCAAATAATACAGAATATAAATTAATTAATAAAACTACTAAAATAGATGAGCCAAAAATTCATATATTATTACGAATGGCTTGTATCATAACAGGTTGATTTGTTTTTGTGTTTGTGGGTTGTTGGTGTTGGTGTGAGTGTTGCTTCTTTTTGTTGTTTTCTAGGTTTTGGGGTGGTCTCTTTTGGCTTTGTGTTTCGGCAGGTGCAGCTCTTGCTGGTGGTCATCTTTTCTTATGGTTTTTGTGGGCTCTTCTCAACCCTTGGTGTAATCTTAGTATGTTTTGTCATGGTTACCTCTGTTGTTGGCTTCCTTTCCTTGTTTCAGCTCTGAGCAATCTGGTACAGTATTGTCCGTCGCCATGTAATCTCTTTGGTGATTTACTGTGATGGGTCATCTTCGAACAACTCGCAGGAGGCGGCATATGGTATTGCAATGACGTTCAATTGCCATGGTGAAGCATGTATTAGACGAGCTGAAGCTGTTCTTTACACTAAATTCAACGAACGAAATTTTGTTCCAGTTTCATACGGCCTTAACTAACTACACACTAACTTTGCACTTGGGGTTGCAAAGTTATGGTTCTTGAATTGCATTTGGTCGACATTGTTATGGTTGACATCAATAATCTTCAAACAGAAATAAAAAAAAAAGAGTGGTTTGACAACGTACTAATCCGTTCGTAATAACAAAAATGGTAGAATATTCATGATACTCGCAGACTGAGGTTGAGGGATTGGGGTTGAGCTATGTAATGTCTATTGTATGAATTTTTGCTGACGAGTATTACAGGTGCTTATATTATCCAAATGGGTATTAAAGGGTAACTTGTGGATACTCGTTGCAGAAAGTATTGGTCCCAAATTTCATCTCGATTCAATAATATTTTTGGTAAAAAAAAGTATTTAAATACCCGTAACTATAAAAAAAAAATGAAATTCTCATTGCCCACCCCTAAAAAATGGATCTAGATAGACGTCCGCCCGTGTCCCCCTGGATGGCTGGATCTCACAGAGGCGCCCGTGTGGCAAGAAATGGACGGTTTGGATGTGCAGAACCCGTATTTCTTTCTTCTTTGTTGTTTTCTTCTTTCTGATATTTCTTTAGCAGTGAAAGCATGAGATTATGGATGGATGGATTGTGAGAGAGAGATGAATGACCAAGTCAGTCTGCCTCATGACTCTCTGACAGAAGCAGCAGCAGCAACAGTAGTCTGATCATTATTATTCATATTCATATTCATATTCATTCATTCAGAGAGTTTCAGGAAGGGGCATTCATTCAGATCCATGTCATGGGTCATGATAATAGATCTATTGGATTTACCTCTTCTGTCTGTGTTCTCTCTGTCTTCTCTGCTTCTGCGTCTTCTGCGAGTCTGACTCTGCTGCTGCTGCTGCTGCTGCAATCCTGATGAATGTAATGTTGATGATTCAGTGCTGGGCAATGCAGTGTAGTTTCAGGCAAGGAAGGGGGGAAAAGTAAAGAAAGGGCAGCTTTTTCCTCCTCCACACAGTCAAGTCTGAAACGTGTTCAGAACAAAGAAGAAGAAGAGCAGGTGGTGGAGTTTGCACTTTCTCTTTCGTTTCTCTCAATACTCCCCCCGAATAATGTTAGGAACCTTTTAGTCATTTATCTAGTTTTTTTGCTACATTCTAGCCCTATAAGTTTTGCTGTGTAAGTAAGTAAGAAATAAGATTCCAAGGACTAAAATAGCTGTAGAGGATAGGATGGAAGAAAAGACCAACATTTGGGTATTGGCCAAAATATTATTCCATCTCTAATCGTCCAATCCTCGATACAATTTGTTTCCTGTAACAATGGTACCATCCAATCTAACTCGTATTAGATATTACCGTAATACGGTCTTCAATGTTTCAAGCTATAAGTTGGTAAAAAACCCTTTTAACATCTTTTACCCAACACGTTTACTTGTGTTAGTAGTACTAGGTAGGGGTAAAAAAAAAAAAAAAACCTAGCTAACTGGGCCACAAACAATAAAAGAAAGACCTGAAAACAAAGTACGCAGTGTTGATGGCGGGCACCAATATGCGTACCATGTAACAGTAACACACAAGGAAGGAAGGAAGGACGGAAGGAAGCGTGCGCGTGTGGGATCTAATTTGACAGAGCACCAATTTATATCATCAACCTGACTTTACTATCCTCACCACATTTTCTCTTCAACCATCGTCATGTACTATCATATTTACATATAAGATTCTGCCCGTTCGTGCCTCAATTTGTTAACCACAGGATCACATGTGGTTCCAATAAAGAACATGGTGGTAGGTAGGGATGGCAATCAAACCCATGGCCGCGGGTATCCGACCGCCCCATACCCAGTCAACGCGGGGAATCCCCGCTTTGACCGGGTATGGGGCGGGTATGGGTAAAACCCGCAAAAGGTTTGATGGGTATGGGGCGGGTATGGTTTTAGCCTCCCCCGCCCCATACCCATACCCATACCCGCCCCACCAAGAGAATTTCTTCACATATCAAAAAATACGTGGATTAAATTGTAATCTATCAATGATGATGATGATAACTCGAGAAAATAAATAGTAGAAATGCAATTGAGTAACCACCTTAATCAAAACCTAATTCATTTCCCTCAATTCTTCTTCCACTCTTTCACTTTCCCCCTTGTCAACAAAATTATGTTAGTTAATTATTACTTAGTAAATGTATTAAGAGTTAGAGCATAATAATTTAAAAAATATTATAGTCTATATTATGTATTAATGGATGTTTTAGGATCATATTCTTTGAATCGTATTTAGAAAATGACCGTGTTTTGTTGACTTCGTGATATAATAGGTTTGTTTATGGTTATAATTAAAACTTTTCTGGTAAGTTTTAGGTATAATAATGTTGGATATACGGGGATGGGTATTACCCATGGGTACCCGAAACCCACGGGTATGGGGATGGGTTTGCAAAACATTCCCCCGCATGGGTATGGGGCGGGTATGGATTTGGGTATTTGAAGATGGGGATGGGGATGGTTTAGGCAAACCCGCCCCAAACCCGCCCCATTGCCATCCCTAGTGTTAGGCCTAGTGACATTTCAAAGACTGATTTATGGTATTACCATAAAATCTAGCTACAAGACTTGTGATTTTGGTTAAGGGGTGAACAAAAAGAACCACAATCGAATTCACCCGTGCAATTCGATCCAACCCACCCGTATTTACTGTAGAAACTAAGCTAGTACTAATAGTAGAAGAATGTACTGGTTGTGAGAAACCAGGCTCTGATACCAATTGTTACGTGGATTTTCCAGAATAGAGGTTCCACGCAACGTGTCTCTCACGAATCGAACAAAGGAACTCGAGAATTATTTTAGAACGAAGAGAAATAGACTTAGAACGAATAGAAATAAAGGACAAGAAAACTAAATTGCAAATCTACTTGGGGTTCCAATCTTCTCATATCATTAAACGAAAGACGAAGTACATATTTATTGGCATAGAACATCTCTTTTCTCCTACCTAAAACATGACTACTTCCTCTACAAGGAAACAATAACTAATTCCTAAACAACTACTAAAAAGCAACCGCCAATAGTTCTTGTGCATTCTTACGCGCTTGTACTTTTACCGTGCCTTCTTTCTCTACATGAAACCTATAGTTCGACTACATTGGTTTATTGAGAGATTTCATACATCTTCTGAAAGTGAAAAACAACCTTATATCTGGTAAGTTAGAGAAGTTGGTTTTTTTCTTTCTTTTTTGCAGCTATAACACTATAAAATGTTAAACTCCATTTCTCCAGCGAATGCTTGTTTTTCACTCTAACACTGTGTTCAAGAAGGAGAAAAAAGGAAGGAAAGAAGAGGGGAGGGAAAACGGGGATGGAAAGCACAGTTTTCCATAAACTTTCCCCTGTTTTTTAAGAAGGAAAAGTGCAAGAGAAGGAAAAATATGAGAGAAAATTTTCTGTAGAACCCAACCCTCCAATTTGGAGAGAAAGTTCTCCACTACCATTTGCATTGTTTCTTTTTTTTTTGTTGCTTTTTTTAGTTTGGTTTTGCTTTTTTTTCTCTTTTGCTACATAAAATATTAGTATGCTAGACAGTGAATTAGTTAACTTTTATTTTATGATCACCTATTATAGGTGATTAACTAATAAACTATAATTATTTGTTAACGTAATGGAAGAGTAATGGTTTACGTCCTCTTAGTTATTAATTGACTAATAATATTTTTTAAGGGAGGTAGGGAAAATTTTGAGGGGATAATTATCGGTGAAGACAAATATTATTATGAGTTGTAATGAAGGTCAACTCGTGAGTCGATCCACCAAATTGCCTCGTACGTAACGTTGTTTTGCACGATACATAACACTGTTGTATGAGATATAAAAACTTGTTACGCTACTCTTACAATTTATGTATCTGTAATTTGTTGTATGTTTATATATTTAGTTGCTATGTTATTACTCAATAAAATAGTTAACAAAATTTTAGTAATAAGTTGACAAATTTCATTCAAATAACCAACTTTTGATTTGTTGTAGTTAACAAAATTAACAAAGAAGAACAAATTTGATCCACATTACATAATTAATATTATGTAAATAGTATAAACACATAATTAAATTATTTAACTATTCTATCATCAATAAAATATAATACATATCACAATTCCCAATCTACTTTTTCCCTCCCACTTTCCCTTTCACTTTCCTCCATTAAACAACATTTTCTTTCCAATTCCCTCTAATTTCCCTCCCTTCCAAACTTAACCTCCCCTCCAAATTTTCCTACCCTCCCCTCCTTTTCCTCCCTTCCTTCATGAACATAGTTATGTACAGTTTTACACAACAGATCCAATCCCAATACTTATATTTATACATCACAAAAAGAATCGATTGGGTTTGAAGGAATCCAGTCCCTTCAAGTGGACTCAATCTTTTGCAATGGAATTTTGGGAATAACAACAAATATTTTACTTGTCTGGATTGTTGTCAGCAAACAAAGATGAAGCCAATGAGTACAGGCAGGCCATGTAGTAGGGCTAATAGTAACACTGCAACAATAATAAGATCCCATGGCAGCATTGTATCAGTAACAGGGGAAGTTGCTGCTGCAGACACACAAAAGAACAGAAATTTGAAAGCTAAAGCTAAACAGCCAAAACAAAACCCCCAAAGTGACTCAGCTTAAAAGACAAATTTGCACACAGTTCAGTCCATCATTACCACCATTCACTTCTTCATACATTTCTTTTTACCACACATCTCTCACTATCTTTCTTGTAAGTCGCAATAAACAAACAAACAAACAAAAACATAGTACAGATTTGGTCTGTCTGTCATTCAATCTATCTACCCATCTTAATTCTTTTGAATGTGCTCTCAACTGAAACATGACAACAACATTAAGTGTAAGACAAACATACATAGGATCCTCTTCCAATCCCCACATCACATAAATTGTTAGGCAAATTCCAATTACATGGATTCTGATTGATACATACATGCACAAATACACACGCCCGGAGACGAATCCAGGATTTAAAATTTTGTATTCGTGATCTAGTTTACGTCTTGCGCGAGGAAGTTATAGGCCAATCGTCTTACCACTCTTAAGATATACATACACACATTAATACATTGTAACATCGGACTATATGCTACGGGAGTAGCAGTCACTTCTGGACTACGCGTAGCTATACCCCGAAACTGAATATTGTTGAGACGATTAGACCTAACCACCAAAATAAAATACAAAAGGGTTGTTCCACCACAAGTCCACAACCACCAACTGGAACACAAGTACAAGCAAAAAGTTAAAAGAAAAGAAGAACACTCCAACTATCTGCAAGGGAAAAAAGACAAGAGGAAAAGTTATATCAGTTCCAAACACAAAAACAAGAAGGAAAAAAAAACTGTAAAAACCGGAGTTTCAATTGCAGTAATTAATTTTTACCCATGGAGGATTAGCGTTAATCAATGATGATGATGGGCTCTGGAGTTGAAGATTGGGAAGTCGAGCGACGATGAATTGGGGACGGAGATGGAGAGCCTGGTGCTGCTGTCCAAATCGAGCCATGACGGCGACTGATCCTTGTTCTTGGGCGGCCATTCATCGAAGAATCGATGAACCGTTGTCTTTTGGGGCTCTTCTCCTCCTCCTCCTCTGTCGAACCTGAGCATGGTTTGACCCTTGCCGTCCCCATGGTTACTTTGCTTGGTGGAATAACTCTCCTCGCTCTGCAGGTTGCTCTGAAGCTGGAGGTACGAGTAATCGCTCTGTAGCCCAGACGAGCTCCTCTGTTTCGAAGACGACGAGGAAGATGAAGACGACGACGAGGAGTTGATACCCAGTGGACTCAGTCGCCATGGGTCGTCGGAGGCGCTTCTCATCATCGACCCAGATGTCTCCGAGAAGAATGCGCGCTCGTGATCGACGTCTTCTTTCAGCCCGTAAATGCTCCGGCTCCTAGTTAAGAAAAGAGAATCAGAGGAAAGAAAACAGAGGAGGGAGGGAAAACTGCACAAAAGGTGTTTGATTTAATGCCTGAACGAACCTGAAATCCGCGGTGGTGAGGGAGCAGTACCCAGCAGAGTCGAGAAGCAAGCTGGTGGAGTCGGGAGGGCGGTGCCGAGCAGCGACGGATGGGTGAGAGGGAGAAAGTAGGTGATGGTGGTTGTAAGTAGAAGGAGGATTTTGGTAGTGGGATTGGTGAAGACGATGATCATGGTGGTCATCAGCAGCCGAAGAAGAAGAGAGCAACGAAAGGGAGGTGTGAGCATAAGGGGAGGAATGGTTGGCTAGTGTTGGAGATGATGATGATGATGTTGAGTTCTTGTTGTTGGTCATTGATAGGGTCGTAGTAGTAGCATTAGTAGCAGCAGCAACTTCCACAGGCTTTCTTGAACGGTTTTTACCTCTGTGCATGTGTCTCTCGCAGTACTTGGAATCTGGGTATGCCTCTTTCGAGCACCTCCATTTCTTGCCGTCGGTTCTTCTGCATCTCCCTGGCTCCGGGTCTATTTTCCTCCCCAAACCCAACTGGAAGCAGCTCCATCCCACTGCGCAGTGTGTTGTTGAACATATTATATTATGCATAAAAATGGTTCCTTTTTTCTTAAAGGATGCAAAAAAAAAAAAAAAAAAAAACGAAGAATGGATAAGAGGGGGTTATATGTACCGTGGGGAGATTGAGAAGGGAAGAGCTTGGAGGAGAGAACTGCGGAGTCGAAGCTGCTGCAAGGAGAGGAAGAAGAGCTTCTTTTGATGGTGAAGAGGAGATCAGGTGGGATGGGGATTCCTGATACCATGTATTTGAAGATTAATGCTTGATGCTCTAGCTCTTGCCATTGATTTGCAGTGAAGGGGAACCTGCTGCTTCTTCCGCTCATCACGTCACGCGCAGCAGGAGAGCAAGAATACCAGATAATAAGAAGAAGAGAAGGATAATAAGAAGAAGAGAAGCGGGGGGACTGAACTACTGGAAGGAGAAAAGGGAATTGGGTTTTGGTGTTTGATTTGAGATTCCCCACTTTATTATATGAAGAACTTAAAAGGTTGATAGAAGAAGAAGTAGGAGAAGGAGAAGGGAAATAGAGAAGAGGAGGTAGAGTAGGTATATTTATTTCAGGGACCGTTTGAGCTTTGCAGAATCTTTTGTGTGATTGAAGGGAGGGAAGGTAAAAGGGAAGAAAGGGAAGAAAGAAAGCATACTTGCAGAGGGAAAAGAAAGAACGATTAGAAACTAATGCTGCTGCTGATTGATAATGGTGGAGGTGGTGCAGCTGCCTGCCTGCCTGCCTGACAAGATATAATGGTGCAGAGCAGAGGGAGAGTCTGCCATATAAAAATTTCAATCTTTCTTTCAAACTCTGCAGCAGTGTAAGAGAGGAGGTGGGGACTGTAGTCATATTATGACTGCCTGGCCTGCTGCAGGCAAGCAGCTGCTGCGTTGGGTGGCAGGAGCAAGCTGCCTGTTTTTGGCAGCGCTTTGTCTCTGACAACTCTGCGGAAACCCATAAAACTTGAGAACCCAAAGAAGAGTGCATTAAATAAAGACACTGTGAAAAGAGAAAGGGGAAGAGAGGAAAAGTTGGTGGGTGTGGGTGTCTGAAGCCAATGCAATGCCTGGCCCTCTGCTCAGTGCTCTCTCTCTCTCTCTCTCTACATCTGCACACCTGCACCTGCACCACCTGACACTCTCCCTCTCCCTTTCTTTCTCTCTGAAGATTGTACGGTGCAGAGCTTTTACTGCTGCTGCCCACTGAACTCTTCTTTTTTGCTGTTCCTTTACCTTATTCACTTGCTACCTTATTTTGACCTTATTTCTCTTTGCTCACTCCCTCTCCTAGCATTAGGCTTGTTTTCCCGCAAAGTATAACAGTTAATTAAGCTTGTGAAATTGTTTTTTGACAAAGTGATGGCTTATATCGTGCTTCGGAAAATTTTGGTTAGAAAGAGGGGATTACATCATGAAATCCGAAACAAGGAAGACAACCTAAACATTTTTTCCCCAGACAATAGAACCTAAACATTTGGAAGAGCACATTGGACAAACAGAGTATTAGTCAAATGAAATAAGCAAAGCAGATCGAACCAGACAAGGGGACTCCCTTTCTTGAGCCAAAGCAGAGAGCATACAAAACACTCTTTGCAACCTCATTCATCATATATAGTGGATTAGTGGTACAAAGCACACATTTAGGTTCCCCAATACAAATTTAACCATGGCAATTGAACATAACAACACCATATGCCGCCTCGTAGGAGTAGTTCCAAGACAATCCATCACAATGAGCATCGAAGGATTCATGACATAGTAGAGCATTGGGTCGCGTATTTTTTTTTACAATATCAATTGTACACGTCAATCTTTTAATATAACGAATCATCAATAACGGAGTGTATATTCATACAAATAACATATTACTCCCTTTCAAATAAAATAGTTAACCAATCTGTGAGAAATTCATCACTCATTTGGTTGCACAAATCATTTTTCACCTTTTCATTATTGAAAGGCTTCTCTCCATAGTAGTTGTTGAAACGACCAATGTCAACATTAGACAAATCAATCGACTAATCATTTTGTATTGTGTGCCTATGCCTATTTTCGATTTCATTGTTTGTTTTTCTTTAGACGAGAATCATTGGAGCTAGAATTTATAGGCTAAATTTAGAGTTGTGATTTGAATTTATCCATTTGACCCATTTTCCTAATTACACACAATCTTGTTATAAAATAACATTGGGCAAAATGGCTAAAATCGATAAACTCATAAGGGTTATAATAGCTCCAGATCCAGAGGAGGGCTGGGTCGTGGCACGGGATTGCCACCCATGGATCCGCCACTGACAGTGAGTTACTAAATTGGGATCTAGCGACAATAGACGAAATTGTGACTGGAGTGCTTAGATTGTAATGTGAGATTGTAAAATTTACATAATGTGAGAGTTGTGGAAGCACAAGCGTAAATGCATGATACAAACCCAGCAGCTGTATGAGAAGCACAAGCGTATATGCATTGATAAGAGACAAAGAAGATGGAGAAGGGAGAAACGAAACAAAATATAAATTAGTAATTAACAAAGGGGTATATTAGACATTTTCCCTTCTTCTTAACAATCATTTGACGGAAAAATTTAACAGAAGATTAAGTTTGTTACAAGTTATTAGTAAAAGGATATATTTGTGAAAAAAATTATATAAGGACACACTTGTTAATTTGTGATAGTAGAGGAGCATAATATGCTATTATACCTTATTATAATAGATCTAAGTAAATAAACGTAAGTGGTCTCCTGACTGGATCTGCCCCGTGGATCTTAAGGTTGTGGGCTTTGTTTGTTGATCAAGCCCACTAAGCGTTTGAAGTCTTGAAAAGCATACTTTGGTCCTTCTTCTTGAGCTTTCTCTTGACAATCTCATAGAGATCTTGAGAACCACGTATCAACACATACAGACCACAGAGCAAGGTAATGTGAAGAGATGTACAAAGACACATGATATTTTATTAATCAAGTTCAGCCTATTGCTTACGTCTCGATCAAATATGGCCTACCCTCTGAGACCTAGTGTATAGGTTTTGGTCTTATTCCAATATAACTCCAAGTTTAGTTCCTTTGGATGGAACTCAAATCTTTGACGAAAATAGAGCAATATAACCCTTTTCTCTCTTCCTCACACGAGCACATGTTAAAGAGAGAGTGCGCTAGCTTATACTCATTTTCCCTCTTTTTCCTATTTTCCCATGTTTCCCTCTCTCCCACATTGTGGATGGTCTCATGGAGAGATGCATGAAAAGCAACAATATCATGAACAAAATAACAATCTATTTCACATGATTGTCACAATAAAAAGCCTTGTAATGATGATCTTAAGTAGAGTAGTTGATTTTGCACTCGGTGACATTGGAATAATTAATCTGTGTATATCAAATAAAAATAATAATTATCAGGCCTTGAGTCCACTTTATATTGTTTAACAACTCACACCCAAATTCAGGATGAAAACACCTGGTGAGGGCAATTGTGGGCATGACGAGTATCTCAATCCCCATACTAGTTCCGCATTGAGCGCATGCCAAATATTAATTGATAGGGTAATATTTGCATAGCAACTGGTCAAGGCAAATAGACTCATTCACATATTAATTGAAGAAAATAAATGAAAATAAGAAAAAATTTACAATAAATCAAAGAAAAAATACTTCACAAATGAAAAAAAGAGATATTAAAAAAATAATCTGATCCAATTAATTGAAAGATTAAATTATGCTCTTATTCAAAGTTTTATTGAAAATAATTTTAAAAAGTCAAAGTAGGATACAACGTAAAAGGATAAAGACAAATCGATTTAAAATGAATCACAAACGAGACAGAGGTAGATAGATGAAATAATACTCACATCTCACCCAAACTACTACGAGTCATTTACCCTTTTCTGTTCTGTACACGGCATCCCGGCAACTACCCAAACTAATATCTTTCATAGTGTTATCTCCCTGGAACTAGCATCTTGTTACAGTTCACAGAAGCAGTAAACCAGAGAAAACGAAAAGCCATTTTGCTGCAATTGTTTGTTTGTTGGTAAACCCGTAGAAATCAGACATTGTCGTCTTCTTCTAAGTTCTAAATAGTTATTGTGGCAGCAGATATTGATAACTCAGGGTCGTAACACTTTACCAGTTTCTGCCCCAGAAACGCTAATTCATTTAGATTCCCACCCAAAAGTACAGAGATCTTAAAACTGCTCTTGTACAGAGACTGCACCTATGACCTAACCATCCAACTTCCGCCATAGCATTCAATTCCCAGTACCCAAAAGGCAAACAGAATCATTGCAGGTACAAAAAGTTTAAGCCACAGTATTAACAACTTGATACCGCGAGTTCAGGCAGCTCGACCAAGGGTTCTCCTAAACACCAGTTGCACTTGGACAGAATCGTTGTGAAGTTGGGAGCTGGGATGCATTCACCACACAAAAAAAAAAACAACATACAATACCATTGTAGATATCCCTTCTTTAGCTTTCCTCCTACAATCCTATCAAAACCAAACCCTCACATTTAAGCTTTGCCCCTATCCTACCAAATTTCAACCTCCCCTGGCTGTCCCTCCCTGTTGGATGATACCAACTTGGTGGGATTTCCCTACAAATGGGCCACCAATCTGGAGAAACATGCCACATAACCTTCGACTAGGTTTCAAGCTACATAAGTTATACTCACGTTACACAAAACCTTACCAACACTAATCCTTCTGAAAGAAAGAAAGAGCGAGATCCGTATGTACAGAGAAGAGCTGTGTGTCCACAAAATGCTGCGACAGAGACAAACTAACATTGTTAGCACATTGAGAATGTTTGGGTATTCTATATTTGGAAAAGAGGCGCTCGGAAATCAAATCTGTAGGCAGATTTTGAGTACCAACCTTCATAAATGGCCGATCACGGTTAGGATAGGAGTCTATAAAACTCTCCTTTAAGAGCAAGGAAACCTAGAAGCAAAAAAAGAAAGGAAAACAAACATGTCAAGTAACGAATCATTTTACCCCCCTGCCATTAGCCACTTCATTCATGGGGGTTTGGCTGTGACCGCGCTGAGACGGATTCTAAACAAAGTCAATTATAAAGATGTGCAAGGCATCGGCACGATGCTGCAATTGGTATACTAAAGGCCCCTCCTACAAGCATTTAGACTTAAAATAACTGAACATTACCCAACCCTAATGTTCAGATACTTGGACAACAGTTTTACTGTAGTTCCATTACATTTGACCCCGGCTTCGTTACCACTTACCACGTGAGGGTAGTAAAGTCTAAATAACAACAGAGGTAACATTTTCTTTCCAACAAAAACCTAGGGTACCATTTGGCACCAAATGAACACATAAAATCACACCAACAGTGTCATAACAACCGGAAAAATGAGCAGAGCAACCAAGCGACATATTATGTGTAGAAAGGTGCACCTTATCATTGTTTGATTGAACATTTGTAATGGTGTGCGAGCGCAGGTTGGAACAAAGAGTGTCCAAGTAAGATCTGAGTACTCGCAGGAAGCCCTTGGCAGCTTCAACCTGTAAAGGCACAGAATATAAGCAACACGAATATTTACAAAGTCATGTGTGGGTGTGAGGACACAAACACATACACAAACCTCAACTTATCAATGGTTAACCAGCAAAAAATAAGCTAGGCACGACTGATACATGCAATTTCTACTTATCGTGGAAGGGAATGGAAAAGCTTGTTGGAAAGAGTACAAAAGGATTCATTGAACTTAGGTATTAGTCAGTTTAAATACTACTCTGTCCCTTCTTTTAGGCTGCTTATATTAAAAACACCTCATATGTAAGAGAAATTATCCCATAATTCAAATGAAATGTTAACTTGAACATTAGTTCCTGAAAATGGAGGCCAGAAGAGAGCTTTATAGAGTTGAGGGAGGGTTGTCCTCAACATTTCTCTTTCATTAATGAAATTTTGGGAGTGTTTGTTTCAGTTTTTTCTAAAGTTCTAAGAACTAAGCATCTTAGTTTTAGTAGAAGTGAAGAAAGAAGGTGTTCAATATGGTTTTAAGAGATCAGAATTTGGATGGAATATGAGATATCTTTTTATAAATGAAAAAAATAACTAATGAGATGTTAGAGAGTTGGTTTAATAGTAGAAGATGAGTGGGGTTTGACATTACCTACAACAGGTATAACTTTGTGAATATATAGTCTTACTTGAAACAAGCAACGTTGAGAATGGAACACACTTTTAGTGAAATGGATGTTCGCGTTCAATGATTCAAGTAGTCCGCCATGAAGATAAAAAAAAATAGATTGTACAAAAATTTGGATAAAAAAAGTGTGTTTTGGTTTTGTCCACTAACATATTACTGGAAAGAAACACATCCCATGAAGGTTAACCCTAAGCTCACTCAAGAAGAACAAGGGACCCTGTGACAACGTAGACATTTACCAGCAAATGAACCAAGCAGGAATTAAAACCACCAAGGCAGCGGAGCAAAAAGATAATTAGAGAAAAAACAATCAAAATTTGATTAAATGGAAGACTGCACTTCACCTGCTCATCTGTGCACTCATACACTGGTCTTCTCCTTGCCGAAAAGCTTAGTCCCACAAGCTTTGCATGATATGAACTCAAGGATGAAAACAACTCTCTATGTTTCGGTAGTTGAGGTATTCCAAGTGACTTAACCTACAACAAGACTTCATATTTAGGTAAATCTATCTGGACACAATCCAGAAAATTTGCAAAGCCAGGAAAGGCAGGAAAAATATGCAACCTGGTTCTTGTTGATATCAACCACAACAGCATTGGTTAACCTCGATTGTACTTCAATAGTTTTGTTCTTTACACCGACCTGCATAAAACATCTAAAATCGTTAATGACACCGACTTACAAGAATGAAAAATCACATAGTAACAGGAGAAGTGATCTTAAAGGGAAATTGATGCACAAGATGAGACTGAAAAGCTGAACACTTACTATGTAAGGAACAGGAGCTTCCAAGAAATCTAGCATGTCATCTGGCAAAATCTGGGGAGTAGAAATGACAATTAGACCCCCCCCAAACAAACCTTAAGAAGACAAGAAACGTCTGTTGCATAACCCTCAAAATCGAGAAAGAAACCCTACCGGCATTAGTAGGCTTTGCCATTGGTAAGGACGAATCAGAGGAATAATTGACAAAACTGAAGCAGACAGAATTCCCTGTATAACAAAACACTTTTAAAATTAAACTACAAAAGTTGTACTATAGCTATGCTGATTAATAAAATCTAATAATAGTTGTGAAAACTATGATTAGGACTCAGTCCAGCAATTAACCAATAACTTATCATGTTTTAAAGTATTGAAATTTTCATATCCATGTATACACATATTACAAGGAAAACTGATAAACCATACATAGGTGTAAATGGTTATAATGGACAACAATATATATATACTATAAAGAGATGACATGTTAGATAAGCTAGAACCCAAATGTTCATTATAACTCCAAAATCAAAATTAAAGATCAGAAGCAAGTGAAGTTGACATGTTACATACCAAATTGGAACAAACAAACACAATCTGCTTCTCCAGTAGTGCTGCTGCAAATAACGTTAAAACCTGCACATAAATATTATCATGCCAAGTTATTCATGTGAGCTAGTGAGGAAGTCAAACTTTGCATTCTATCAAACACAGTGACAAATACAGCGAAAAAATCCAAACAGTGGACGGAACTGAACAGAAAGCAAACCAGACGAAGCTAATGGCTACTGAACAAACGTGAAAGCATTCCAGATTTCATATGTTTTTTTGGACAAAAGATAGCATAGATTTCGAGAAAACAAAACTCAAAGCCAGCACCAACTCATACATGTTCAAGTCGTAAAGCTCCACATATGCATGCTATTGTCCAGGTTGACAATGCTGTTGCTTCCTCCTCTACCAAGAGTGCACCGTAGGCCTAAGGGACAAAAGCAGCAAGATAATGATACTGACAGCTTAAGTTAACTTAAACCTAGTGATTGGAAGATATTGCTCATAAACTAAAGAAAAAAGGTGATAAATAAAGTCACATTTAATAATGGGAATTTGTTTATAACAAAACAAATAAACGAACAGTGATAAGTAATTGAGCCTTATTGAGCAGACACTTAACCTCAGCAAATTCAAGGCCTGTACTACAAGATCTCAAATCAATAGTTGAGCCAGCAATACGCAGAATTGTCTCATCTGGTCTATGAAATTCCAAGGGATGAAGATGCTCCAACGGATGAAATTTTATTGCTGAACCCCTGTCAGGATTATGCAGATGGTAATACTCGCAAAGTATCTGTAATGAGCCATGGTTGTTTTCCTGTAAAATGAGAAGCGGAACATTTTGCGTTCAAGAGAAGACACATAAACTAACAGCTATAACCAACAACAGGAACAGCAAAACTGCACCCCGGAAGGGTGGAGGTGCGTGGATGCGTGTTGATTGTGGTTCCTGCTATGAAGAACAGTCACAAACCTTGGCCCATTCAAGAATGTGAAGATGATCAATTGACTCTTCCTGGCCAGAAGAAGAAGTCTCTTCAGTCTCAGTATCGTCAATATCACTCCGGAAATTCCTGTCTTCACTGGGAGAACCCTGGAAACTGCAAAGCAGGCATTTTCAGTCAGCTTAACTGACAAGGGAAACACAGTGTTGTTCGGTTACATCTATCTGATATTAGAATAAAGAGCTGGTTAAAAAACTATCTCATTAGGATGCTGCTGCTAATTCACAAACTCTTAGCAGTAGAACACTTAGCTATCGATCATTCTCAGTTTTTCACATTCAGTTAAGGTAAGCAGGATATAATAGGTGGTCCATGTTCTTTGTGATCTGGCCTCCAAGCAAAAGATCTAAACACCATGTAAGGCGGACAGAGATGGACACCAAGCAAATGCCAGTTCCACAATGGTTATTACTCAAGAATATGCCTTGAGTGATACAGTAAAACCAATCAATTTAGAAACTGGAGACACGGCAAACATTATAACGTAAGAAACTTGACTAGTTTTCGTAGTACTTGTCAGCATATACAGCTCTCTACTAGAGTAAAATAAGACCAAAGAGAACCAAATCCCAGGACCAATATTTCATGACCCACTACCATTATTTTTTTGACCAAATCACCCTGTATTGCCAGGTGATTAAATAGCAAAGGAGCCAGGTGGCATACACCTGCTCCCCAATGAACAACTTTTGAATTCAACGCCAGACATTTCCAACATTTGAATGAGAATATTATGAATTTGCCTCGTATTCATCACAAGAAATTTAAAAATCAAGAAAATTATGAATGCATTTGCAACATTTGAATGCAACAATCGCAAATGGGCTCATCATAACCAGGCTCATTTTGAAAAGATATAAACATGAGAAAAATGTGTACATGCTTCACCTTGGAGAAGATTCAGAGCTTTCACAAGGATATAAGCGGATGCGAGGAAGAGATGAGTTCGTCAAGCGTCTTTCTCGTTGCTTCAGTGGTGAATCATCATTATCATTATTACTATGACTCTCATGGTTTGTCGTAGCAGATTCACATTTGGGAGTCTCCTCTGTTTCTGAATCAAATGTATCATCATTATCCTTGACATTGTTGGTCAATGAAGGTTTACGCTCAAAAGCATGATCCTCCAAGTGGCTTTCGCCATCAACCAAACCTCCTCCACATGCAACCTCTGAAGCTGGCTCCCATGTCTCCAGCAGACCCTCTTCTACTCTATGATTATTTGAAGTAGCATTTGAATTGTCTCCCACATTATCCTCCTGGTAGTCCCCGGAACAATCAAGGTCGAGAAAACCAATACCTTTGGTAAGTCTTTCCAACCGCTCTTCAGTGAAAATGCTGCAAGAGAACTAACTGTAAGTCAAAAGGAAACATAAATGAACAACAAGCGCCTTCGGATCTCAGCCAGAATAACCTCCACATCTTAATTGTAGTTTATAGTCTACGATACCTGGCATGAAAGCGAAAAAGAGAAAGGGGGGCAACATGTAAAGCAAAAACGAACCTATTCAATACTCCAAAATGCAATTCAAAGAAAGGAAGGCGTGTAAGAATGCAATAACATCTCCGTGTTGTAAGTTCATAACGGCTCAACATTGGGATTGAAGGCTGTTTATCTGAAACCACAGAGAGCAATCCAGATGGTTTTTGAATGATTTCTTCAACCAGCACGCAGCAACCATAGAGTGTTGAATCATCAGCAACCTGGCAATAAAAATATAAAATTCAGAATATCAAACCGAAAGAAAAGGGAGAGGCATTTCAGGAAAGTCATTGCCAGATTGAAATTTCACTAGTCAGTGAAAGAATTGATAGATGTCAACAAAAACGATAACACTAGGACAATATAACATTGTGGCGGGTGACCAAATAATACAAATCTATACAAGGAGACCCAAAAAGAATGATGCAAGCCTTCACAGGAAGATATAAAAACTAGAACTAACACCCACATCTGATGAGAAATTGGTTTTAACCTCAACTAAGAAACTAAGGATTAGAAAAGGAAAGTTCTTAAGAACATCAACTGAAATTAAAAAAGAATTACATAGTTGCAAATATACTGACTGATAATCACTAAGCAACTAACATGATAAGTACATTTGAAGTATACCTGTAACCGGAAAACAAATGACAAGTCGCTCTGCTTGAAGTGTTCCTGCCAAACATTATCAGCAGTACCATGATCAGCTTTTCAAATCTGAAACTAGACCTGACAAACTGAAATATGTGCTGCTTCGCTAAAACTGGTTCCATAATAACTCATCCCACGCAATGCAAATTGAAACAGAAAGAATGACTATACATTTTTACCTATTTACCCTGAGAAAAAGAGATGAAACAATTATAATGCCTATTTCCAAACACCAGTAGGACTAATTTCTTTAAATATCACAAGTATTCCATTCCTACAGGACAATCCAGTGTCTTGCTATATCTGTTTGACACTTGAAGCACTTAGCTAATCATTTCAAGGACCAAACTTTTGGTCAAGCACAACAATTCAATCAACAGGAGTCTAGAAATATAAATAGGCAGTTCATGAATCAATGTCATCCACTGACAATCAAGTAACAAAAGCATGTACGAACCAACTAATCAATGCAAAAAATGCCACATGACATCACAGCAAATGTTACCTGTGCAAGAAGAATCTCATTCAACTCACTCATGGATGCAGTTTTCTCGACAGCATTAACCTGAAAGTGCAGATTATGGAAAAGCCCGAGTTAGAAGCAACATTAACACACTTCACATATATTTCATAGAAAGATTAAAGATTGACCATGAGAAACTAATATTTATCAGTTAAAACACCTAAAAAAGAAACAACAAAAGCGGAAAAAGGAATAGAAAAGTCACAATTAGTTGTACGGATGGATATTCAACTATCAGTTAGCGAAAGATCTATGGATCCCTTTTAGAGGTGAAAGGAGAATGGGATATGCAATTGTAAGAACAACCCCCAGCACAATGGCTAATAATGGGAAATAGGGAATAGAAGCAAATAACGAGAGTATATTCAACCTCCACACCAGCAGGAAAGCAAAATGATAGAAGATCCTTGTATTTAAGAGGTAGTGGCTTGTCGGGCGGGTAAACAAACAAGACCTGGAAGTAGAAATTCAGATGGTTAATACAAAATCTAAGAAATTATGAAATTCCGATGAAACAAGTTTCGCAATATTGCTTCAACAGAAGTTTTCACCTGAGGCTCGAGAAGAGGTTCTACTCGAGACTGGTTTTGAGAACCAAGAACAGTTTGCAGTCTCCCCGAACCTTCAGACCTTCTTGAACAGAATTGCCTTTGAAGAGACTGAACGTCACTATTAGGAGGAAGTCCAACAACGACCATGCTCTCAAAAAGTTTCGAATGCTCCTTCAAGGCCCTGTGATCCTGCATACTTAAGTAGTTGTAATAAAAAACGACTAAGAATTTGTTACACAATAACTAAACAAGTGAAGTATTATCATGAATAATACGTGACAAAATAAACTGAGCATCCAGAGATCAAGTGCCAGATTGAACAAGTAAAAACTCCTATACACAAGATGATTGAAACCACTATGATGAGCAAAGGTTTAATAAAAGTTTAAGTACGAGGACCCAGATCACAAATAGCTAAACTTGTTCGGTCTGGAATCAATTGACAATACACGAAAAGGTCTACCTGAACTAAAATAACATACCAAGTTCTGCAACTGGCTGGCCCATTGCCGCTTTTGGCTGGTTAGAAGCTCAGGATTGTAATTTCCAATCCTCACTTCACGGCGAGGAGGCGACATGCCTTTGAGCACCTTTGACACTTGGCGCTGGAATTTCTGAAGTGGGCTACCAACATTTTCCTCTTTAGATGAAAAAATCACAGAGGGGCGTGGAGAACGAACAGTGGCAGCTGCAGCAGCAACAGCTTTCGCAACATCTTCTGTTGTCTGTGCAAGGATCGAAGAACTCCAGCTGGGGTTTTCAGTCTCTTCTTTATCGTACATGGCAACAGGGCTCCCTGACATTTTTGCCTGAATCCAAAACACAACAGGGCAGCATGAACCCAGGATGGAAGCTCACCCAAGCAGTTGCAGCGTAAAACTAAAACAATTCAGCTTCAAGAGGACGGACCGATCACATAAGCTGCTGCTGCTAAAAAGAAAACACCAAAGGAACGAACTTTCGCTACCACTTATGCTATAACTGGTAACAAAAACCCTCTCCGTGCACCTGCCAACTAAATAAGCACTTGTGCAACTCTACTACAAGCCTAAAAACAAGAGAAACCAGGCAGAGCCCTGAAAACATTCGGATCAAGAATGACAGCTTAGCTTTTCTTAAATCAGCCCTCAAACTGCAATAGCTGACTAGGTAACACCAACCTAAAGCTTTGACAGAGCGCAAGTAATCGAAGCTTAAAAGTACGTTTTTTTCCGTTACTTTCCTTCCCACCAAACTTTTCGTCAGTTACATAAAACTGATGGCATATCAAGGTAAAACAACCAAACTTAAACGTCGGGAGAAGTAGAGATCAAAACAAAAGCAAAAATTGCAGAACGATCAACATACGAAATGGCGATCAAGCCTGATCGAAGACGATTAGAGAACAAATTGAGTGAAGATTAAAATCAGACGGGAAAAAGGAGTGGAAAGTTTTTCAACCATAAATTGCTCTCCGGAGGAATCAAGAGACAAACTCACCTATAGCCGGCAGAGAGGTAAACCCAATTGCAAGGAGAGTCTCGAGGAGCAGAGGAATTGGAGACAGATGGAGGAGAAGAGAAGGAGCACTTTTTAGGAGGAGGCGACGAGGGCTTTGGGTGCTTTTTACGGACTTTGTCGCTTTTTCCCCCTACCCAGTCACACGACGCGAGGCAGCGAGAGATTGGGTGGGGACAGGGCAATGGAGGCGCCGGACGCTATGGAAATGGTATTAAATATGAATCACTTCCTTTTCCCCGTTCTCTCTTTTTTTTTCAACGGAGAAGAAGAAAATGCCAGAGAGAAGGGATTATATATGAGAAAGGAAGATCAATTGACGTTATTGATTAGTTTAAATGATGTAATCAATTTAGGGTTTGGGGGAAAGGAAGGAGAAGAACAACGACGGAGGAGGAAGAGGAAGAAGAAGAAGAAGGGGAAGCGGCGAGGAAGAGAAAGCCGGAGAAGCCAGGCTTCCTGGTAATGGACGGAAAAATGGCTTTTCTCTTCCTCGGCTCCGTCGATGCTGCCAAGAAAACGATTATTATTATTAAAAGGAAAATTAATGAAAAGTTGCAGAAAGCAGACGGGAAAAGAAGAGGGGATTATATGGCCAAGAAAAGGAAGAAGAAGGGATTAATGGATCTAATTTTTTTGTGGATTATTCAATTTGGAAATTTTGGGAGCATGAATTGTGTCGATCTCTCGTATCCCCATTTGGTATTCCTCCCTAGATTCTCAGATTAGATTAGGAGCTGTTTAATTATTTAATTAGTAGTAACGTCAACTTCTTTATTTAGTATGTTTTTGCAAAGAAAAGGCCAGTATAGTCTACAAACTTCTTCTTTTAGTCATCTTGAGTCGATAAATTTTGTTAGTGGATGTAGAAATTGTAAAGAAGAAAGGAATTTGGAGGAAAAGCTCAGTGGTATTCTGAGCTCTCTGTAGCTTTTATAGCTACTTTGTAATTAATAGAAAAGTGAAACGTGTCTTTACATGATTGGTTTTCAATTTAAATAAACAGTAAATTAACGGCTAACTGAACTAGGCTAAAACGCTGCTGTTCTCTTTAATTCTCCTGCACTGATTCTTCTCCTTTCTTCTGCAACGACGCCGTCTTCTTCCATCACAATCCGCAACCAGTGAGGATTGCTACACTTCTGCATTTCTTCTCTGTCACCCCCCTTCAAGTTGGTGGTGCACCTGTGATCCCCAACTTGCTCATGATTTCTCTCATTCTGAATCGATCCAAGCCTTTTGTAAATATATCAGCTAACTGTTCTGCTGTTCCCACATGCTGCAATTTTATCAAACCAGCTTTAATCCTATCCCTTGTAACATGAATGTCTATCTCGATGTGTTTGGTCCTTTCATGGAAAACAGGGTTTTCTGCTATGTGAATAGCAGACCTGTTATCACAATATACAAGGATAGGAAGTGGTACCTGCACTGTCAACTCAGAAAGCAACCTCTTTAACCACTCAATTTCACAAACCAGGTGTGCCAAGGCTCTGTATTCAGCTTCAGATGAAGATCTTGAAACTGTTGTTTGCTTCTTCGTTTTCCAAGTAAGGAGGGAGGAGCCAAGGAAGGTACAGTACCCTGTAATGGAACGCCTGGTGTCTGGGCAGCTTGCCCAGTCTGAATCACTGAATCCAATTACCCTTTCCTCTGCTGTGTTGTTGAAATGTATTCCCTGGTCTGGTGAAGATTTCAAGTACCTTAGCACTCGATAAGCAGCTTGCATATGCTCCTCACAAGGGTTCCTTTGGTATTGACAGAGCTGTTGCACTGCAAATACTATGTCTGGCCTTGTGATTGTGAGATAATGTAACCTGCCAACTAACCTTCTATATGCTTCACCATCCTTCAGTGGAGTTCCCTTAGAACTCAACTTCACTTTTGCATCAATTGGGGTTTTACACCCCTTTGCTTCCAAATAACCTGTGTCCTTCAATAAGTCCACACAGTACTTTCTTTGACACACATTCAAGCCCTTCTGATCCCTGTTAACTTCTAGGCCAAGAAAATACTTCAATGGTCCTAAGAGTTTCAACTTAAATTCTTTGCTCAGTGCTGTCTTCACTTGGTCTATGTCTTTCTGTGCATCACCCCCAACTAAGATGTCATCAACATACACCAATATCACAGTTATCCTTCCATGTGTCCACTTAGTGAAAAGAGAATAATCAGACACTGACTGAGAGAAACCCAATTTCAACAGAAAACTGGTAAGCTTTGCAAACCATTGTCTGGATGCCTGTTTCAGCCCATATAATGACTTCTTCAACCTGCAAGTCATCTTCTGGTTTCCTGTTGAATTAACTTTCAGTCTAAGTGGTATCTTCATATAAACTACCTCATCCAGATCTCCATGTAAGAATGCATTAGATACATCCATTTGTTCCAAAGTCCAGTTTCTCAAGCTTGCAACTGCTAGGAAGGTTTTTACTGTGTTTATCTTAGCTGTTGGGGAGTATGTGTCCAAGAAGTCTATCCCATAGACCTGAGTGTAGCCCTTGGCCACCAACCTGGCCTTTTCTCTTTCTAGGGATCCATCAGGCTTGAATTTGTACTTAAAGACCCATTTGTTTCCTATTTCTTTGACATTTTGAGGTAATGGGACAACATCCCATGTCTGGTTTTCCTCCAAGGCATGTAACTCTGAGTTCACAGCCCTATTCCATGCATCAGACTTGATTGCTTCATAATATGAACTAGGTTCTACTAGGTTCATGATGTTCAGTGTAAAAGATCTATCATCATGACCCAAGCTATTCACATTCAGACATAAAGGATGTCTACTGCAAGAGTTTGATTTCCCACAGTGACCAAAGGAAATGCTTGAATCTAGTTCATAGTCCTTGTACTTACTTGGTAGTGTGATTTTTCTTCGAGGTCTATCCTCTACCACTTGATCTCCTAAGTTCTCACAGTCAACATCAGCTTGCTGCAACAACTCCTGGTCATCTGAATCAAAGTAGTCATATTGCTCATGCTGATTCTGAGAACCTGTTGGGATACTTGTATGGGACTGGTCATTAGTGTGACATTCAGACTCAGACTCAGGTTCCCCCTTTCATCCATGGATGGATGAAACTGAGGAGTGGGGATATGTAGACCAGGAGCAGGTGATGATACCACCTGTGGAGGTGTTGGAACAGAAGTAGAAGCATCTGAAGTGGTATTGACATCAGGACAGTGGAAAGGGAGTATTTTCTCATAGAAAATTACATCCCTAGACAGGAAAACTTGTTTGGTATGGATATCCATAACCTTGTAACCCTTAACACCTGCTGGAAACCCCAAGAAGACACATTTTTTGGCCCTGGGAGCAAATTTGGTTCTCCCATGAGCAAGGGTGGAAGCATAACACAGACTGCCAAACACTCTTAAGTGAGCCAAAGAAGCAGGTTTTTGAAAAAGAACTTCAATTGGTGATTTGTTTTGCAGAACTGGAGTTGGTGTGTGATTGATTAAGTAGACAGCATGTAAAACACATTCACTCCAATACTGTAAGGGTAAACCAGATTGAAATTTCAAAGCCCTGGCCACATTAAGAATGTGTTGGTGCTTTCTCTCTACCCTCCCATTCTGTTCAGGGGTTTCCACACAAGAAACCTGATGTTCTATTCCTTCTTGTGAGAAGTAATCACACATTTGAAACTCTTTACCCTGATCACTCTGAATAGATTTAACTGTGGTACCAAATTGGTTCTTAACCAAATTGCAAAAACCTTGAATCAAGCCCCTTACTTCACTCTTGTGCCTCATCGGATATATCCAAACACAACGAGAATAATCATTCACTATTGTAAGAAAGTACTGATAACCATCATAGGAAACAACTGATAAAGGTCCCCAAATATCCATATGCAGCAAATGAAACATCTCAGGTGCTACATTGGTACTAATAGGAAAAGGTAGTTTGTGTTGTTTGGATAAATGGCAGACATCACAGTGTAATGGTTTCTGTTTAGTTACATCAGGGATGATTTTGGAAAGCAAAGACAATCTATCATGACTAGGGTGTCCTAATCGCCAATGCCATAGGTGTAGGTCTTGTGATTGGTAGTTGAAGGTTGAGGCAGCTTGGTGAGAAGTTGGTGAAGAGAAAGGGATAGGACTTTGAGGAAGAACCAGCTGGTAGAGGCCTCTACATTCTCTTGCCAAACCAATCTTCCTCTGGCTTAGAAGGTCCTGGAGTTCACAGTGATAAGATTGAAATAGTAAAGAAATGGGGTGGTCATTGGTCAGTTTACTAACTGAGATAAGATTGAAGGAAAAGGTAGGGACTAAGAGAACATCATAAAGTGATAGGCCAGTAGGTAGTTTGACTGTGCCTATACAAGTTACAATGACTCTGGTATTGTTAGGTAAATAACTTCTCTATAAGAAGTAAACATGGTAATGGAACAGGCTATGTGATCTGAGGCCCCTATGTCTATTATCCACAGGTTGTAATCACATGTTTGATCTAGGTGAGAAGAAAAGGTGGCATGTTTACCTGAGAAGTTAGGGAATGGTGTAGGGTGTTGTGTGGCTGTAAAGGCTTGGTGGTTGATGGATGGGGAAGTAGGAGATGATGGGTATGCATTAGTACCAATTTGCAGCAGGGTCCTGAGACAAGCCATTTCTTCTACAGTGAAAGTAAATGGAGTTTGGCTCATACCTTCAGTAGTTGTATTACCTTCAGGATGATGATCACCAGCTGCACTTCCAGTACCCTGAGCAACAGAACCAGCAAATCTTGGAGTACTAGAACTGGAGCTCGAACTGGAATTTGAATGCCCATCTTTCTGTTGTTCTCCCTGCTTCTTCTTCAACCACCAGCACTCATCAATGTTGTGATTTGTTCGTTTGCAATAACGACAATACTTCTTGCCCTGACTTGTTTCTGCAGAACCCCTCTGTTGTTGCTGACTTCCTGCAGCTAGAGCCAATGACTGGTTCTTCTTTCCACTTTCAGTCACTGCATCTGCCTTCAATTTCTGTTCATGCTGGAGCAGGTCATCAACCGCTTCAGAAACACTGGGTAGAGGTTTTTGCATCAACAGCTGGGTTTTGATGACTTCAAATTCTGGATTGATTCCTCTCAGAAAGCGAATCAAATAATCTGTCTCCTGCTTTTGGACAAAAGCAGCTACTGCAGCACATGGAATGGTCGAACCTGGAGCACAAGCACATGGAACCACAGGACAAAATTCGACATACTCATCCCATAATCCCTTTATCTTAGTGTAATACTGATTAATTGACTTAGTTCCCTGTTTACAAGCCAAGATATCATCCTCCAGGTTAGAAATTCTCATGGCATTTGGTTGTCCAAAACGCCTCTTCAGTTCTTCCCAAAGTGCCTTACAATTACTGTGATTCAACACTGCCCTTCGCAGTTCTTTGGTCATGGAGTTTTGGATCCAGCATAAGACTACAGTATTACAAGCATCCCAAATGCCAAACATATCTGAATCCCTAGAAGGCATTGCAACTGACCCATCTAGAAAACCCATTTTGTTCTTCGTTTTAAGTACCACTTGCATAGATCTACTCCACATTGTGTAGTTTGTACCATCAAAC